GGACAATTCTTTTTTTAAAATGTTTGTTATAGTCCAAGGATGGTTTACTCGTATATGGCGAGAAAAATTCGAATAATTGTGGCGAAACCCTAAAAACAGCACTTTTCTATTGGATAAAAGTTGGCATTGAGATTGAATCATAGTTATAGTTAAATAGTTGAATCCGAGATGGCGCGCTGAAGTGCATTATTAGCAATTCTTTATATAATTAATTTCTTTAAAATAAAATTGCCTAATAGAATTGACACATATTATGTCTTGAACAAGAGAGTAAAAACGAATTACATTTTTATTAAACACTACCGGGATGCCGGCAAAAGCTGGATTATAATACATATTGCATTTCAACGATTTAAAATAAATTTATAATGTATGCAACCAAATATACACATAACCACTCATACCCTTCTTTTTCCGTTAAAATGCTCAATTTAACAATTTAGATGAAACTGTAGATGTTAATTTCCTCTTTTACGAAATGTAACATTTAATACGTTGGAACTCATCTCGTGGAAGACGCTGCGCGTCGGTTAAAAGCTTGCCTTGCGGTGAATGCGCCCCGCATCTCAGGATAATGTGAGATGTGAGGATACGAGTATTCCCGTCGTTCATGGCACGCACGACACGCGTAATGCCCGAAATGTAAACATTCCGCAATCTACATTTATTTACATATTTATAATACACGCTGTCATGGCGATATCTTGCTGGCTGGCAACTTGTAAAATCATCTAGCGCAAGTTTTAATGAATATTTAATGTAGGTATTTTGTTTTTGATTTGACAAAATGGCAAATATTTTGAAAACACTACGTCGTGCACACTGTTTTAAAGATACCGATATATGTTATGTTATATTATGTGTCTTTTTGAACTTTTACACTTGATATATAATTCATGTTCACGGTCGCATGATTTTGGTAATTGCGGTTTACCGAAGCGAGATGTATCATTTGTGTAATTAACATTATGGTTGTGTTATTTAGCTCAGCAGGAATTAATTTATTCAAGTGTGGTTGGTTGCCTTTTTAAACTGAAAATTTTAAGGTTAGAATTTGGTAGCTATTGAAATCGTTTTTGCACACAATTTTATTTTTATGAAATACTAGCTTTTGCCCGCGACTTCGTCTCGGAAGTGTTTAATAAAAATGTAATTTAAAAAATTGCTAATAATCCACTTTAGCGCGCCATCTTGGATTCAACTATTTAACTATAACTATGATTGAATCTCAATGCCAACTTTTTTCCTATAGAAAAGGGATGTCTTTAGGGTTTTCTTGGCAATTATTCGAATATTTCTCGCCGTATAAACCTTCCTTGGACTTTAACGAACATTTTAAAAAAAGAATTGGCTAAATTGATCTAGGCGTGGTTGAGTTATGCGCTTACTAACACATTTTGCAATTTATTTTTATATTATAAATTACAAAATTTGCGGTCTATATACCTACACCAAAACCAAACAAAATAAAATAATTATTGTTGATACAACTTTAATCGAGGGAAATTGTAAAGCGTGGAATTCAGTTCACATTTGCGGGCAAGTTCACCAGCGTGCAAAAGGACGCGCGTCTAACCTAACTGCACAACGTCAACTCCAAAACTTGTTATTGCAGTGTGTCTGCGAATGCAGAAAATGGCAGAATGTCGTCGATTTGCCGCAGTATCGAGAAACTATTAACAACATATGCGGCGACGAGTTTTTGCCGGTTGCAGTGGGTTTATGCACAAACAAGTTTTCTAGAATGGTAAAAAACGTGAGCATCTAATAGATACAAGAACAACAACAACTTTTAGCCAATCCAGTTAAGTTAAGTGCAATCAACTCAACGTGTAGAAATAAAATTCAAATTAAATTAAAATAGAAAAATACTGTTATGTTCGGTATTTATACCGCAAGTCAAATACTGAATGCTGTAATATGTTTAACGTAAGTTTGTAAATTTTAACGCAAATATTCATTCACAAAGGCAACTAAAGCTTGGGAAAGCTTTGCGTTTTCATGCTCGAAGAACACGTATCGCATTTTCAAACCGGACGGAACAAACGGGAAGCGTCTAAACGATCTAACATTCGCCGGCGTACAAAAATAGGGGAATGTGGAAAGAATTTAAATGAAAATCCAAGTTCATCGCGGCGAACAAAGAAACCGGAAAAGTACGCAAACACTCAGTTAAACACTGTAAGCCCTGCAACATCCACCATTATAATACAGACGTGTGTTTTATAGAGAGGAAACGTGTAGGAAAGCGTTTAAAATAACTTTTTTCTATTGTCGGAAATAATAAACAAGAAGAAACAATACAAGTGCCGATTTATTTTGATGCGAAATATAACAGAAATATTAAATTACACATTTTTATGTTAAACCACTGACTAAACGAAGCAGGTGGAAGGTGGTTTGCAGGTGGTTTGAAAATGGTTTATTTTTAGACAGGTTTTGTGCACCTGGAACACTGATTCAAGTCCTGGTATCTTGAATGAGGCAATGTCGCTCTCTGAAAGAACTTGAGCTCAATTATATTACGTAGCGTAATGCTTTCGGAAAGATTTTCAGAAGACACTTTATTGACTTACGCATTAAAGAATAATGGCGTAAAGAAAATTAATAAATGGAATCATATCTATCTATAATATACAAATGAATCGCAGAATGTGTTAGTAAGCGCATAACTCATCAATGCCTAGACCAATTTGGCCAATTCATTTTTTTAAATGTTTGTTAAAGTCCACGGATGGTTTTCACGACGAAAAAAATTTGTATAATTGCCGGGAAAACCCAAAAAACATCCCTTTTCTATAGGATAAAAGTTGATATTGAGATTCAATCATAGTTATAGTTAAATAGTTGAATCCGAGATGGCACGCTGAAGTGCATTATTAGCAATTCTTTATATAATTAATTTCTTTAAAATAAAATTGCGAATCTTATAGATAGAATTGACACATACTATGTTTAGATCGAGAGAGTAAAAACAAATTACATTTTTATTAAACACTGCCGAGACGTAATCGCTGGCAAAAGCTAGTATTACATATATTTTAAGGTTATTATAATTTTTAATCAAATATTTATCTTTTTTTCCAAATTTGTATCCTGTTATCACAACAATATAAATGCACCCATTGTTTATTGTATACATGTATAAATTATTGTTCATTACCACTCCTTTTAATGTTTTGTGCGAATAAACATAATCCACGTTTATACCTGTATTTTCAACAATGTACTCTGCGTGACATGCTCTAGCGTCCACAATTACTCGGCACAAGTGCCGCGAACGTTTTCTCCGATTCGAATGCACTCAAACACACGCCACAATTGCGGAGCATCTTCAAGCGAGCACGAAGCATTCCAGCGCGTGTCTTTGGCGTGCGTCGCACGTATTTGCACTCGGAATTGTTCGGCAAATGGCTGCCGAATTGTCAATTGCTAATCCCGACCGAGCAGTCGCAGTAGCGAAAAACGCAACTGCTAAGTCTAGCTGGTGCGGAGAAAGTAGAACGCATCCGTCGAACTCACATTCAACAAATACTAACTTTTCTATGTTGCCAAGTAGTACTACTTCTACTCGTAACTAGCGACGGCTGAAGTTTTTACTTTAGTCATTTTGATAGTTATTAATTAATTACTCAAATACTATTAAAGTGACAGTCATAATATTGCAGAATTTGGTATGGACATAAATTTTATATAAATCTGTGCTAAGTTTATTTATATATGATTAATAAAGACAAAGTTATTAACAATTAAAATTAAATTAATAGAAATTTATTTAACAGGCATAGTATTTTCTATAACTATTTATTTCAACTTAATTACTGTAATATTTAAGATTTATTTGGTGTGAAATTTAATTTTGAATAGATTTCTGAAGAAATCGTGCATATATCTTGATAGGCACTTGAGTTATTAACCAAAAACTATCACATTGCAAAAACTTCTTACCGGTGTTGTAGCAGCTAAACATTTGGTTAGTTATTAATTAATTACTCAAAAACTATTAAAGTTACAATCATAATTTTTAAAAATTAGATGTGGATATAAATTTTACATTTATCTGCCAAAAATGGCTTATATATAATTATTAACGATAAATTTATAGAGAACTAAAATTAAATTTATAGAAATTTGTTGTATTTTCACAATATACCTTGTAACTTTCTATTCAAAATTAATTACAATAATAATTAAGATTTATTTGACGCAAAATTTAATTCGAAAGAGATTTTGGAAAGAATCATGCATATACCTTAGTTTGTTCGGGAGTTATTAACTAAAAATTTATCAACCGAAGGAGTGAAAGGCTCGATTAGTTTTTAATTAATTACTCAAAAACAATTAAAGCTACAATCATGATTTTAGACAGTTAGATGTGGACATAAATTTTACATAAATATGCCAAAAATGGTATATATGTGATTATTAAAGACAAAGTTACTAACAATTAAACTTCCTTTAATAGAAATTTATAAATCGTACACAATATATCCTATAACTTTTTATTAAAAATTAATTACTACTATATATAAGTTTTATTTGACGTATAATTTATTTCTAAATAGATTTCTAAAAGAATCATGCGCCTATCTTGATTGCTTTTGGAATTATTAAACAAAAACTACCGTATTGCTATCCTTCTTGACTATATTATCTCCGCTAATGGAGTTATAGAGATGCAAGTGCAGTAGCAGCTTTCAGATAAGTCAATATTGTTGTCGCTGCTTGTGCATATGCTAATAAATTCCTCGCACGGAACTGGCCAACATCTGCCGCCCCTATTAAACCATCAGGATGCTGATAGCATCTTACCATGCACGCATCTCCATCCCATCGACCTTGCATAATAATATCCAGGAATAATATTTACCAACGTGATTCCAGCATGAATTTATAGATTTAATCCAATTATATTTCTAAATTTAAAAATAATTCCAAGTTGAAGGATTTGCCCACTTGCCAAGGATTATTATTAATTCCCGCTTGTGGTGTTTTTGCAGGATGCGGTGCACAGTTGAGCGAGAATACACCACCGACCATGTGGCTGGAACGACATTGGCAAATTATGGAGAACGAGGAGATCGGCACGGTCATCATCAGAGTGCACGGTAGTGATAACGAGGACGACCGTTTGGAGTACGGCTTGGAACCGAAGGCACCCTCGCTTCGCGTGCCTTTCCGCATTGACAACAATACGGGCGTTGTCTATTTGAACGAGTCGCTCAAGGGTCGCGTAAGTGCATTGTACACACACAAATTCCACAACCCTCATCATAATACGTTTAAAACCAACTAACAATGCATTTCATATTATCTCTTTACAGTCTGGCGAGAATTTATTCCTTTATGTGACGGTGTCCGATGGTCACCTCGCCGCCAAAACCGAGGTATTCGTGAATATTGTGAATACCACCACACGGGGAAGAAAACCAGTCCGGCCGCCAGTCCACCCCTCCAATTATCCCTTCAACCTTCCAGGAGCATCTATTTACCCACCGCAACTCAATCCGAATCCAGCACCTCACAACCCACCGCCGCCTAGTCAACCACCACCACATGATAATACCCACAACACTGGCGTGACCGGCACCCACCTACTGCCGATAGATCCGCATACCTACACGCCGCTAAATACCAATTACAGCAATAATCGCACGGGCGTTGATGCAAACGCAGGTAATGCCACGAAACAAGACTCTGACCATGGTGTTAGTAATAAAAAAGAGGGCGAAAACGAGAATGACAACGAAATCCTACCGCATGATCAACCAGTTAGGTCAGGGGTACAGGAACTAGCAGTGACCTTGGTTCCTGTTATCTCTGTATGTGCGATTTTTATTGCTGTCGGTGTCATCGCGTTGTTATTCAGGAAGAAGTTATGTTTAGCCAGGAGCAAACATTGCAAGGATAAAGATATGGTTAGTCATTAATTGAGGTTATGTTTTTTTGTATTTTGAGGTTGATTTTATTTTTTGTGTTTCCAGAGAAAAGACTCTGGCGGAATAGCGGTGGTTCAGGAAGACCTTGCAATGCAACAGTGGCGAGGCCCACGAGCTTTCAGCAATCGTTACGAACCCTGGGAGCGAGACAATAACAATCCGCAGGTAATACACTTACATGTCCATTTCATCCGCTTGAGCTTTTTTCGGGTTGATTCTATTGCGAGTATTTATTGCTTTCATTTACGTGTTCGGGGCACAATCAAAGTCGAAAATCAATTGTGTTGCAAGCCTCGACTCGGCGTTGAAATGAACAAATAAACAAATGAACAAAGTTGCTCTAATGCCACCGCCAAGTTTATTAACTCTTGGGATGTGGATCTTTATCTTGTGTTTATTTCCGGTTTGAGCTCAAAGTTCATTAGCGGGTCAACAGGCCATGTGGAAAGTTGGAACTTTTCATGTAAACATCTTAATGATCAATCTTTGAAATAATGATGAATTATTTGTTATCATTGGTAATTTGCTTGTGTTTTAGCTGGGAGTTAATCAAATGGAGGCAGCAAATGACCGTTGGGAGTTCCCTCGTCATCGGCTCAAGTTCTTCAACATTTTGGGCGAGGGCGCGTTTGGGCAAGTGTGGAAATGTGAAGCCATCGATATCGACGGTAATTAACTGTCACTGGCTGTGTTTGATGTACCAGGAAGTCATCTGAACAATAATTACTTTTGGTTTTCAAAACAAAAAAAAGTTCAGACTTCTAATTACATTAATACAATCAAAAAACTTTTTTTTAATTAACACTAAATTAACACTGATGCTAATTAAATTTTTATCTTTCTTTTTTCTCCTTAGACAAGGAAGGTGTCTCAATTGTGGCTGTAAAAACCCTGAAAGAAAACGCAAGCGAAAAAGAACGTTTGGATCTTCAATCGGAGTTACAGGTTATGAAAATGTTGGAACCACATCCGAATGTGGTGCGTTTATTGGGCGCATGCACGGAGAAGGATCCTTTGTTTGTTATTATGGAATTCGTAAGCAAAGGCAAGCTCCAAAGTTATTTGAGAAACTCTAGAGCTGAGAGGTACTACAACAACATGCACGGTCAGAGTAAATCTTTGACATCGCGTGACTTGACATCTTTTTGCTATCAAGTAGCGAAAGGAATGGACTTTTTAGCTTCAAACGGAGTGAGTTTCATAAACCTAATCAAAAATATTCAATTTAACCTTGAATTCTTTTCAGATTATTCATCGTGATTTAGCCGCGCGGAACGTGCTAATTAATGATGAGCACACGTGCAAAGTAGCAGACTTTGGTTTTGCTCGCGATGTGATTGATTCGCACGTCTACGAGCGGAAGAGTGAGGGACGTCTTCCCATTCGGTGGATGGCTCCTGAATCCCTCTACGATAACATTTTCTCTACAAAATCAGACGTGTGGAGCTTCGGGGTGTTAATCTGGGAAGTTGTAACGTTAGGCAGCACACCGTACCCGGGACTGTCAGCTGCTGAAGTCATGCGCAAAGTAAAACCTACAAATCATTAAAAAACACAAAAATATTTATTTTTCATTGTTTTATTTTAGGTACGTGATGGTTACAGACTCGACAAACCTGAGCACTGTCGACGTGAGTTGTACAATATAATGTACTATTGCTGGGACAAGGATCCGAAGCAACGACCTCCATTCGACGAGTGTATCCAGCTTTTGGAAAAGCTGCTCATGACTGAAACCGATTATATCGAGCTGGAGCGCTTTCCCGATCATTCCTACTACAATATGCTTAACATCAGCGATGAAAAGTTGTGATTCACGAGAACAACAGCAGCATATATTGGTAAAAAGCTTGCACAAGTTTTGTATTTATTTAATATTTTATTTTCTATGGCGAAGAGTGGCCTTTGTTTATTTTTATAATCAACCAAAGTTACAATAATTATTATTATATGTAGTAACATGACATTTCATCGTTTTTGTTTGTATTTACGAGTATTATGTTAACGTAGACATTTTTAAATTCATAAATCATGTTAAAAATTCGCTCGCAAGCAGATTAACGATAAGAGATAATAGATAATTATTGTTGAATGTATTTTATTAATTTTATTTGTAAATAGACAATTTTAAATCAATCATTTTGATGTATTTTGATGTAAATTGTAATGAATATTCAACAATTCTTTGTTTTAAAGGTTATGTAAACATTTTGGCCGGATTTTCAACAATGTACGTCAACGAAACAAAAATAAACTGATACCTGCGTCATGTATCTCTTAACAATCTGAAATATCTAATAATACATCATAAAAGATGATTTTTTTGTAGACTGGCTAAAAATGTTTCTGCTGTTTGTTAATATGCATATACTCTTTGCATCCCACTGAAGAGTATACTAATCTGAATAGAAACATATGAGTGATTGAATAATATGCGTCGTGTTGCCCTTGCGCGTTCCGCGTCGCCTACGCAGCCGCCGCCGTTTGCCGCCGTTCTTGCCGCCGGCGAACACAGTTATCCTCCGAACGTGCATCCGAACGCCTCGGTACACTCCACGCAACATAACGCGATCGTAACTTTAACTTTATTAAAATAAAATAAATAATATATTTCAAATGTTTATCAAATAAATTTAATTAAAAATAACTAGTGGTAATATATAAATTTTATGTCATTTAATAATATAATTAGTGAATTAATTTAAAAAACTTTTTGTGATAAAATTTAATAGATTAGAAAAACTTTCAATGCAAACTGTTTAAATTCAGTTTAGCTGCTCGGTAAAGTGATGGTAAAGTTGATTTAATGACCGCCGGATAACAAGTTTAAAAAAGTTTATAACGTAATTTATGGTCATTTTGATAATGCAAATTACGCGGCGTTAGTGTGTTGATGTGACGCTAGAACGAATTTAAACGCAAACTTTATTTGTAACGCCGCATAAATAATGTGAACTGGTTTAGTTAATAATATTTATATTGTACCTACGTGCATTTGTGCATTTAAAACAGGTAATATTATTTTATATTATTATTACATGTTGTGATGTTTCAAAAGTGTAAAGTTTTATTTAGTTTGAGTAGTTTTATGATCAGTTAAGTTTGCGATTGCGTTGTGTTGAGTTGAGGCGGATGTTTAATTAAAGTTTAATCATAAATGTCATCCTTGGTGTTAACTCGAAAAGCTTTTACACGTTCTTGAGGTATCCGTAATCATCCTGGTGGATTGAACCACCAGTGGAATTATTAATAAAAACTAGCTTTTGTCCGCGTAGTGTTTAATAAAAATGAAATTCGTTTTTACTTTATTATTCTAGACAAAATATCTATTCTATCAATAAGATTTGCAATTTTATTTTAAAGAAATTAATTATATAAAGAATTGCTAATAATACACTTCAGCGCGCCATCTTGAATTCAACTATTTAACTATAACTATAATTGAATATCAATGCCAACTTTTATCCTATAGAAAATGGCTGTTTTTAGGGTTTTCCCGGCAATTATTTGAATTATTCTCGCCGTAAAAACCATTCTTGGACTATAACGAACATTTAAAAAAAATAATTGGCCAAATTGGTCAAGGCGTTGTTAAGTTATGCGCTTACCAACATATTTTACAATTCATTTTTTTATTATAGATTTCTGAGCATTTGTTTTTGCAGAAAAAGTTTGATTAGTGAGATTAGATTAAAAATGTTGAATTTGACTGATTCGACTGACGAAAATTAATTTGAATGATATAGGTTATATATTTTTTATTAAAAAAATTTTAATCAAATAAAAAGAATGTTATCACAAAATTCAAAAATGCTGACAGTAGTTGTCAGCTGGATTTTTAGTGTATTTTGCACGTTGAGTTTTAATATCTGGCCACTTTTATACGAAAGTGTTTAATTAACAGTAAACCTGCTGATATTTACCCGCCGTGTATACACTGTGGACTTTTTTCATTAAATTTCTATGGTTTTATACGAGACTTTATTTATTTGATTACAACTTGAAAAAGGACAATTTATTTGAAAGAGTTTACAACGCAGAAAGTTTTTCAGTGTTTCAGTGCTTTAAAACTTTTTTCGCGGGATTGCTTTTATTTTACTTTATTTAGCAAAATAAGACACATTTTAGGTAGTTAGGCATGTCCAACAAGAAGTCGAATAGGAAGTTTTACAAGTGTTCAACAACCAAAATTTCATTGTGTCTTTTTTTTTTTGCTTTTGTGGTTTCTTCTATAAAATAAAAAGTTTCAAATATGATAAATCTTAAATTAAAATTCTGTTTGTGCAATTTTTAGTTTTATTTGCTGAAACAGTTAAAACATGAACTTTGTGAAACAGCTCAATATAAAACTAACTCTGGGCTTCTTGTCAAATAAACTTTAAGTTTTTAAAAGCTCACTGTAGAATATTCTGCAGCCATGTTTCATGTAAGTTTTTTCCATCAACTCAGTTTACTTTTGGATACTTACTTATTTATCGACTTTATCTCAGGAAGAAATTCACTCGGATGCGTGAGTTAGCTCAGAGCTTTAGATTTTAGATTGCAACCGCATAAAAGTTGAAAATTTACTGCTTCAATTAGTGGCTGGAATACGAGGACGAACCTCTAGGCGCTGTGGACTGCGTCGTAGGCATTAGGTTATTTCGGAACGCATTAAAGTGGCGACGTGTCATGGCGTGCATTCGTGCATACTTACCTTTACTTGACTGCATTCTAAAACCACATAATCCTAGTTTAGTGCAAGTTACGGCAGAAAAATCTCGAAATAAATTTGAATTCAAATCTAGTAAAAAGTAAAAAATTGTAAAAATTATTTGTAGTGAATTAATCGGTGCGATATTGATTATTATAATGTTAATTTCTAGCCGGAATAAATTTTAACTTCTTTGAAGTGGGAAAATTCCTATCAAAGTACGAGAAAATTCCAATTAAAGACAAATTTGCATTCGTTTTTCCTATTTTGCATTTAATGAATATTAATGTTGGCTCAGAGCTGTTTAACACGTGCTTAATACTTTCGCAAAGGTCTAAAAACATTCAACATCAACAAATCATTGATAACGAGAATGTTTTACAACTCTAACAGAAAATATTAACGAATTCATTATGCATAAACGTGCAAAAATAATGAGCTGTTAAAAATACATCATTTCAACAAATTCAGACAAAATATTGAACTTTGACATTTCAAAAATTGTTTTATTCTTTGTCAAGTCGAATAATATCGCATATTTTCTGCTTAGTGTTTTTTGAAAGACAATAAAAACGAATAAAAATTGTATCACTTTCATATACCCGGTGAAAAACTCAATTTTCAACACTTATTGTTATTGAATTTTGGATGAAATAAAAAACATTCGAGTATGAACATGTTCAATGATCTAATATCGAAGTGCTTTTAGGCATAAAGCTCAAAACGTAAAATATTTGATTTTGTGAATTGTAAAGGAAAAAAATAATCAGCAGGAAAAGACTTTTTGAATGTCAATAAAATTCAGATTCAAAGGAATCTAAAATAATTCATAAATTATTTACTTCCGCGAAACATATTGAAATATTTGAACGCGATTTTGTTCCGGTAGTGTTTAATAAAAATGTAATTCGTTTTTACTCTTTTGTTCTAGACATAGTAAGTGTCAATTCTATCAATAAGATTCGCAATTTTATTTTAAAGAAATTAATTATACAAAGAATTGCTAATAATGTACTTCAGCGCACCATCTCATGTTTTCATTCGCCACCGACTCATGCCTTCACGATACAATTAGCGGACCTTCATGGCTTGCCATTTAATCGCTGGGACTAAAATCTAATTATATGATATTAAAAATTAATTGAAAAATAAGGTTTCAGCAGTATCAAAGTTAACAAAGTTTTAAAATTAATTTAATTTAACTTGAATGAACCAATACTCGTAAAATCTCTTGAGATATCTTCTTGAGTGTATTGATCTGATCGAATGAAAGGATAGATAAACAATTAAGCATGTATTCACTTAATAAAATTGTAATTCGTTTTTACTCTTCTGTAGTAGACATAGTATGTGTCAATTCTATCTATAAGATTCGCAATTTTATTTTAAAGTAATTAATTATATAAAGAATTGCTTATAATGCACATCAGCGCGCCATCTCGGATTCAACTATTTAACTATAACTATGAGTGAATCACAATGCCAACTTATATTCTATGGAAACTTTAGGGTTTTCCCGGCAAATATTCAAAATTTTCTCGCCGTAAAAACCATCCTTGGACTTTAACGAACATTTAAAACAGGAATTAGCCAAATTGGTCTAGGCGTTGTTGAGTTATGCGCTTACTAACAGACTTTGTGATTCATTTTTATATTATAGATGCGTTCGGCATTTGTAGGCAACTCAAACGACAATCACATTTTATTTTAGATTCAGTCCTAGATTTAGATTACAAATTTTGTGGACTGAATGTATCATAGTTTTGATAGATGTCGATTTACTTTGTGAATTTTACACGCTATTCATTGGGACAAAAGAATGTCCTCCAGACTACGGATGAAACAGAATGATTGAGAAGCACAGGCTTGTATGACATGCACCATTGCTAAATTTGCGTACCGAAGCACGAAAACGACAATTAGCACAAACAAGCTATCATCATCCGCGTCAGATACAATTATAACCCACTGACAATATGCCACAAATATACAAAGCGATTAAAAACATTTAATTTTCTCCTCTTACCTTAAATAAACAATATAAACCCAATAATACAAATAAAATTAAAATTAAACAATATTATTTCATCTATTAAATATTATACTTTTGTTAAATTCACTATGCAACCAAATAAACACGAATAAAACATCCTGTATATATTAATTACGTTTGTTTGCTTCCAGAATCTTGTGTGGGCGCCTTGAGGATCATTTAAAAGACTTTGTCAGCCTTTGGCAACCCCGAATTGAATTCGGTCCCGGTTTGCGGTGCGAACATAAATCATCACGCGAGATCAAGGCAGCTCGAGGGCGACAATCAAGGATGACTCATGTGAATCATATCAGAAAAGCATCTATTGATTAATTAACTTGTGTGAAACAAAAAACTGGTAATTGTTCTCGGTATAAGTGAATATTAATATGTGAGTGGCGTAATGTCGTGCAAAAAAATTGCTACTGCCATTCTCATGGCATGCTCGTTATTTGTCGTCGATGCGCATCGACTGGATGCTGGGAAGAATGGAAAAATGGATGAGAACAGAAGCGAAAGAGTGAGTTAATGTTCAGTCATTATATAGATACACTTTATACGTATATTTAATACTGAAAAATGTCGAACAGGGGATTTTTGTTTTTATAAAAAGGTTTTGACGTGAAACAGAAGTGAAATTAATTTATATTTTAATTGGTTTACGCAATATCGGAAATAAAATCCGGAAATTATGATTGTGATTGTTTGTCGATATGAATCAAATCATAATAGGAATTATTTGTTTGTTTGTGACGCTTTCACACAAAAACCACTTAACTAATTTGGATAAGTTTTGGCATAAAGATACTTTAGACTAGGGAATAGCAAATAGGCTAGTTTTTGTTGCCAAAAGATAACTTTTAGGGTATTAACTACGGGTTGAAAGTTGGTATAGAAATTCCTCCATAGAAATAGTTGTATAATTCGAATCGAGATGGTGTAAAAGTGAATTATAATCGTTTTTCATTTTTTGAAATAAAATTGATGAATTTATTTGGCTGCTTTGGCATATAATATGCCTACGGATCAATAATATAATTAACTAGCTTTTGCGAAGTCGGGATAGTGTTTAATTAAAATATAATTCGATTTCATTCTCTTGTTCTATACATCTTATGTACCAATTCTATCAAAAAAATTCGCAATTTTCTTTTAAAGAAATTAATTATATAAAGAATTGCTAATAATGCACTTCAGCGCGCCATCTCGGATTCAACTATTTAACTATAACTATGATTGAATCTCAATAGCAACTTTTATCCTATAGAAAAGCACTGTTTTTAAGAATTTCCCTGCTATTATTTAAAATTTTCTCGTCTTAAAAACCATCCTTGGACTTTTACGAACATTTTAAAAAAAGAATTGGTCAAATTGGTATAGGCGTTGTTGTGTTATGCGCTCACCAACACATTTTACGATTTATTTTAATATTATAGATAGGCATATTTTCCTAAGTATAAATATCATCTTAATTCATTTGAAACTAATCCATTTCCAGAGTTACAATTACAACGACGCCAAAAATGACTATCTGGAACTAAACGTCCGATCCGCTCCAGTTCTACATACCACAAGAAGCCCCGGCAACAAGGACACTCACCACTCCGATGGACGGTTGTTAAGCAACTCTAATTACGCCATGAGCGGCATGAAAGTTGCTGTGCGCAAGAATTACTCCGGCGATGCACGCCTGCAGAGCGAGACAAACGTAATTAGTCAAAGCGACGTTTTGCACCTCAACGGCACCGAGGACTACAGAGATGACATCGTCACTTTAAATGTCGGAATCAACGCCAGCGCCGGTACCAGATCCAACGAAGAAATGGAGGACAATCTAACAATGGTGTGGTGGGTGCAACTAGCGTGGGCCAGCGTGTTTGTGCTTATGATTCTCGTCGCCATTGGTGGCAACTGCATTGTTATGTGGATCGTTATAGGTGAGTTCGAGAATTCAATAAAACGCGATAATTAACAATGTGCGTTTTGGCTGTGTTGACATAACAAATTGATCGATACGCGTTTGAAATATGAAAAAATTAAAAAGAAAAAAAGTCGGTTCGTTTAACGTTTGAATGGTCACGTGTTATAAACGACGCACAGGCACGCAATTGTCCTGTCCAGGACAAACGTATTTTCATTACTCACAGTTTGCATGTTATAACACTAACTGACACAATTTTGTTCAATTGCATTCGTTCATTGGACACTTTATTGAACACGCAAATTATTAATTAAAACAGTATCAATAAAAAATACCCTTGTGTCATAATATTATATTTTTATAAATAAAAGAAAAAATATTATTTGCGGTAAATAAATAATAATTAAATAAAGCGATATAATAGTATATAAAGTAACAAGTGGCTAAACGAGTGTATAACAACGTTTAGCCACGAGGTGTTTACGCTATTTTTTCTACTTCCACTTTAGTTCCACGTTGCGGTTTTTGTATTTCAACTTTTGTATTCTAAATCATCGAAATTTGCTCATTTATACAAACTGTAAGGTTATAAGTGCCATGCCGCGCGCCGGCGCATGTGACGCTTCGGTTCATATCGTGCCCCTCCGAAACAAGCAGCAGCAACGCCTGCTTTGACGTGTTTGACTGACGTCGCATGGCATTTCATACCGCCTTGTGCTGCTCCGTAGACAAATGCGCAGGCGCTTGCTCCGTCCCGTGCATAATGCAAGTACATAATGAATATTATGTACGGTTTGGCTGTTTGTATATAAAGTACCACCTTTTGTGTCTAAAAGCCGTGGAAAAAAGTAGAAGTAGAAAAAATAAATTAAAACTGTACCAATAAAAAACACTCTTGTGTCATAATATCGTATTTTATAAATAAATTAATAAATATAATTTGCGCTAATTAAATGTTAATTAATTAAAGCGATATAAACATGTATTGTTCAATATGTTTAGGATTTATGTAATTGATTTGAAACCATATAATGTATAAATATTTACCATTGGTTTTGAGAACATTTAAATTAATTACATTCAACCGCAATCAATACCCGCACACTTCAGAAGTGTTGTTGGTTGCGTGAAATCCACAATCGTTAACAGCATTTTGTTTTTTGCTTCTTCTCGTTTCATATTTATGACTTTGCTCCTCCGCATCTGTATCGAATTACGATTCTCGTCGCTACACCGATAAATCAACAAATCGGAAAAATGGAAATGCCCGGAACTTCCTGAGATAGGCCATAAGCGGATGCGCAGTGTTACCAACTACTTCCTAGTGAATCTCAGTTGCGCTGACCTGTTACTCTCCATTATGAATTGCTTTTTCAATTTCATCTATATGCTACAAGGGTAAGTCACAATCTCTTATCTATAGTTTATGTAAACGTAAACACAAACATTGTAGGTATATATTTTTGCCTGCATGTTGTGTATTTTTCTTCATTATTTTGTTTTGTTTCAAGATTCATGCTGTGAAAAATATTGCCCGAGTTTCGTCGCAATACAATGCTGAAGTTTAGCATACTTGTACTCGGTGTGTCGTGAAAACTGTTTGTAAACTCTTGTAATTTAAACATGCAGAGGTAGAGTAGCGCAATTGTGTATTTTGAAAATTTTCGTGATGCTTATAAAGTGTAGCTTGCGGAAAGAATGCGAACCGCTGAATTCTAGACTGCGCCAAGCGTAAAAGCTGCGGGGGTTGCGCGAGACCTTCCTAAAAGCGATTATTTATAGCATCCCTAAGCCATTTCAAGTGTTTCCATTAGAGCTGGATTGTTTCAGATATCGACCATACTTATATGTGGCCAAGCAAAATCTTAAATTTCGGGCGCAATATGACTTTGAACAAAGAAATTTTGTTTTATCGCTTTTGGACACATTCCAATCTCAAAATGAGTATTAGTAATTTAAAATGTGCTATATTGATAGGAAAATAGTGCTTGGACCTAATTTACACTTTATTTTAGTACACATTACGTTTATAAAAGCATAAAGGAGTTAAATTGTTTGTTTGTTACGCTTTTACGCGGATACTATTAAACTAATTATCCTAAAATTTGGTGAACATATTTTCAAGAGTATTGAAAAGAACATCAGATATTTTTTAAATCAAAAATTATAAGTGAAAGGGTGATAAATAAAGGATAAATGAATTTAGTGATCAAATCATAGTTATAGTTAAATAATTTAATCCCAGTGTCAAGTAGCGCCCTTGACACATATTAAGTTCAAAAATCCAAAAAGTAAATGTTAATAAAAATTTATACCCTAAATATTTGAATGACGTTGATAGTACGTACTAAATAATTTAATAACTTGTATTATAATCATTTCGCAACTTTCCTTTTTGATATTCTCCAATAAAATGTTTTGCTACTCTGCAGCTGTCTCAATGGCAGTCAAATAAAAATCGTGTTTTACACACCAATACCGAAACTAATATTCCGCACCCAAAATTGGAAACCTACTAGATGTTTCCACCTAGTCTTTCACTATGCCCCTAGAACCTTTTCTAAATCCGCAATCCGCTGACACTTGGTATGACGCAATAATAAAAGTTTTTTTGGCGCGACGTAGACGATTCGGACCAAAGCGATCTTTTCTGATTAGACCGTCGCCGACGACAGTCACGGGCGAATAGTGCTTTTTCTGCATCGCACGCCCATTGTGCGCGAAAATTGTGTGCGATTTCTGTCGCGATTAGAAAGGGATGAAAGGGTATTCTCATACACCTCTTCCGGAGAAGTCGTGGGTGCGCTGCAAAGGCAAAGTGGCAGATAACTTGCAATCTTAGTGGCCACTTGAAAGCTCAAATATGACACGCACATCCCACATGAAATCCCAGATGAAATCTTGATACCTTGACAATAAGTCCGAGCGTATTATTTCACATGTCATGGAATGTCATAAAAATATCCACAACTAGCTTTTGCCCGCGACTTTGTCCCGGTAGTGTTTAATAAAAATGTTATTCGTTTTTACTCTCTTGTTCTAGATATAGCATGTGTCAATTCTATCAATAAGATACGCAATTTTATTTTAAAGAAATTAGTTATATAAAGAATTGCTAATAATGCACTTCAGCGCGCCATCTCGGATTCAATTATTTAACTGTACCTATGATTGAATCAATGCCAACTTTTAACCTATAGAAAATGGCTGTTTTTAGGGTTTTCCCGGTAATTATTCAAACTTTTCTCGCTGTAAAATCCATCCTTGGACTTTAACAAACATTTAAAAAAAAGAATTGACCAAATTGGTCTTGGCGTTGCTGAATTATGCGCTTTACAACAGATTTTGCGATTCATTTTTATATTATAGATGTGATATCATAAAATGTAATCATTACAGTTGTAATAAAGATTGATTTTACTATTATTGTTTTATTACGAGTATGTGAATATTAAGAGACGTAATTAAAAGTTTTTTTCTGATTTAATAACTGCGTCTGATTGTATTCCAGTTAATAAACTCGATCAATAATTCATCTATAAACTGAGTTCTATGAGTAATTAAGCACTCGAATGCGAAACTTTGCTTTTCTGCTCGACGTTCCATCACTGTTTTATCTTATTATACTCTTCAGTTATTTGCGGAACAAAGAAGCTGCCAATGAATTCAGGCAACATCTCAAATATCGAAACTCGGATCTTGTTATGGTTCACGAAACAAACAAATACTCATAGTATAAATTAAGTTTACATCGGTCGAATAAAATGATGTTTCCGCTTCGTTTTTGATATTTGATTTCTTTTCTGAAACAGTTGTTTAATCTATAATATAAAAATGTATCGCAAAATGTGTTGGTAAGCGTATAACTCTACAACGCCTAAACCAATTTGGCCAATTCTTTTTTTTAAATGTTCGCTAAAGTCCAAGGATAGTTTTTACGGCGAGAAATATTCGAATAATTGCCGGGAAAACCCTAAAGACAGCTCTTTTATATAAGATAAAAGTTGGCATTTACGCAAGAGAGTAAAAACGAATTACATTTATATTAAACACTACCGGGACGAAAACGCGGGGAAAATAGTTATCTTTTTAAAAGAATAACTTCCAAACATTACGAAATATATTTAACAGGTTGTACTTCGTGAAAGCGGTAGCGGCAAATTAAAATCACTTATCAAAGTGCACTTACGCGCAACGTAATTAATTTCTAATTACGCGAATACGAAAATTTGTTCAAGCGGTAGAGAAGTGAGCGCTGGTCTTCTTGAAACCCACACCATGTTGAAATGCTGAAATTAGAGCATAAAGTGCCAAAGTTAAATTTTAATATGCGGGAATAATAATATAGTTTCTATTCCAATGTAAATTGAACCGAGTTGAGTTTATTGCACTGCGTTTTGCATCAAATAAACTTAATGAGACGTTTTTATGACGCTTTTTATCATTCGTTAGATACTTATTTGGTCCAATGTTGTTGTATTCACTAAATTAAATGAGGTTTAAATTAGAAGATGTGACTGTCTGCATGTCTGGCTTTTTCCTTTTATTTTTATTTGTGTGTTTATATCTGGATGCTTTCATTTATATTAGCATTCAATGCTACTACAACCTGGTAGGTGTTTTTTTCTTCATTCACGGTAATGTCTCTGTGTCCGCAGTCCCAGGTTTCCCATTTTCATTAGCAAGCCATTTCGAAAACAGCGTCGCAAAGTTTTATGTTGCAAAATAGGGTGTTGACAAAAATGCTATTAAAAAAAATGTAAATAAATCATTAGTCAATATTTTTTATTTTTGATAGTTTTTGTTGTGTTTTAGACTTTTTAAATCGAGTAATGAAAGCACATCCACTTACCCTAATTACAAAGCTATCTTTCTAATTAGAACCGTAGAAACAATACGGATGACGTGACGTGCTGGAGTAAACTCTGATTTATAAATCAAAAGGTACGTGAACGCAAACGCAACGCAAGGGAACACGAAACTCTAGTATGCACTGTGTGTTGTCTACTTATCCGACGCAAAATAAAAGCTAATGGGTTGCATAATGAAAAAATCATGCGTGCGGTACTAAATGCCCAGCTTAAATTCTATTCTTTGAAATTAATCAACAACCAATGTCGGTAACACAATGGATTTTCAGCGCTTTTGTAAAATTCACATAAAAAAATTCACATGAAAAATGTTTATTCAAATAATAAACATCAATTTTATTTTAATTAATCATTATTTAAATGCTGTAATTGTCAAGTTTATTACTGCGTACTTTTAATTTTCTCGCTTTGACTTATATTTTACATTCGAATCACGATTAAACACCGTGGACGTGTAGATTTCAACGTCAGGTTTAATTTTCTACTTGTGTCGCTCAAAATTTAATTAAATCCGTTACGTGAGCGCCAAACCAAAGAAAACAACATTGAGAGCTAGGAAAAAGATCATTAGAATACGATTGAAGCTAACGAGAATGTAATTATGTGTAATTTTCTACCCCTTTACAAAGTATATTTTTTGTTTGTCATAATTTGTATAATGACATAACGTGACCTTAATAATTCTCTTTTATTTTACTTTTGTGTGTTAATGTCGGATTTAAAAAAAATGTCGAAGCAGTAAAGTGGAAAATGTATTTAAATTTCCTTGATTTGTATTATTATTATTTTATATATTTGATTTTATTCTAAATGTATTGCCTGGAGAAATTTACGTTGAATGCTTGAATTGGCATATTGGAACGCTCGTCCGTTTCAAGGACGCCTGTTGCATGATCGATTGATTGATGGGAATGTACAAACGCATGAAGAGTTTTACGTTATGCCGTGGGACATACTCGTAGCTGGGTCGACGGTGAAAAGCGTATAAACCGGAAAATGTGAAATAGAACCCAACAAAATGTAAAAACAGATTTACTCGAGTTAAACAGCTCTTGATATCAACATTATCGTAGTAAATATTTGATTTGTTAAAAGATTTCATTGAAATAAATAATAGAAAAAGACAAGTAAATCAATACTAAAATATATAAACATTAAGGTACTTTACTTTTTTTAATAAATAAAAATTTAAAAGTATATTAAATAACAAGTGGCTAAACAAAAGTTTTAGTCACTAGTCATGTTTAATCAATATAGTGTTTAACAACATGCCACATGATGCTTATGCTATTTTTTCTACTTTCACTCTATTTCCAGGTTGAGGTTTTTGTATTTGAACTTTTGTATTTCAAATCTTTAAAATTCGTTTGCCCACTACCGGGAAATGTAAGGTTATAAATGCCGTGCCGCCCGTCACAAGCAAATGCGTAGGCGCAAGCTCCACCCCGTAACTAAAGTACTTTAGTCACGGGTTTGGTCGATCGGGTTAAAACTACTACTTTTCGTGTTTCAAAATCCTGGAAAAACTAGTGCCATTCAGATGGAAGTAAAAAAAAACAAATTAAACTTTCATATACATTCATAATGCGACGATTTACTCGTTTTGCATTTTAGTTAATGAAAAGCGGATTTGAGCAAATACTATTAACCAAATTGCATGTTACTAAAATTGTTAGCATTTAAATGACTATTTGACTGTTATTTTAACATTTCAAATTAAATCCTTATAAATTTTAACAAACGCAGTAAAAAATATTAAATTATAATATCAACTTTTAGTGAAATTAATTTCCGTCCGCCTTCAAAATCGGATTTATTACTCGTATTACTCGTATTTCCAAGTTCAATTAGAACAAGTACCCATGTACCTATAATCGGAATTTCCAAAACAGAGCACTTTATTAACATTTTGTTATATTCATTTAAATAGAATTGACAAGTAGGAATAATTAGTTATTGGAATAATATTATAGAAAGTTTACCTATATCAGTTTTAATATTTTAATACTCTTTTCGTACTAAAATTATATTAAATTATAATTCTGAGAAATATCTTGTATTCTAATATTATACTCGTTGCAACTTAGCTAGTAATATCAAAAGCGATGTTTCCCCATGCCTGCGTTTTATACATTGTGCAATATGCTTAAATAAATTGATAAAAATCTTACAATGAATGGAAACGTGCTGCGAATATTTATTAAATTTATATTATCGTCTTATTATTCCAGGAAAGCTTTCAATTTTGCCAACAACAAATAATGTAAACAACATTTTCCTATCATAACCAATATGAATTATATTCATTTACTAGCTTTTGTTCGCGACTTCATCCCGGTAATGTTTAATAAAAATGTAATTCGTTTTTACTCTCTTGTTCTAGGCATAGTATGTGTCAATTCTATCAATAAGATTAGCAATTTTATTTTAAAGAAATTAATTATATAAAGAATTGCTAATAATGCACATCAGCGCGCAATCTCGGATTCAACTATTTAACTATAACTATGATGAAATCTGAATGCCAACTTTTATCTTTTAGAGAAGAGCTGCCTTTTGGGTTTTCCCGGAAATTATTTAAATATTTCGTGCCGTAAAAACTATCCTTGAACTTTAACAAACATTTTTAAAAAATAATTGGCCAAATTGGTCCAGCCGTTTCCAACAGATTTTGCAATTTATTTTTATATTATAGATTTGTTTATTTGTGATGCTACAACGCAAAATCCACTAAACAAATTTTGATAAATGTTGATGTAAAAATATTCTCAACTGTGGAAAATAAAATAAGCTACTTTTATGTTTTATTTTTGCATGCAATTCAGCGCAGCATAAGTCAATAAATACAAATTAAGTAAACGAAGCTTGCAGTGCAATTGTATGCATCGTAACAACTATTTATGCTATATTTACATTCAGATCAACCATTATTGGGCCGATAATAAGCCCTCTTCATATTTAACATTTTATATTATCAATTTACATTTCATCATTGTTCATAAGTATTTGAAGTGTTAAATTAGATTCAAAATGCGCAATTCAATGCGCATCCAGTTCATAACGAATACCTATATTTAATTTCCATTGCTCGTTTTTGTGATTATTGCTAATGAGCATCTTCGCTTGATTGCAGAAATTGGCAATTTGGTGGATGGTACTGCACCGTGAATAATTTCATCGCTAATACAACCGTCGCTGCGAGTGTATTCACACTTACGGCCATGTGTTGCGACAGGTAAATAATAAATAAAATATTTTACATAAAAAATTAAATAAAATATTTTATTTTCAAAAAATATTTAATAATATTTTGTGAAGTTATATTAGAAGTTGTAACACTCAACAAACCACCATATCATTTATGAATAGATCCATCCATTCTGCAGAAACTAGAAAGAAGTAGAAAACTGAACAAATTGCAGCCGTAAATTGCGTTTTCGCTGCATTTCCAAACCCCGCCGCAATAACAACTTGTTCAGTTATGTTTTTCATCTTAGTGCTGAGTTATGAAGTTGTGTTATGAATCACGCAAATAGTTTCACGTCCTTGCAAATCATCTTCAGTATCAAAGTTTTAAATTATAATTCTTGAGTTCAAAATAATATCAAACTAATATTTAAAAAAAAAAAATTAATAATATATTTCTATGTTATATAATTTTGTCTTGTAGGGTTTCTTGTATTTCATTCTCAGAAAAAACGTAACATATTTTGTTCATATCCGTTTATTTCTCAGTATTTTTCGACATTTTCGGGCAGACGATTGGTTTTGGACCTTCTAACCTTTTATATCTCACTGACGAATAAAAGCACGAAGAGATAACTCACGAATGAAATCGTGATGTTTGTCCGGCAGATAAATTGGATAAATTTCGTTAGACTCCAAATTGAAAAGCCAACAAAGAATATTTACAAATCTATAGCGAACCAATTTATAAAGAATTTCCAGTACATATTTACGATTTTGACGGATTTTCTATGAAAGTATTTACATAAGAACATTTTTCCAGGCATTTCGCTATCGTTCACCCTCTGCATCCAAGAATGTCCAAGGTCACAGCGGTTGTAGTCATCGTGATGATTTGGTGTTTGAGTATGGCGCTTGCATCGCCATGTTTACTGTATTCAACCACCATTACATACAGGTTAGTATAATTTGCAACAAAAGTTGCCTATACTAAAAGTTTTACCACACAAATAAAAAACTTGGTTAATAAAGATAAATGTTGTGCGATAGTGAAGAAATTCCCGAATACGAGTAGTCTCAGCCATAAATACATAAAATGTACCTTTAAAGTGAGATTTATTTGAATTGCGATATTTTCTACAAAAAAGAAGGAAATTACATCTCAGTTAGCTAACTGACGCAAAAAACAACACAAATGAAATGTCGATGTCCGTGCCATTCGAGGGGATTTATTACGTTGTGAATGTTTCGAGCGGTTGTGAGGGAAACTTGCCATTAATTTCGCCAACTACTTCCTCACTTTATTACGCGCCCGTCGATGCGGTTTACGCGGCTGGAAAAGCGGAAAAGTGACCGAGTTTGCTGTCAACAATGGAGAAAACTGGGGAAACCTGCAAGTGGTGTGCTGAGCGCTAACAATAAACATGCAGACGCGTACGAATAATGTTCTTATTTTCATCGCCTAACATAATACCTCGTGAACGGATGGATTAAATTTCAAATTTCACGCAATCCATTCACGAAATCTACGAGAGTGTAAATTATAGTTAATACTAAATCAATTTAATCTGATTTATGGGTGGATTGATAATAGGTATCTGAATGTAAGGAATTAGTTGAATCTGGAATTCGGGTGTGGTTATATCTATAATATTAAAATGAATCGCAAAATCTGTTGGTAAGCGCATAACTCTCCAACGCCTAGATCAATATTGCCAATTCATTTTTTGAAATGTTTGTTAAAGTCCAAAAATGGTTTTTACTGCGAGAAACATTTGAATAATTGCCGGTAAAACCCTAAAAACAGCTCTTTTTTATAGGATAAAAGTATGCATTGAGATTCAATCATAGTTATAGTTAAATAGTTGAATCCGAGGTGGCGCGCTGATGTGCATTATAAGCAATTCTTTATAATTAATTACTTTAAAATAAAATTGCGAATCTTATTGATAGAATTGACACATACTATGTCTAGTACAAAAGAGTAAAAACGAATTACATTTTTATTAAGTGAATACATGCTTAATTGTTTATCTATCCTTTCATTCGATCAGATCAATACACTCAAGAAGATATCCCAAGAGATTTTACAAGTATTGGTTCATTCAAGTAAAATTAAATTTATTTTAAAAGAAAATTGACTATTTTTCTATTTGTTAACTTTGATACAGCTGAAACCTTATTTTTCAATTAATTTTTATAAGCGATCAAATGGCATGCCATGAAGGTCCGCTAATTGTATCGTGAAGGCATGAGTCGGTGGCGAATGAAAACAGCGCCGTATAACCTCATTGGAACTTTCAGTGATTAGTCTCCCGCAGGACTCACAGCAGGACGCCTTGCGTGTGTTGCGCGTCCAGCATTAATCAATTCAATTGGCTTTTCAACGCTTTCCCGCTAAAGCAGCCATTAAATACAATTAGTTTAATTACTATTGTAGTCTAATATTGCACACATTATGCAAGTTAATAATATTCTTAGACGTGGTCAATATTATGACCACTTTATACAACTTCTTATGATATTTATAGAAAACCCGCGACTTCGTTTCGGTAGTGTTTAATAAAAATGTACTTTGTTTTTACTCTCTTGTTCTAGACATAGTATGTGTCAATTCTATCAAAGAGATAAACAATTTTAATTTAAAGAAATTAATTATATAATGAATTGCTAATAATGCACTTCAGCGCGCCATATCGGATTCAACTATTTAACTATAACTATGTGCTAACTTTTATCCTATAGAAAAGGGCTGTTTTTAGGGTTTCCCCGGCAATTATTTGAATTTTTCTTGTCGTAAAAACCATCCTTGAACTTTAACAAACATTTTAAAAAATGAATTGACCAAATTGGTTTTGGCGTTGTTGAGTTATGTGCTTTCCAACATATTTTCCGATTCATTTTTATATTATAGATGAGTTGTTGCAATTCTACGACTTCGATTTGTAGAAGCTTTATCATAATTTAAATCTGTTTCATTTCCGTTTGTCTTCTTTAGATGCAAATTTTAATTTTTCTTGGAAACGTTTTTAATATTTACCAAATTAGTTGGAATAAATATTAATAAGACGTACATTTCAGGAAAGAAAAACGTATCAAAGAAAATTAATTTAGTATACAAAAACATATTAAACTATATTTTGTATGCTTTTCGATTTCCGCTCACCGTTTCTCCTGTAAACCTGGTGACACGTGCGGATTTCATTTCCGATTATATTAACCACATCCTTTTCATCCTTATTTCCACATGGATATTATTCACAAAGCAGTGAATTAATACAAACCTATCAAAGATATCAATATTACGTATTTGAGTTACATTCAGATAAATGTTCGGTATTGTGGTTGTGGTTTATTCGCCGAAATAAATTCCTAAATATTAATATTTCCTTTGTTTCAGATCAAATAAAGTTGAACGAACAGCTTGCATTCTCATTTGGCCAGACGGACAGCCCACTGATTCGAATATGGATTTTGGGTGAGTGTTATTAAATTAAATATATAGTTTGAATGTTAATTCTCTGAAACGACACATGAAATGTTTAAAATTAGTGTTTTTTGAAACAAAATACAGGTGTATGTTCATTTAGTTCATAATTTTATGGAAAATAACACCAACATAGTTAATTTTGTTATAAATAACATGATAACACATAATCAATATTACATTCCATCCAAAAGTACAGGAATACTTGAATAAGAATTATTTTAATTTGATACGTTTCTTTTTTTGTTGTGCTTTGTCTTTGCATAGTAAGAATGCAAGCAAAATACAATGCACAGTTTAATTAAAAACGTTTACGCGCCTATCATGCTGTGGACGTGCCTCAAAGACACTAATTTCGTCTTATCATTTCGTTGTTTTGTTTGCGTTAAAGAAATAGTAAACAGGAAAAATGTCTATTGTTTTCGTTTGTGCTGCGCTAATGCGGACGACGCACCACAACCGTATTGTTGTACACAATGGGGATGAAATTTAGTTACCAAGTGCTATTCCTAGTCATCACCTACGTTGTGCCCATGGCGTTGATGTCCTTCTTCTACACTGGCATTGGAAAAGTCCTCTGGGGGTCGGAATCTATTGGAGAGAGGACACAAACGCAACTTGATGCCATCAAATCAAAACGGAAGGTAAATAATTGTAATATTTTTAAAATTATTATTTCAAAGTAGCATTTAGCCCGCGACTTCGTCCCGGTAATGTTTAATCAAAATGTAATTTGTTTTTTTTCTGTTGCTCTAAACATGGTATGTGTCAATTCTATCAATATGATTCGCAATTTTATTTTAAAGAAATTAATTATATTAAGAATTGCTAATAATGCACTTCAGCGCGCCATCTCGGATTCAACTATTTAACTATAACTATGATTGATTCTCAATGCCAACTTTTATCCTATAGAAAAGAGCTGTTTTTAGGGGTTTTCCGGCAATTATTCGAATTTTTCTTGCCGTAAAAACCATCTCTGAACTTTAATGAACATTTAAAAAAAAGAATTGGTCAAATTGTTCCAGGCGTTGTTGAGTTATGCTCATACCAACACATTTTGCAATTCATTTTTCTATTATAGATATATAATTTTGACTTGTGAGTAATATGTTTTCATTTTATTTGCTTAAACACTAGAATATGTAATGAGAATTTCAAAACTGTATCACGTTGTACATTTGTACATAATTGACATACAGAATCATTCAAATAGATAACCGCAATTTCATTTCATAATGCGATTTACCAGTCAGAATTTCTCCGCAGTAATAATGCGGCGCACTCAGTTTGTAATCGCAAATCGCATTCGATTGATCCAACTCTCCCACTTCCCGATTTGTCGTTTTGTCATTCCGGAATAGTAACGTCGCAAAAGCCTCTTAAATTTCCAGTTCACATCACACAACACTAACATTATTAAGCGACATGAACAATTTTATGCAATTTAGATAAAAATGGTATTCAAATGTTAGGTTGTTACAGCATACAGCACACACAATGTTTATTTTTATTCTCCATTATATATTATAGTGATTGTTTTGAAACCAAGACGGGAAACAGAATCAAAGTCGAAGCGACTAAGTCAAGTACAGAAACTAAGTTGTAAATGTACGTAATAAGCAAGGGTCGGTCATCAAAGTATAAGTTCGGCCAAGTTTAGACCTAAATTCTGCTCGTTTTGACTGTGGCAATAAATTCCTAATTTACTAAATTAACTTGTGCTCGCATTACTACGTATTAATTGAGTGTTGAGCTTTATATAAACATAACTGAACAATACGCGTTTAAAAATAATTTTTAATAAACGTGATATTAATGTTTTTTTTTTATATAAAAGTTAACGTTGTTCATGCATGTTAAAAATTGTACATGCTCTGTTTATTCAATTTAACTCTGAGTTTCATTCTGCACTAGACAATAACGTGTGTAGAAAAAATTGCGCCCGCAGTTTAAAATGTTCTGCGGCATGGAGAGATAAAAACCGTTTAGACGTGTTCGTTCGTGCGATGAGGAACACATCTTAAAACGTGGTTGTTACTTTTTACAAGACGTCATGCCATTTTATGTTGCATTACATCTTTTCTTCTGAGACCTGGGAGAAAATGGGTAGTGGTACTAAAAATTTCCGCGTATCAGATTTCTGTTTTATATTTTACATTAAACTTTATATTTTTTTATATTAAATGCCATCATTCAACAACCATTATTTTATTAGGTAAAATATTCTTTCTTTTTATTAATTTTTAAATTATTTTTTCATGGAACTAGCTTTTGTCCGAGGCTTCGTCTCGGTAGTGTTTAATAAAAATGTAATTCGTTTTTACTCTCTTGTTCTAGACATAGTATGTGTCAATTCTATCAATAAAATTTGCAATTTTATTTTAAAGAAATTAATTTTATGAAGAATTGCTAATAATGCATTTCAGCACGCCATCTCGGATTCAACTATTTAACTATAACTATAATTGAATCTCAATGCCAACTTTTATCCTATAGAAAAAAGCTGTCTTTTGGGTTTTCCTGACAATTATTCAAATTTTTCTCGCCGTAAAAACCATCCTTGGACTTTAACGAACATTTGAAAAAAGAATTGGCCAAATTGGTCTAGGCGTTTTTGAGTTATTCGTTTTCCAACAGATTTTGCGATTCATTTTTATATTATAGATGAAAAAATTTATTATTTTTATAAAAATTTTATTTCTTTTATTTTCTGGCTTTTTAATTAATTACAAATTTAAATTATTTTTATTTCATGGTATATTCATTTTTATGAAATGATAAATGTTAAACATTATTAATTTTGTAAAGAAATGATGACATTCCAAAACGTTTCAAGAAAAATCTTCAAGATGTACTTGAATGAAAGATTTGCTGATTTTGACAGCACAAGAAAGTCACAATATCTAGAATTTCTCTCCATATTACATTTTCCTAGCATCGTGAATGCATCAAGTCCGGACTTGACCACAATGCGCTTTTCATAACTCCTTCACTTTCCAGACACATTTCTCGCACTTATTAAAAACTTTGATACTCACTGACATTAAATATTTCGATACTTACTTGGAGTAAAACTCAGCGGAAAATATTCAATTGATTTCTTGACGCGAATAAATGTGTTGCTTTCCCACTGCCAGGCGAAACGCGTCCTGAATATTTGAAACGTCTGAATGTGTTCGTCGCCGCCGCGCCAAAACAAAAACTCGCCTGACGCGCATGTGATTTGTATCTGAAAAGAATGTAACGTGCCAGGACAATGAACACCAGCACAGTCGGGAGTCCGTCGTGCGAAAAACGCATTGCAAGGATAAATTGCGATCCGTCAATTTATCACATGCGGGGGCGAGGCGAGCGATGCTCGGGTTTAACGATATTTGCAACTACAGAAGTGACATTTTTACCGTAGGTTGAGTAAAAAATAGTACATGTTGCATAATTTAATCTCAAATGTAATTTGACGTATAATATATTCATTAACATGCATTACGAATATTTCGTTGTTCTCGTATGGGGATTATTCTCTCATAATAAAATCTCATGAGGAACATGTTGATTGCATGTATATTGCAACCCTATTACCTATATTATATAATAATGCATTTATATTGTATGCAATAATCAGTGGCGTAGCTATATATATCGAGCATTGAAAAAAGCATAACTTTAAAATATTTCAGACTAGTTTATTCTCACTGGCTTTTTAGATAAAATTGAATTAATGCTTTCTTGTTTCTTGGATGTATTATGTGCCGATTCCATCAATAAGATTCGCAATTTTATTTTAAAGAAATTAATTATATAAAGAACATCCTTGGACTTTAACGAACATTTTTAAAGAAGAATTGGCCAAATTGGTCTAGGCGTTGTTGAGTTATGCGCTTACCAACAGTTTTCGCGATTCATATTTAAATTATTCAGGGTATTAACTTTAAATTATAACTACTAATAATTTAATACTTATTCTGCTATTTGAAACGGTGAAAAATCCAACAAATCATAAATCATCAACATCTGTCCATCCGTTCTTAAATTATTGATGCTGTAACTAACACGACTTTATTTGATACATAAATAGCTATTTTTTGTAGTTTGAAGCAGATTCAGTTGTTCTTGAAAACTCAAACAAAACTAAACTCTGAACCTGTATAAAACTCAAGGTCATATTACAGATTCATCACTCTTTTCTCTGTTAGGTTCACGTGTGATAAAAGCTACTAAAACCGCAAATGTTAGCTTATTTTGCATTTTTTAATTACCAAACTTTTAGCGTATCAAAATCCTTTTAGCTCCTGAACCCCAACGAATTCCGTATTCTTGTAATATAATAGTTACGCCACTGGTCTGGTAATAGGTAATTGTGTCCCACAACTGCAACACAACAAATTGAACTTGCAATATAATTCATTCTCCAGCAACTGGCGAAGTTTTGATTGTAATTTAATAGCCATTGTTATTATACATTGTTATCAACTTCAAATTTACTCTTGCTTTATAAATAACCCACTGCTATCCTTTTCAGGATTAGTATGCAAATGTCTGCATAAATTACGCGGCTAATCTTTGTTTGATCCCTTACAATCGTTCTCTAAACAACGCGTAAAACGTACGCTTGGCAACAATAAACAAACACTTTAATTTTATACAGTGAGTGCTAAACAATGTGCTAAACAATATGATTTTTTGCTGTTCCAGGTGGTTAAAATGATTATCTTCATTGTGCTGGTATTTGCCTGCTGCTGGCTGCCTTACCACGTGTACTTCATCTACACACACTTCGATCGCAGTATTCTCTACACACGTTATGTGCAGCACGTGTATCTTGCGTTTTATTGGTTTGCGATGTCGAACGCTATGGTTAATCCGCTGATCTACTACTGGATGAATGCGAAGTGAGTGTATTGTAATGTTGGTTGCCTATGTACGCACCAGCAGAATACAAATCTATCTATATATATAAAATTTGCGTGTCACAGTGTTTGTTTCCATACTCCTTCGAAACGGCTTTACCGATTTTTACCAAATTTTATATGCGTATTCAGTAGGTCTGAGAATCGGCTAACATCTATTTTTCATACCCCTAAGTGATAAGGGTTGTTCACCCTTAACTTTTTTTTAAATTTTTGGACAAATTCTTTTGTTTCTATTTTTTTATAATGTGGAATTAAAAAATACATACAACCCTAAATTTTTAGTTTTTTATCACCAACCCCTATTTCTTTATAGCCATTTTAGTAATTTAATCATTTTTCATCTCGCTCAAAGAAAATTTTTATATGCGTATTCAGTAGGTCTGAGAATCGGTAACTTCATATCTCTAAGTGATAAGGGTTGTTCACCCTTAATTTTTTTTAAATTTTGGTCGAATTTTTTTGTTTTTATTTTTTTAATGTGTTTTAATTAATTTTATTAAAATATACAATTTTTGGTTTCTCATCACCAACCCCTATTTTTTATAATAAGTAAGTTACTTTTTGTCTACACAAAAATTTATCTAGAAACTTGAAATAATTTATATGGCAAAACAACGTTTGCCCGGTTAACTAGTATTATATAAATATTTGTTATATAATAGGTTTCGAGGTTATTTTCGACGTGCAATCTGTTGTTGGCGTCCATTGGATCCAGAATTAGACTCAAACTTCAACGGACGCACCTTTAAATCAAGTAATAACATCAACAGAAATAAAATTTTATATTTGATATTTGAAAATGTTACCCAGCACGTTTTGAAGACGAAGAAACACGAATATCTCTGCGCCAGTTGAAGCATAGCTACACCCAGTCTACAACCGCCAGCAAGAATCACCACAGCAGATAGCAGTCGTACAGCAGCAGGCGCTCGATGCAGGGTCGGGAGAGCATCAAGAGTGGAAATGGCAAGTCCACCCTACCCGGGCAGAAGATCATCGTAATGGACGTGGTCGCCACGCAACAGCTCGCGGCGAAACTCCGAACCCTCTGAGTGCCGAAATCGAATCAAAATAATCAATGGTGAGCTTTAATCTCAACTTTTCTAGATTGATAACATAGAGTAGGTTAAATATTTAATCAAAAACCACGTACATTGAGTTACATTGGGTGAATATTAACGGCACTAAAATCAAAATTTACTTACATATGAAATGGACAATAAATGTACAACATTAACTTAAATTGGTATAACCTAGATTTTATTGCATGTCAAAACAGAATGAGGTTATGATAGAGAAAAGACTGAGATTTACATTTTATTCTCTGTATGACGGCGACTAGTCACTGAATACTAGTATTATCGAAAGATACGGAAAGGTTTATGTCGATATTGAATCGTAAAAATCGTAAACATGCGGATCAACAGCATAAGAATGATGGAGTCAAATTCTATCGGCATGACGACATGGCTTTTCGCAGTTCACATTTTTGTGCTTCATATTTATGAAATGTTAAAATATTTGCTTCCGAGGAGGCGATGCGATAGTTTTGAAACGATTTACGATGTTCTATTTTTCTATCAGGAAATATATTCAAAGTGTTTAGTAAAAATAATATTAGACTTAAAAATATTTATTTTATTTAAAATATAAACAATATATTTACTAAACATTTTGTGTATAGAATATAATCATTTTTATTATCTTAATTAAATGTGGTTTATTTTTAAAATAAAAATAGATGTACGATATAAAAATGTTTATAATCTACCAATTGCTGTTCGGAGTGTAAGTATAATTCTAATATTTAAATAAATAAAGTGTGATTATTTTATATAAATTTAATTATGACTAAAATAACGTCAGAGATACAATTAAATCATGTTTAATTTTTTTATTAATAAAAAACCGCATATTTCCCGGATATTACGTATTTTTTCAGTCATTATACTACAGTAAAATACAAAATTACGCACAAAACCACAATTCATAACTAAGTAACTGATTACAACTTCAATAAATACAAGAAATCGTTTAGTTTTATTTCAGTTTCTGTTTAATATTCATTGAATAAACATAACAAATCAAAATGAAAGTTTTTAATTCATTTGGATTTATTCCCATACTTATATTAGTGATAGTGATTGGTGAATATTCAACACATGCCCATCTACATCGATTTGTAAATGGCATTGGAGACGAATTTAGGAATTCACTTCGTGACATCTACCGTTCGTTGCATCGAGGACACAAACCGCGCTGGTATCATGAGCATCATCGACCCGAGCCTGTTCTACGACCTTTTGATAGGACAACAGCGCCTTCGACAACTAGAAGAACAACAACTAGAACTACAACAACTCCACGTTCAGTAATCGCAGATAGAAGAAGACCGAATATTCCTGCTTTTCCAAATAGAGATGTTATTAATACAAGACGAGTAGGAAATTCAGATTTTTGTAAGTTTTTTTATTGTTAATTTTTATTGTTTTATTGGTTAATTTTGGTATTTATTTATTTATTTTAATTTTTTATAGCTGATAAACCAGGTTATTGCCCGGGTAAACCAACAGGTCCATGGATATGTTCAAGCAGGTGTTCTTTAGACACTGACTGTCGTGGTGAGAAGAAATGTTGCAAAAATCGATGTGGAGCATTAGCGTGTGTAACACCTGAGAAACAAACTATTGATCCTGTTGAAGATCCATCAATCATATAAAAAATTAAAAAATAACCCAAAAACACATTTTTTAATATAAATTTCTATATTTTTTATTTTTTGTCACAATACACAAAATATGCAATAAAACAAATAAAATTCCATTTATACAGGTGATAATCCAATTAAATAAAGTGCAAAATCAATTTTGTTGTCCTTCCAGTAGGTTTCCATTACTATTATTACTAGCAATGTACATTTACGGCTATTTAACAACTCAATCAATATTTGCGAATTTAAACGGGCTTGTGCAACAGGTTCAACTATTAAACCTCCATAAAACTATTCCTTAAACTTGTTTAACTAAGCATTAATACTAAACTTCTAGAAATAAATAAATCAAAAGAAAACAAGTTTTTTACGCGTTTACTTCTCGTGTTCTCAGATACGACTAATCGCCATGACGCCCACGGCTATTAAACACGAGATATTATAATAATTATCGACAAACAATTAACTATTAACCATTAACCATTACACGCAGCAGTAAATAAAATTCTCGGAATAAAGTGAACACAAACAAAAACTGAGTCTCACAGCAAGCAAACAGGTGAACCACTGCCTCCAGCATGACTACCACTTATTTGTTATTACTTTATGACTCATAATAATTTTTTACATCAATAGTTTCTCTTTTTTTTATATAAATTTTAATCTCCTGCGTTTATATATTTATATTTTTTGCTAATCTGATTGATTTTAATGATTGAAATGAAATAGATACACACAAATGTCACAAAAGAAGTCACGCGAGTGTAACTAAACGAAATAAATGGAACATATGTAAATATTTATACCTGAATGCATCGCCATTCACTATAAATTCGAGGAACGTACGCCGCGGTAGCTTCATTTAATTCATCGCCAGCGCGAACGGTCGCCGGTGTTTTGTTGTTAACTGCAAGTGCTACATAGGTCTAAATTAACGACAAGCGCGCGCAATTGCAATTTGAATTGAAAATTGAGAATTACGACACAACGCAACCAGCAAGCAACAAGCGACAGTGCAATTGTAGAGTGTTCAGGCAGATCACGATCTATGTATTAAACTAACAAAGAATTAAATTGGGTTAATATCAATAAAATGGGTGAGTAGATAAAAAAATATTGATTTTTTAGCTTTTACATGAATACAACTTCAGTTAAAACTAAAAAAATAGGAAATGTTTGAGTTATTCGCAGAATTTAATCCAGTTTTTAATCAAAGTATAAATTTTAGTCGTATATAATTGTTTATATTAATAATATTTACAAATTTAATTAAAAATTTTATTTTTTACGCATTTTTCAACGAATTAAATTGTTTTAAATGAAAAAATAAGGTTTTTAATAATGATTCTTCATATTAATGAATTTTTTTTATTTTTCTGTTTTTTTTTTTAGCAAAACTCGTCCTTTCAGCTGTGTTAATCGTCGTCCTTTGTCAAACATGGACTCATGCTGCAGTCAGCCGTAAGTACCAACCAAAAAAATAACTGTCATCATTATAATATTTTAATTAATTTAATTTATTTCCACCTAAACCTTTTTTGTGCTTTTTGTTTCGTCGAAGACTTTTTTGTTTTTCTGGATGATGGTTAGTTACGAGCTTTATTCTCTCCCCAGCCCGTGCCCTTTTAATATGAAGCTATAAAACGCATTCACGCATTTTCCCAACCCGTCGAATTCGCTCTTTATTTCGCCCTCGCAACGCTCTTAAATGTGTACGTGAAATTCCTACTTATTTACATTCGCACATTACTGCAAGCTAAGCGGCAACCAACAATACAAACAGCGTGGGCGCTTGCAAATACGAGTAAACCCTAAGATCAACCAAGTCAAAGCGGTGACTTTCTTAATTTCACGCACAAATATATAGCACGGAAATGAATTGCGAGTAATACGCTTTTATATTGCGGTAAAATAGTTCGTAGTAAATTAAATGTTGAATGGGTTTTATTTTTTCTTGGAAAGCTTATGGAATGGTTGATCACAGGCTGTATATTGCAATGAGCTACTCAAATGTGTTATTTACTGCGTTTTCTGTGGAATTACTCCCCGGACGTAACGCAAATTGCTTTGCTTGATGTTGTTTCCGGTTTTGCTTGCTTTCTTCCATGTGAATCTAGCGTGATATTGACTTGAGGTCTAGCATAATTATCACAGTATTGATTTATCTGCATGTTGTATTTTAAATTTCAAAACAATGTGTGTTTGCGACGCTTTTACGGAAAAACCACGGAAGCAATTTTTATCATTTTTGGTAAAAAGATATTTTAGATCAAGGAAAAGGAAATAAGATATTGAATAAGATATGGAATTAATTATAGTTATCTATAATATAAAAATGAATTGCAAAATCTGTTGGTAAGCGCATAACTCAACAACGCTTAGACCAATTTGGCCAATTCTTTTTTAAATATTTGTTAAAGTCCAAAGATGGTTCTAACGGCGAGAAAAACTCGAATAATTACCGGGGACAGCCCTTTTGTATAGGATAAAAGTTGGCATTGAGATTAAATCATTATAGTTAAATAGTTGAATCCGAGATGTCGTGCTACAGTGCATTATTATCAATTCTTTATATAATTAATTTCTTTAAAATAATATTGCGAATCTTATTGATAGAATTGGCACATACTCCTACTATGTCTAAAACAAGAGAGTAAAAACAAATTACATTTTTATTAAACACTACCGGAACAAAATCGTGGGCAAAAGCTAGTAATTATATAATTAGATAAGGGTTAAGTTTATTATTAGTCTATCTTGTCTCTTAAAATTAAAATTGAGAATATTATTGACGAATTGGGAAATTTTATTGACAGCTGATGAATATTATAAAAGCATTAATATAGTTATTTAGGTTCAAACATTCCAAGAATTATTTACATTACAATTCAATGACATAGAGTGATAACCTACAGATAAACAAATTTATATATAAGTTTAAAAATATCAATGAACTGTTTAATTCTGCAATTACTGTCAAGCATACACTTGTTACAAATTGCGCGTCTAAAAATGAAGAAAACATCGGTAATATTTTTTCTTGTGGCAGTAGTATTGTTAAATCTTATTCAAATCAATGCACAAAGTAAGTAAAATCAATTAAATTATCAAAAACAATTCATATAATAAATTTTTGAAGAACCTGGAAAATGTCCTCGTATAACTGGCGAATGTGATATGTCGATGCCATTCCGACACTGTTTTACAGATTATTGTTGTCCTAGAGAACAAGTTTGTTGCCCAGATGCTTGTGAACGAATGGCATGTTTCACGCCCAGTCCGGATGAAGTAATTCCTGCAGTTGTTTAAATTTAAACTGTTTTGGAAGATATAAATATTTTAATTATATTATAATTGCCACAAGATGGGATTTATTATTGGAACACAAAATGAAACAGTAAATAGGATACTAATCAACGTTTACTTATCGTAACTGTAATTACAGCAGTAAATTAAGCGTTACATAATTAAACAATAAATGTGTGGTGCGCTTATGAAGCCCAGCAGTTGCTAGATGGGATAAATTACGATCAAATACAACCGTTTGTTATCAATAAAGCAATAAAACAAAACATATATAACTACATCTGATTAGTTTTATTGCCACATAAATTCACAATGTGTATATATGGTTGCCTATAAACATCTATTTTAATAAAAGTAATTAATTGATGTTTTGTTCATTTTTAGCGAATTGCCCGGTAAGCAGTAAAATGCAATCGTGTTCACCAAAGTGCAAGGACGATACTGAGTGTTTCGGGCAAAAATGCTGCCCGAATATATGCAACACAAAGTCCTGCACGCAACCCAACCAACAAAGCGGGGCCAATAATGGCTACAAAGGATCAAGCTGTAAGTTGTGTGCTTTATATAAAAAATATTTCTTTGTTGTTGATAATTTTTCACTTCAAGTTTACTTCTTGTGTTCTTGTTTTGTGTTTGACATTGTTGACTTTCCCAACACGAAATTGTTAGTTAAAAGTTTGTCTTCCAGCATGCTTTTCTATGTACTACTTTGGTGTGGTAGGAAGCACGTCGCAGACGTGCGAAAACTCGCGCCGAAAAAGTATTATAACTCTTGGAGACGAGAAAAAAACTATCCACAGGAAAACCGAGCGAAAAAATGCGCATCTGTGGGGACGGAAGGTGAAGCGAGTGAAAAAGCGAACGACATTTGCTTCTGAACGCCATATTTTTCACTCGGCTGCCTTGCGCAGAAAAAGCAAACTTTTTTTTGTGTATCTGAGTCTTTGATGTGGTGTTGCTTGTGTATGACGCATCGGCGGCGGTTACTTTACTACTCGCAACGCTGCAACACCACCGACAATTTATTCGATGATGGTTGTTTGATGTCGCTTCGTAAAATGTGAACAAAAACATGGCGCGCGGTAGCAATGGCATCTCACACGCGTGCTGAGAAATGATAAGAAATAAATAAGAGATATGAACACATAAAAGTTAACATTTCGTGCAAAAAACGAAATACTTTACTAAAATAACATGTTTTTTTCCAGCTGGAGCAACAGGATCGTATTGCGGCAATGTCAAGTGCAACTCGTTCGAGAAATGCGAATTGGACAGATCTACAAAGCGTCAGAAATGCGTCCGTGCCTAATGTAACCGAAGAAACATATTTTATTTGCTGTATTTTTTAGAAAGTGACATTTTTATTTTTACTCATAAAAATGTAAAATTCAAATATATTCACGATCACAATGTCTTAATTCGATTTCTAGACCGTCAACTACGTAATAATCATAATAATCAGATGAAAAGTGTATTGGGTATTGTGTCACTGGCGCGAAACGACGTATTGTAAATTATCTCACTTCCTGCCTCGACGCCAGCCAATTCTGTGCTCGCGCCATATCATATTTTACGTCATTATGTCGGATAACTCATACTCAACTCGCGCATAGCCACACATATCGTAATTTATAGTAAACCACATGAAAGCGAATCAAAATTTACATTTTAATTGCAAAATTCAACCAGAATATTTAAATTTACTACAAAATACATATAAAAACAAAATTGTTACAATACGTCGAAATTTTGTTTGGGAAATATTTAAACATTCTGTATAATAAAATGAATAAGAGATGTAGGTTTGGCAAAGTATGAATGGCGAACGAGTGCAAAAGAAAACGTAGTAAATCTCGATCATGAGACTCTGCAAACGCGTAATAAATCAACCCGTCGTCGGTTTGGGCGTCGCGACGCCGACGCCTTCCCTATTTCTTTGAAGTAACTTCCGCCCGGTTCGTTAAATCACAAATCCTACTTGAATTGAAAATTTATACAGAGGAATTCACCATAGTGCCATTACAGTTGCCTATAAACGCGTTTTTTAGGTTATGTGACAAATTTCTGCAAACAACAAGTGTTAACCATTTAGAATTACTTCTTATATTCTAAAATTTATTAACGCCGAACAAAGAATTCATTGTTGGAGGTTGATGCTAAATTAAAAATGTAAATACACGAAGGCTGAAAGTGAAATTCATAATCACATTTTCCATTCGTGTCAAATATTTGCGTATCAAATTCCCAATTCACACCTTGAAGAAAGTCGGATTTATTTATTGTATAAGTAGCTAATTAAAAATGTAAATACATTTTTAGGTTATAAATTTGCTTAAATTAATATTTATGGTCAGCTTCATTGATCTTCTTCTTCATTTGTAATAAATTATTAATTTTACTGAAGTTGAAATGTATATTCACGTTGACGTTGGGAAAGTTGCTTCGTAACTATTTCCGTATTTCTTTACTAAATTTCAAACACAAATAAAAACTGTGCAATATTTATTCGTGGTGTGAGATGTGAACAGTGCCCACATTTAATATTTGCTCTTCTTTGCGCGCTGGGTCGAAAGAAAGTGACAAAATTCATTTCTTGGCCGTGTGTCTAATTTAACTTGCAAATAAAAAAGAACAGATCTTGTGCATGAGTACAATTCACGTGGTTTTAAACTCTATGATCTTCTTACGTCGAAACATTATTTGTAAGTCAACAAAAGAGTTTAGGTATAAAAGGTACACGTAGTCAAAAAAACTTCACATTCCAACGTTCATCGTCCAATAACGCTTTCAGCGTTACAAGCTAAGCAAGAAAATGCGTTTCTTTGTGGTAAGTCTTCTAAAATTTAAAAATAAAAATAATTTAATTGATAAATAATTAAAAATCGTTTTTATTGCTTTTTTAGGTATTAGTAGCTTTGGTAGGGTTGATTTCCGCTGAACAATTGCGGAAAACAACAGCTACACCTCCAGCAACACCATCAACACCTTTGGGTTTGAAACCACCTGCGGCACCTTCAACTAAAATCAAGCGGGACAGTGATCTTATACCGGATTCACCAGTATTGGGACCCAACCAAGCTTTACCTTTGAATTCCCCTCAGAGTCAATTTGATCATTTTTACCAATCTGGTTTTGATGCACCGAAAGATTCCGGTGCGTCGCTAGGAGGTCAGGTTGATCAAGCAAGACTTGCTGGATTCTCTACATCAGGTCAAGGTCAAAGTGGTTTTGGTGGATCTGCTAGTTTCAATTCTGGTTTCAATGGATTCAGTGGAGGTCAGCAAGGAATTCAAGGCGGTCAACAATACACTCCAAATGGCGGATATAATTACGCCAATAACTTCAATCATGGCGAATTTAACGCTGGTAACTCTGAAATCAACTCTGGTAGCTCTGGCTTTGATAGCGGGTCCAGTTTCAGTGGAAACACTGGTTTTACTGGTGGTAATACTGACTTCAGCAATGATAACACCCGATTTAATGGAGATAGTAATACATTGACCAATAGCAACGGATTTGGTTCCTCAAATGGATTCTCAAGCAGTGGTAGTTTTTCAGGATCAACTGGTACCGGCTACAACCCAGGTTTAACTGAATCAATTGGGTCAGGATGTGGTAGTGGATGTTCTTCTGCACCTATCAATACTGAAACCCAAGGATACCCTAGATACAATGGCTGTGGTGGATCCTACACTTCTTCCAGTTCCACCAGTTCTGGATGTGGCTTTCCCCAACCCAGTTTCCAACCGAATGTTCAACCAATCGTCCAACCTCCCAAAATCATCACCAAAGAAGTCCGTGTACCAGTACCACAACCCTACCCTGTTACAGTTGTAAAGAAGGTACCAGTGCCAGTACCACAACCCTACCCGGTTCAAGTAGCTAAACCAGTACCATACCGCGTTGAGGTCCGTGTCCCAGTACCAGTACCCAAGCCATACCCAGTTACAGTCACGCAGAGGGTACCAGTGAAGGTCCCAGTCTACGTTAAGGTACCCCAACCTGTTCGCGTTGAAGTCCCAAGACCATACCCAGTTGAGAAACGTGTACCATACCCAGTTCAGGTTAAGGTACCAGTATACATCAGGGTACCTGTACCAACAAACACAGGTAACTACCAGGAGTACACCGGAAGCAATCAGAACTTCCAGGAGTTCCACCCAACTCCAGCTCCTTCCTTTGGCACACCTGCTGCTGTCTACGGCCCACCCGGTTACCAATCTGGTGGACCACTCAAGAAGAAGTAAACATACCACAAAGAAACACTTCTCAACGCATGAATGTATAATATATAATATAAATTGATAATAATTGTAATTAGTTATGTAAACTTCATGAAAATATATTTTTCTTATCATAAAACTCAACGTTGTGAAATTTTTATGTTAATTTGACATTTAATATAGAAAACCCAGAATATTTACCACGAAATTAAATTGAAATCGACATTCAGACACATTATGTTAATGTAAATAAAATAAATAATAAATTAATTGACGTTTTTTTCTTATGCAGCGGAGCTAGTCATTGTCTTAATTTATTTGCGGTATGAATGAGTTCATAGGAACTTTCTCCATGGATTTTAATGGTGTGTTACATTTTGTGCAATAAATAAACGATGACTAGCGGATAAAAAAATGCATTTTGCAAATAATTTACATATTAGGCAACAAAAGAATAACATTTTTGGCAAAAACATGCATAGAAGTATTTATTACTTCATTTTATCATAAATATTTAGGAAATAATTTAATGAATGAATAAATATACAAGGTGATCAATAAATATTGATAAATGTTATGTTATTTGATTTTTTCAAACTTGTTTTAAGGTTTTATGAATAACAAATACGTTATTTGACTTGGATTTTTTTAAATTTAAATTTTATGTAACACTCTGTATAAGTCTCAGATGTTTCTTTATCTTTATGCTGTCATTCAGGTTTGTGTAATTTAATAACGCATTATTTTTGTGAAAAAGGAGAATTAATTAAACCATAAGCATGATAATGTCACCAAAAGAAAGCGACATTCTTGTTCCGAATTTTGCGTGGAAATACGTCTCACCACCAACTGCGCCGACCGCAGCCTCATCTGCATTTGTAATGAAATCGAGAAGCGGCGAAACGGAAGAAACGTCGCATGCCACACTTAATGCAGCCCATAGAATTATAGATGAACTGAGGTAACAGGTGACTTTTTGATATTTTGCATTTTCTAAAAACTTTGAATTTCGTTGAGTGTTGGCGGGGTAGACCTGCCCGACAGAAGATTTTTGTATAAAAGCATCGACTTGGAAGGAACACAGCATCACAAACAGTTCTTCTGATCCAAGAACAAACAACAATAAGACTGAAGATGAAATATTTTTTGGTAAGTTTTATTTGTTTGTAATTGTAAAACTTGTTTATTTAAATATTATTTAATTATTAATTTAGGTACTGCTGTTGGTGGCTTTGGCTTTTGCTGAAGATCAAGCCCCAGCTAGAAAGACCAAAAGGTACGCCACTCGTCGAGGTGACCATGGTCATGGTCACAGTCATGAAGGGCATTCTTACGGTCCCAACGACCATTATTACCATTTAGATATTGGAAGTAACAACAACAATGGCGGCGGCAACATTAACCATTTCCATAATAATGATAATAGCTTCATTGGAACTGGAAACGATAATGGTTACATCGGCACTGGTTATGGCAATGGTTATGGTAATGGTTATGGCAATGGATACGGCTATGGCGATGGATATAGCAACCGTCCATCATCTGACACATACAGCACCAACTACTACACCAGCAGACCATCTATTCATACTCATCAAACCACTGGTCGCATTATTGCTACAAAAGTCCACAGTCATACACATACCCAGAACACCGTCACCAACGCCATTGGTATTCCAATCCCAAAACCCTACCCAGTTACCGTTTTGAAAAGGTCCATGTGCCTGTACCACGTCCTTATCCAGTACATGTTACCAAAAAGGTGCCAGTGCCAGTAGAGGTCCGCGTCCCAGTGGAAGTACCAAGGCCATACCCAGTGCATGTCACTCAAAGAGTCCCAGTACGTGTGCCAGTCTACGTCAGAGTACCACAACCTGTTCGTGTTGAAGTGCCCGTTCCAAGACCATACCCGGTTCATGTTGACAAACCAGTACCAGTTCCAGTCAGAGTACCTGTCTACGTCAAGGTTCCAGTCCCGGTTAACAATGGAGGTGGTCCTCATGTCGATCACATTGACATCCACCACACTGGTAATGGTGGTCCAGGAAGCATCTATGTCACTGGGCATACTGATAATGGTAATGGAGGCAGCGTTGGATCTATCAGTGGAACTGTAGGAGGTACTAGCAATGGAGGTGGTAGCATTGGAGGCGGCAGTATTAGTACAGGTAGTATTGGAGGTGGTTTTGTTGGAAATGGTGGAGGAGCCTTTGGAGGAGGCTCTACTATTTCATCTGGTACATCGTTTGAGGGTGGATCTGGTAGCTCGGGAAGTTTTGAAAGTGGAAGCTCTGGTGGATTTGTCCCAAGCACAGGCACTGGTCTCCCGGCTGGTCATCATGATGCCCACATTGATTTCCAAGGAGGATATTAATGAAATGAGTATTTTATACAGCTTATTTTTGTAATTGTTTTTGTATTGCATCCAAAAAAATTTAGATTATAGCAATAAAGTTTTTTGAACTTATTTGTGACTTAATACATAATACGTGAATCATAACGTCACAACACAAATATTTGTGATGTGTTATTTTGATGCAACACTATTACAACTTTAGATTTTCGTAGTTAAAAAGTACATTGCAACGCCATCTCAAAAGCATTAAGGACAACAACACTAGCACGTTTTACAAAATAGAGTAGACGATTCCTGTGTAAGCGCAACCTCACAACACAAGCTGCTCTAGGCACAAATTTTAAATCTACTATTTCGTAGATGGCGCATCGATGTATTTATATTGATCAAATTGGACTTTTATCACATTTTATCATTGTAACATTGTATTCGAATGGATATGGGACATTGGCACAACAACTCTATTGCACAGTTTACAATTTTAGTACTGGAGAATTAATCTAGCTTATATTAAATCATAAGAAGCCTGTAAAAATACCAATTTGATTCAAGTTTTATTCAAATCTTCATAGCACCAAAATATTATAGGAATAACTATGTTATTAACTGATTTTAGACTACACTATAGGTATAATTTCTTATTTTATTGACTTTTGAATCTTTAATATAAATATCAAAATTTTAACTAAAACCTTCTATGCTAAAATAGATTCTCCAAGAAAAAGGGAAAATCAAGACAGATGTCATATTCATTCGCACGTTCAAAAAAGATTTACAAAAATTTACAGAAGAAAAAGCACTGGGGGCAGATTTGTACACGAACGTGCCACCGATGCAAACGTCGACACTTTCTGCAATGCGTCAGATGAATGCCACCGCCATTGAACGTTTTCATTTCGGGCGATTGTTCGGATTGTCCTTATTACACATTCGACAGGCGAATGACTGAGTGGCTTCGCTCTATGCCCGCTATGTCCTCGCCTAGATGCGTGACAAGCATCAACGGAAAGCAATAGAACCTCAGCGATGAATTCATCAAATACATCAAACGCTTCACGCTTTGATTCTTCATCTTTACACCAGGCTTCTCCACCAGCCTCTATCACCCTAAATTTAACCTAAAATACTACAACTATAAATGGACTACAGTTGAGGTTATGTTATTCGCAAAAATACCTTCGTAATTAAAAAAATAAATTTTTGAATTTTCGTGTTTTTTGTCTAGAATTCTAGTCTTGGCCGATCGACACGTAGATTTTCCCAGTTTCGGTTGAGCATGGGCATTGTGCGCTGGTGATGGCGGCCCTCGCACAGTCCGATCCATCATGCGGTTGTCAGAGAGCTGCTGGCTACTCGTGCGCCGCCACCCCCGAACACCGCTCTTTCCGTTCCCTTGTTTCCTTTTACCAGCCTTACAGCGGCATTACGGTAGCTCGCTGTACAATGAGCTCATGAGAGCGACACGACGCATGCACTCACGTACACATATACTGTGCAAACGTGCGCAATTCTTGGAAATTGTTGAAAGAACATTGGACCAAATTCAACACGACGCAAAAACATCAAAAGAATAAGAAATTATTAGGTTACCATCTGGAAATTTTAATAAAACGTAAAAATTTAATCAAATGTATGGTTATGTATACAAAACTAACCTAAAAACCAACAAAACACAAATTTTTAGGTTATAATGTGATTTTTATGTGTTTTTACCATTTTTTCATATTGTTTAGTAAGTAAAAAGTCTTTTAACGTAATTTATAATGATTTGGAAGATTTAATCATAAAATTCGTAACTGTAAATTTTGTTATCGTACTAATTGAAACATCAAGTCGTCGATGCATAAGAAGGTGTAAATATTAGGTGTCAAGCTGTCTGCTGGTAACGATTACTTTTTCCCGTTGTCCAGATCGTGCCGAGCGCGTTTCGTGCCAATGATGTAGCAGCACGATGGAGGCACCTCCATGTCCTGCATGTCCTCCGTGCGCACGTCGCGCCCGCGTTTCTTGAGTTTTCAATTAGCGCCGACTTCAACTTCACTCGTCGTTCTTGTCAGTCGGTTCGAGATGATTAATCGGTCCGTGTGTCGACCCGGCCATTATTTGTTGCTGCTGCTGGTGACGGTACCGTTTTCGGACACTTCCTTTCCAACCGCTAGTATTGTAGATATTTCTACAAGTGTTAATATAGCAAAAAATACCAGAAATACATACAGTGTGTCTGATGTTGAATTAGATTAAGTTTAGAGGTATTATATGAATTTAGCTTTGGATTATGGTTCGTAATGCACTTATACTCACACATCACACATGGGTTTGGGTTGTAGGGTTTGGGTGGGTTATGAGTATGCTTACAATGAAATTGCGGTGCATTGTGTTCGCGACCGCCTGGATGGCTGCTGTTTCGGCGTCGCTCGCCCCGACGCATATGCATGGCGATGGCGGCGCTGTTTACTCAGGGGTTCCCAGTGATCCATCAACCTTCCCGTCAGTGCCCATTAGCACGCTCAGCGCGCTCCCAGCGCCCCGACTCGCCTCGACTCGCTCGCTTGCCGCGTTATCCCGATTACAGCCACCATGCGCGCCTTTTTTTCCGTTCGCCTTTTGAAAAACTCAGCCAACCCGGGTGCGATCCCCGCGTGAAAGCTCTAAGCAAACAAAATTATGAATGTTACAGCACAATTCGACACAGTCGTCGTCTAGTTCCAAAGTTGCAAAAATTTTAGCCATTTTATAATATAGTGTTGAAAATAGGTACTATAATTTTAATTATGTGATGTTTGGTTTGTAATATGTTTGAAAACGCCAGGCGTAGAATCAATAGAGATTTAAATTTGGTGTAATTTTGATGGAATAATCAGTCATAATATGAAAAGGGGTTTAATTTAGCGCTTAACGGGTTACACCGCATGCTGACAGCGCTTTGAGCTTTTGAAAATGTTCCTGTATATCGGCCGTAACGAAGTTAATCTCATTTTGATGACATTATTCGCGTGTTATTTGAACAACCATCAACCACAAATCTGGCAATATACAAATTTCAATGTCAATTACAAATTAAACTAATAATATTTTTAGTTATTAATGTATTAAAGAAATACAATAAAATAACAACATAGAATTAAGGTTATTAAGCGAGTTAGGCAACCAATATTAGCTACAAAATCCACAGCAAATCTCAATTTTACTCCCAACATTCAAAATTTGAGTAAAAAAATTTGTCCAAATCATATTTCATGTTTGATATTCCAAAAACGGAATAAATTAACGTGTAACATGTCAATCGTGTCTTTAATTGGTTGTATAGTTGGATAATGCGTTTGTGAGAAAGAAAACTATTCAAAACAAACACTTTTCGAAGTAGTGTTTGGTGATAATTTGATAATAGCTCTGTATAACTTTTTTGAACACGCATATATTAATTACCACGTTTTTACATGTCAAAAACTTCCTTAAAAACCGAAATATTCTCATAAATCTATAACCTAAAAATGAATCGCAAAATCTGTTGGTAAGCGCATAACTCAACAAAGCCTAGATCAATTTGCCCAATTCTTTTTTTAAAATGTTTGTTAAAGTTCGAGGATGGTTTTAACGGCAAGAAAAATTCGAATAATTGCCGAGAAAACCTTAAAGACAGTCCTTTTCTATAGGATAAAAGTTGGTATTGAGATTCAATCTTAGTTATAGTTAAATAGTTGAATCCGAGATGGCGCGCTGAAGTGCATTATTAGCAATTCTTTATATAATTAATTTCTTTAATAGAAAATTGCGAATCTTGTTGATAGAATTGACACGTACCTACTATGTCTAGAACAAGAGAGTAAAAAACAAATTACATTTTTATTAAACACTACCGGGACGAAGTCGATGGCAAAAGCTAATAATTTAATAAAATAACAATATTTTTTATTTTACTATATCCAATATTCTCAAGATACTGATTTAAATGTTAAATTGATTGTAAATCGCAAAGGGTCTATCTTTTATCGCATCATCTGCTATTATCTGTAATACTAGACAACCCGTCGAGGGTGCAAACGACATGCAAAACACTCAATGGCCTGTAAACCTCAAATCCGCACCAGCTTTACAGGCTTCAAGCATCCTCAATATGCAAACTACCCAACCATCCACACTAATACAACCAAAGCACCCCAAATAGAATATAAATTTGACTTTGTAAGCTTTACCAAAACTATTTTTGCCTACATTTTATTTCTGAAACGGATATAGGTAAGTCAAAGGTAAGCTAGGTAAACATGTCCAAACAAACAATTACAAACGCACAAAAATGTGAAAGAATGGCATTATCTCTTTGGAGAATTTCATTGTCCGAATAGTTTAGGTAAATTTCAGTGACAGTGTGTGACAGGAGTCAACTAGACACCAGACACTTCACTCTACTCAACAAATACAAAAATCATGAATGAAGATGTTTAGACATAACCGGAAAGTATATTTCTATAAATATTTGTTGTTTGTCAGAGTGCAACTGCAACTGATGAAGGTAGTATTAGGTAAATAAACACAGGTATATCGGAAACAAACCAGATAAGCTATAATTGTGGCCGATACCAAATACTAAATGAGTGTCTATTCATGCTTATCATCCGAACAGGTAGCTGAATAATGATGATATATTGTGCGTAATGTGTTTTACTATATTTGGAAAGGTGTTAGTTATTAAGTCAACATCGACTCATGTCGGAATATCAGGTTTAAATATAGAAGGTTATTAATATTAGCGTTTCACCATTTGTGTTGGATGATTATATGACTCTAATCAACTAAAAGTATAAAAATAAATGCAATTCAATATTGTTTAACTGTCTGGTTAGTAAAGAGATAATAATGTTAAAATAATTGTATTAGTGTAACATTGGTTCACGAGGAATATTGTATAAATACCTACTATAAATGTAATTAAAAATATATTTAATCACGAAAATCTATTGGAGAATAATAATTAATAATTTTTAATGTTGGTTTTTTAATAAAATTGCTTCAAGTTTAACGATTTCAATGATCTAAAATGCTTGAAAATTTTTATTATAGCAAACAGCACGTTTTGAGCTTAAATCAGCGTTTTAACGCGAAAAACAGCATAAAATCGACGAAATTTTTATTGATGGTTTTTTTAATAAAATTGCTTCTAGTTTAACGATTTCAACGAATAATAATTAAATATATAAGAAGGGCATCTTGATATAGGGGAAAGTAGCCATATTTGGACCATTTTTATATTTTTTGATTTATAGAGCCACATATAAACTGTCAATAAAAATTAAGTAGCGGAAAAGTAACTCACAAGGCTTACCAACAAAATGATATTTTTGGGTTAAGTAAAAATTATATTTATACCCCTCAAATTTCAATTTAAAAAAATTGTGTTTTTGGTCCAAATTAAGAAACCGGTTTCCTAAATTGGACCGCGCGGTTTCCTAAATTGGACCATGCTTTTTTAACGGCAATTGACACAACAGTAAATTTTAGTTTTAGCAGTAACACATGCACATTTTGTTTAAACCAAAGTGCGGCATTTCATACAGTGGATCATTTCGAAGATTTGAGCTCGTCCACAAGCTTTTCTAGGAGGTCGAAAAAATGATATACGTTTTCCCTGTAAAACTCCGGTGTCTGTCTTCGGTCCAACTTGGGCAACTTGAAGAATTTATATATAATGATCAACAACAATCTTAATATAACATAACCTCTCAAAATTAATACTATAAATTATAGATAAATAAAGAAGCTTTCTGATGATAAAATAATAATCGGTAAAACTAACGTTTTAACGGCTTGACAGCTCTTGCACTTACGTCGTTATAATAGATTTGATAATCAATGATACACGAAGTTGTTGTCACGACGAAAGCAAGCGGCAAGTTTTAACCCAAATAGTTGCATTAATTGTTTATAAATACGAGTAAAACAAGGGGCCAGTCAATTTTTGCATAAACTTCAACAGTCCGCGGATATCGTGGTGGTCCAACTTAGGCGCTGGTCCAAATTATGCTACCTTCCCCTAAGTCTTTTTTTATATCAAGTGACAGTAACATATAAACTTCTGCCACTCAATGTCAAAGTGAACAGGTAGACATCTCTTTTGCTTGCTCCTGTACTCTGAAGAGTTTTCATATTTATAGTTGTAGGTACCTATTATCTAAGGTATCATCATTCTAATGAATCAATTTAAGAAGAATCAATTTTTATCATAATAATGCAGTAATTTTGTTTTTATGCCAAAGATTTTGTGATAATTAAAATTTGAAGTAATTGAGAGATCAAAAATAATCTATTAGAAATGCAGACATGTGATTAATGCTACAGTTTAAACATTTGCTTCTGCCAATTTTAAAAATGGTATTTTAGTACATTTTAACATTACATCTGCCCTAAAATATAGGTATAAAAATGAATGCACATTGAAAAAATTCTTAGTGATTCGTAAAAAAGACAGTTACAAGAAGTCAACTTATGTACGCCTGTCAAAAAAGTTACTCGTGTCTGCAGAGTGAAAAGGGCTGAGATAGCTGAGAGACGCTCGTTGATAGAGGAAGCCCCATGGGGATTTGAAACCATCTTGTAAAGTTACCTATGTCTGTATCTCTGCTTGTTTGCTCGACAAGTCCAAAAGACCAAAAAGACCAAAAACGAAAAATCCAGAAGACTCCTTTCTTCAATGGTCCAGTCAAATTCAGTCAAAATGTCAAATTAGACATTTTCTTTAACCAATAGGAATTCCAATGTATAACAACTTATTTTTAGTGTAGTGTACTTTCCTATATATCAACATAAAATTTATTCAAATATTGTAATACAATACCTACTAACAACATGTTTAAAAATAGAAATAGAGGTATTAAGTCTTCTTCACCTCAATTTGGTGCATTTGTTTCAGTCACTGAACACACAGAACAAGTGTGAGTTTAGATTAGGTATAAATATTAATTAAGACTTACCCAAGTGTTAACTTGATAATCTGATGATCACGCATGTTAAATTAATTAGAAATTTGAATTAGATTTAGTCGAGAGCCACTCAAATGTAAAAATACGTATTTAAATACATTTAAAATATGAAAGAAGGAACAATGTTAAACAAAATAACAAAGATATAATTATAAATATGGATAGAAATATAAAATAATTAATTAAATATAATAAAAAAAATTAAAATGAATAAAAAAATATTTGATTAATTTTTCTGTTAGTTACGAAGATAAATTGTCTTGAATTAAATTTATTATTATCATACCCATTTAAAACTATGGATTCACACAATAAATATTAATTTATTTCCATGTTGATACACATTTTTATTTAATTTTCTTGCTATGTTGGCAGTAACAATATTATTAACAAAATTAATTTTTATATTCCCATCAAGGAATAATCCCAAACGTATTTAATGCTAAATTAATATTAACGCGCGATGCGAAGGAAACAATTATGCATCTAATAAGCCACCCTCGCTGGGGAAGCAAAAAACTAACGCACAACGCGTGTTTGAATATTAAATGTCGAAAAACGCAGTGGCTTTCCATGTGCTTCACGCGAATAGTGAATGGCAGCCCTGATGATATCTCACACGTCGCACACACTTATCTGAATCAGCTTATGGAATTAAATTGCATGTTCTGCACGACATATCAAAAATACATCAATTTTTATTTCTTAATTTTTCACATTTAGTACAAACGGATAAAAATTTATTTATTTTTGTCTTCATAACAAAACACTCTGTATATAATAGGTATAGTTGGATATTCTTTATTAGCTTGAAAGTGATAACAATCGACGGTTGGGTGGCAGCTCGTTGGCGGAGGCGGCAACTCAACCGAGTGTAAAGTGTCTCGAATGTCAGCCGTTCGCGTTAACGTGTATCCGCGTCCATCAGATAAGCCATAAATATCTAAGTGAAATGTAATGCTAAAAAGGGCTAACATAGTAGATATCAACCATTATACTGCCCTTGAATACTTCAAAAACGCATAAAGATAGAAATTTATGCATGAAGCAACAAACAAACAAACAGTATTTCAACACTGAATTAACCGGTTGCCGACGCCGAATGGTAGTGAATGGTGGAGATGCTCGATGGCCAATCCCCAACCGAACCCAGCATCCCGTCATCCTGCATTCGACACGCCCCACGGTAAAACCTCCAGCTCTCTCCCCGGAGCGACCCGGAGTCGCCCATCGCCGCGCGCAACCGTCGACTCCGCCCGCTTTTCAACTTCATACCTCAGCGTCGTCCAAGCGCCACGACCGCCAGTAGCCCATGCAAACGACTAACTACCATACATTGCGAACACAAACCGACACACAACGCGAACAATCACGCAGTGCGCGTTATCTATAAAAACCTAAACCGCGACGCGTGTTGATAATAGCGGCCAGTTTCGTGGACGACGTAGACACAACCGGTGCGGGTGTTTGTGTGGATCCATCAGTAAACTCATTAGAAACCTCTCTATTTAGACAAGTTTTAAAAAGGTTAAAACGTTTGATGTTTTGTGTAACCTAGAGAAATAGTGATTTAGTGGTCTGTTGCAAGATGATGATGATGGATGTTGGAATGTACAACCACGGAACCAACTTGAACCTGCAACCAAGCGCTCCAGCTTACACCCCACATCACCATCATCAACCGGAAGCATACTACAATTATCCGGCGGATCCATGTGCTCAAACCCATCAAATCGCAGCTACACCATCAACGTATTCTTCATACCATCACTATGAAGATGCTTCATATCACTACAACCATGTGGATGTCACCCAGGAAGCTCCACCTAGTCCCCAAGGTGATATAAACTACTATCACCATCATCATAATTCCTCAACTGGTACAGGTCAACAGTCAGGAGTTAATATAACCCATCCATTGGAAACACCTCCAAACCCTCCTAATATCATCTCAACAGATACAGGACTCTCCTATACTAATCTAGACTATGGTAACTCTAACTCTTCCAATAGTAGTTCCCTCTATCAGAACATCAGTGGATATTCTGGAGAATACCGTGATGGTAGACAAGTATCTTCAATTCTATCAAGAGATACTGATCTAAGACCTGATTCGTTGATCCTAAGAGGTCATCATCATAATGTGCATCATGAAGGGCATTATGATGGAAAGTATCAGAATCTGGAAGCTGTGAATGTTCCTGGGGATGTTTACTTGAATCAATGTTTGGATGGACCTGGAGTGGATTACCATCAACAGCATAGCATAGGGAGATTGGGTTATAAAGATGAGGAAAGGCACCATCATATGAGACAACATGTTTTGATGCAACATCAACATCCTGGACAACTAGGACATCCTCAGAATCAAGCTGGGCAACAACAGCAACAACATCAGTCGCATTCTTCGGCTTTACCAACTTACAAATGGATGCAGGTCAAGAGGAATGTACCAAAACCAGGTAAGTCACATAAATCTTATCTTATGGGATAAAACAGTGATTTGAGGATAAATCTTGATATATCCAGTCTGTATCTATCTTAATTCGTAATTCTGATTGTATAAAATGTAAGTACTTATCTGGTGATAAGAGATAGCTCTGTATCACGTAGGTACTCGGTTGCATCACATACCCGACGTGTTTGATACAAGGTAAACGCCGAAATTGTCTAGTTGTGATGTGTTGCAACATTTGGTACTTAACCTCAACAGTTCTCAAATGTACAGATAAGGTTATGTAAGAGTGGATGCAATTGTGGTTGTATGCGGTTTTATGGAAGGTTTTTTTATGCGTTTTCATTCTGATAGGGCAAATTAAATGTAACAATATTTTGGTCAGCACAAACCTATCGCGTTGATCGGGCGCTCGTGCGACTTGTGACATAATAACGCGCCCGCTGAGGGTTTGCTGTGCACACACGTTTTCGTTTTTAGCGGCGGGGTGGTGTTTGCGTGTGCGGCCGAAAAACACGCGCGCGGTTTTAATACCTACTTTCAGAATGTTGAGTTGGCCGAAAGTTTTCGATTGTTTCGTCAGCTAATGTCATGATATTCTAGTTTATAAATTTTTTATTAAATTGTAAGTAAAAATATTGGTAACTAGCTTTTGCTCGCGATTTCGTCCTGGTAGTGTTTAATAATAATGTAATTCGTTTTTACTCTCTTGTTCTAAACATAGTATGTGCCAATTCTATCAATAAGATTAGCAATTTTATTTTAAAAAAAATTAATTATATAAAGAATTGCTTATAATGCACTTCAGCGCGCCATCTCGGATTCAACTATTTAACTATAACTATGATTGAATCTCTTCTATCCTATAGAAAAGGGCTGTCTTTAGAGTTTTCCCGGCAATTATTCGAATTTTTCTCGTCGCAAAAACCATCCTTGGACTTTAAGGAACATTTTAAAAAAAGAATTGGCCAAATTAGTCAAAGCGTTGTTGAGTTATGCGCTTTCCAACAGATTATGCGATTCATTTTTATATTATAGATTATTTTCTTTATTTGCATTATTTTTAAGTTTTGAGAAAAAACACAAAAAATGATGCTAAAATCAGAATCACATCAAGTAGTGATAACATTTTTTTGCGATTGTATCAGTTTCAATGCACTTGAAATATTTGTATCTGAATTCTCGGAACTGATCATTGATCATTTTTATGTGTTGATACATGCATAACGTGATAATGGTCTCGGAACCTTATCGCCACTTCCTTAATGAGAAGTGTTGCAAGTGCGTTTCATCATTTTTTAATTTCTTCATCAGTCAATGTTCAATATGTTCAATGAACTTACAATTAATCAGTTTTTAATCCCAGCGAGAAATAAATATTTATGCAGACTGAAATGTGGAAATATTTATTGAGTTTTTAAAATTTTTATTTTTATTTGTTTCCAATCAAACAAATGTAAAAAATAATTTAATATTCAAATGTTTGGATGGTTGCATAATAAAAAAAGAACGCATTTGCCAGTCGGTTGACAATCCGCCGAGGCGTGTAAACTGTATGCCAACAAAAAACATTCTGTATATATATAAGTATATATAGTCACTCTACCCCGATGGGGAGAACTTTTGCCGACATCCAATCCACTTCGGTGTACATCTTCTCGCGTCAACTCTATTTCGTTCGCCGCGTTGTTTTTCATCCCCGGCGGGAGCGCTTTTTCTGGCCGGGTAATTTCGAAAAGACGCGCCGGCGAAAAAGGCAAGCAAACACAGCTGATCCTAGAGTCAACAATGGTGCAAACAATATCATCTCATCATCATCAGCTAAAAACCTAACTGTTTCAAAATATTTAAAAAACCAATCATAAAATATTTTATTTTTTTCCCTTACACATTTTAAATCACTAGAACTTAAAAATAATTTATGAAATTTTTTACAAAAAAAATAAATTTATTAGATTATATCTGAAACAGTCAGTATAACAGCTATTGACTTGGTTTTGCGTAATGCGGTTTTTCTGGCATTCAAAAATTCATCCTCCGCCTGACTCCAGAGTCAAGAAGGGTCGATGCGTGCATGTTGAGTTGTTTGCTATTGTTTTAATGCGCAAACAGGGGGTGCTGGCAGCCGATGGGCAAACAGGGATCATCTAATCTAATTCCATACCTACTCAAATCATCCAAATCAAAATAAAATCACTCAAAATCGTCCAAAGTATAACCTCAAACTCTTCAATATTCAAAACTTCATTTTTCAACATAACCTCAATTTTTAACTCTTTAAGATTTATTTTATTGGTTTAATTATGATGCGGGTGTGCATCTGAAGTGCACCCCCATTCAGTAAAACCACTATTAAACTTACCATTACACCCTACCACCACCAACAGTGACTGTAGTTAAATGAAAGTCCAGCTAATGTGAACATTCAAATGTCCCATGTCCCAGAACTCTGGCTGTCGGCTGTCGCTTTAATAAACGAGTCCAGGAAAGCTTTTAGTACACCTCAAACAACACTTTCCAATCAAGGTGTCCCCGAAAACAATCCGCCACCAATATCAGCACATAAAAGCAATATTAGCATTATTAGCGCCTCGCTCAGTGTGTGATTTCCAACGTGCGTATTCGGACGTAATCAGTTCGCGTGCATCTCGCATTTGGGCGCTCTCCTCCCGCTTTTTTCTCATTCCAATTTCCATTCTAATGCCCTCGGCTCGCGGCCTTGTGGTAATTCCGCGTCCACGTCCAATTTCAATTCGAATCGCATGTCTTTCATTTCCAGCTATATCCAACACCCCGGTTGCGAGTGGGTTCTTGGTAATAGGCGCTTTTTATGTTCGTTTTTATTAAGTCGGCAAATAGTCTTTAATTCAAGACATTCTTGACATTCTGTCATTGTGTAGGTTCTCTTATTATCCGAATGAATGAAATGTTTGCACAATCACAATATGCATTTAAAATTGAAGTTGAAAAATAGTAAAAAGTTGATTGAGTAATCAACACGTGATAAAAACATGATTTATTAGTATATCCTGGTAAAAGTGCATTTGATTGATGTAAATTTCAAGTATTTTACTTAGAATAGATTATTATTTATCTTTAATTAATATTAATATTATTTTTGGAGTGTTTTCGATACAATTTGATCGTAGATAATAGCATGAAGGATCAGAGAGTTGAAGGCGACTCGAAAGTGTCTCTAGTTATGTTGTCCGCACGCCTGGCCGTAATTGCGCGCCGGGATGAAGGTGTGAGTCTAGGGAGACATTCATTAATTTGTTGTGACAGCGCGGTGTTAACTACACGCTACGTCGGTAATTAGACGTGACGTGTGCGCGCTTCGTGGTAAGAGGAACCAAACCAAACTGGACTGCAGCATCAAAATGTTCATCTCAAAATACTTACATCACCAAACTCTTTAAAATTAAAACTTAAAAAATTATTTCTTTAAATTTTGTTTAATTTTTCAATTTTTTTTGTTGAAAAACTAAATTTTTGCCTTTCTGATACACCCTGTATAAAATTTTATTTTAATTTCGAAAAATAATGATTGGACTTGCTTATATTCTCACTTAATTGAATGAAAAACTCAGCCAAGAGAAGAGGCAGAAGAAAAAAGCGAAGGTGTCACCGTTATAGGTTGTCGATGTTTGTCTCTTGTAGCAGACGCTGTCGTTGACGTCGATGTGTTCATCGCGCATGAACAACTCTACTCTACTCGACCGACCGACCAAAACGAGATGATACTCATATTTAATGTGCACGAGGAGTGAAAAATGTTAAAATGCAAGTTGCATCTGTATAGTGTTCATGTCTGAAAGCGAACGGACACGAAAGGTTGGAGTCAGGTTTAAGATCTGGCATCTTGGGTCCCGGAGCTCGAAGCTCGAGACTTGAGGTTTTTGTTTTAAGTCAATTAGATATGATATCGATATGCTCGATACCTGTTAGCGTTATTATGGTTATAGGTATATTTATATTAATGGTATGAGGTGCGGGTTCGGGTTTCAGTTTGTCAAGATAAAAATGACCAAAATGTCAGTGAGGAAAGCAAAGATGGGACAAGAAACAAGGAGAGGGCATAGTATTATAGATAGTTTTGTATGAAGAATGCATTTAAGGGAATTAATACGTATATAATCATAGTATACACTGCAAAAATGCAATTTTTTAAATTTTGAGTGTTTTATTGCATTTTATGTGATATTTTCTTTGAATTTGAGTTATTATTAGCTGTAGAATTTGTTTATTCTTGAAATAACAGTCTTAGAAGTAAAAAATATTAATTTTAGACATTAAAATCATAATTATTAACAATTTTAAACAATATGTAACCTCTTTAGCTATTAACATGTATATTGAGTTGCATACATTGCAAGGATAACGCCATCTCTCGCTATGAATTTTTAATTTTTTTATTTTATGAATCGAAAATTAAGTTAGCAATGAACTAAATCGTGTGGTTATTAATAGCGTCAGGCAATGCGGCGGCTTCCACATGTATGCCTACATGCATGTGAATGTGTGTGTGTGTGGAGGCGGCGTAATGCGCGTCGTTGCGGTAATAACAAACGGCGAGTGGCTGCTAAGTGAAGCAGGACGCCAGTTATAGCAGGATTAGCAGGATGTGGCAAGAGGTGGGGCGCCCCCGCAAACGGGCGTTTTACCTTTATCCACCACGTTGTTGTTGAATTCAGTTAGCCGTCGGGGCCGGTCCTAAACTGGCAGCGACTAGCTGGTTGTCAGTCGAATTCGGTTTCCGTCGCGCTCTTGTTCCATCCTGAGAGCCCCCGAAGTGATCAATCCTGGCTGGTTAGACAGCCTCAACACCATCTGCATTCACGCGCTCGCCAGCAGCACGCAGCCGTGCCTCGGAGAGAAAAAAAGAAACACACACACAAACACAATATAAAAATCCATGCACCGGATATCATACAGAGTGTTACCACAAAAATAATCATCATTTAAGCATAAAAATATCATAATAACATTAATTAACCTAACATAACCTAAAATATCCAAACATAACAAAAATTAACCTAAAAGTTTTTAAAAATATTTTTTCTGTTTTTATGAATATTGTGGTAACACTAGGTGTATTAATATATGTGTAGCTCTCTTCATTCTTTTATCTTTCCCTCGTTATGCTGGAATATCCGAGAATCGTATAATATTATAATAATAATCAGCATCAGAAATGGGCGAGCACCATGCGGAGCGCCATCAGCATCAACACGAATATCAACCTAATCAAATTCACTTACGCACTCCGCCTTTTCGTTCCCTTATACTTCGCCTCTTATCTGCCAACATCTTCATTTTCTTTTCCTTTTTTTTTCATTACTTTCTGCCCTCTCCAAAAAGTCACAAAAAAACATTTTTCGGGGTGGGATATATCCAGGCTAAGTGAAGAATGGATTGAGGATCACAAATGTTAACCATTAAGTGCTTTATTATATTATTTCTTACGTAAGTTTCAAAAAATTAAAATTCACAACAAAATTTTTGTTTGCTTGATGAATTTTCTTGTTTGAAGTTAAACTTTTCTCGTTTCTATGTTATCTAAATGCACTATGCATGTTAATATCAGATGGGCAGTTGGTAGCAGGATGACGTTGCACACGAGGTTTTTCATTTACCTCGCGCGGCATTAGTTGTTATATTTTTCCATTTACGTTGGCAGGCGAGTGCAAAGTAGGTGGTGTGTTGGCGCTTGTCGGGGCCGGTATTTTTCGCCTTTTTTTCGCTCGAACGGACTTCTCCTCGGCTTCCTGGCCGCGTTCGTGAATGCTGAACACACATCGTATGCACCGGGTGGATAAGGCCGGAAACAGTCGCAAGTGTCAGCTCGTTCCATGTCAAATTCGATAAAATCTTTTTCACGTGTACTACCTACGCGCCATGTACTCGTTTCGAAACATCAAAACTGAAAAACTTCCACTTCTCCAAGCAGAAACTAATAAAACTTTCGTCTACCTACTACCTGACTTTTGTGTTAGTAAGTTATCAAAGAAAATCTCAGAATTAAACCCGCAAAACTAATTTTAATTAGTAAAATATTAAATTTATATAAAACACGACTTCGTCCTGGTAGTGTATAATAAAAATGTAATTCGTTTTTATTTTCTTGTTCTAGACATAGTCTGTGTCAATTCTATCTATAAGATTCGCAATTTTATTTTAAAGAAATTTATTATATAAAGAATTGCTAATAATGCACTTTATCGCGCCATCTCGGATTCAACTATTTAACTGTAACTATGATTGAATCTCAATGCCAACTTTTATCCTATAGAAAAAGGCTTCTTTAGGGTTTTCCCGGCAATTATTCAAATTTTTCTCGCCGTAAAAACCATCCTGGGAATTTAACAAACATTTTAAAAAAATAATTAGCCAAATTAGTCTAGGCGTTGTTGAGTTATGCGCTTACCAACAGATTTTACGATTCATTTCTATATTATAAATACAGATATTTTTATAATTTTATGATTGTATTTGTGTTGGTGTAGAAGCTGCATTAAGGATTTAAGGAAGACGGATTAGATCTTGATTAGCGCACACAATTCGCCTGCCGTAATTCGTAGAAACTACCCTCCGGCAAGCCCACTCCTGAAAATTGTATTGCGCGTTTCTTCTTTTTCCATCGTTGATACGCGCTGCTTAATCCAATCGCGACAGGACCATTCGTCTTCGTCGTCTTAAACTTGCTTATTGTGCTTGCCGTAGCAATTTCATTCAAAAAGTGTAGAAGAAAAAACACATCAACAGCTGAAACTTACAGAAAAACTACTTAAATTGAGATTAAAACTATTGCAATGTCATCAGAGTGCAATAAGAATCAAAGAATGTTGTCTGCGTTGTCAGATTAGTAATTTAGGTAATTTGGGAACTTAGAAGGGACGTGTTCAACCCTTTATTGCCACAGTTAGTTTTGTGCGATTTATTAAGGGTGAGGGGTGACACGGAGCGCAATATTACATGAAACTGGACACGAGCAGATGTTCCAAACTGACCGAATGTCCAAACTGTCAAAAACATTCGCTTAATACAAGAATATAGAGGAATAAATTGAAAAAAAGTAAAATTTTGCTGTTTTGAGGTTAATTTTATATTTTTTAGGTTACATAACCTATTTTTACATAGATGTCGCTTTATATGTTTAAGTATAATTATATTAATTGATTCCAGGACCTAAAACAACATCATCTAACATGGATTACAACCCAGTTCCAAACATGTCGAGCGCATCCACCAATTTAGAACTTCACCCGGCGTCTCGCCCTGCATGTTTGAGTAACTCTTCATTGGGCGCAAGCATGCTCAGTCTAAATTGCCTCAACACTGGCCGCACCAACTTCACTAACAAACAACTCACTGAGTTAGAAAAAGAGTTTCATTTCAATAAGTATTTAACGCGTGCGCGACGCATTGAGATTGCTTCAGCGCTCCAGCTCAACGAAACGCAAGTGAAAATCTGGTTCCAGAATCGTCGCATGAAGCAAAAGAAACGCATGAAGGAAGGATTAATTCCAGCTGGTGACACGCACGCAAACTCACCGCAAGGTGACCAAACGCAAGGAAGTAGCGAGAATAGTCGCGAATCGAATTAAACAAAAATTTAAAAAAAAACATGCTAATCACGCAAAGATTTTAAATAAAACTCGCCAAAGATACTACTAATAAATTATTTAGTGACGGATACTTTATAGAAACTTATGTGAAACTTAAAAATTCCTAAAACGTGTGCTATTCTTGGTTGAAAACTCATAAAACAAAAGTAAATTAATAACAAAAGTTTACAGTTTACAGCGATAATCATAACTTATTGATACATTAGTTGAAAAGTTTAGTGATACATGCTATTGTATTATTTAATATCTATTTAATTATTTAATTTATATCAGTTTTAGGTGTTTAGTAGCATCATAATATATTATATTATTGTATATTTGTAAATATCTAGTTGTAACTTAAGTCTACGGTAATCTTGTTAACGACTTGGAGGATTTCTTCGTTTATCGTTTTAGTTATATAGTCGATTTGCGTGATGAAATCGAGAGTCTTCGTAAACAACGCTAAACGCATATAAATCATGTAGAGTTGCTCAGGGAAATACATATTATATCGATGTATTATAAATAAATATTAATAATAATTACGTCTATCATTGAAACCTAAAACTAACGATTTCTTTGATTATGAATTTAATGATTATTGAATACTAGCTTTCGTCACGGTAGTGTTTAATAAAAATGTAATTTGTTTTTACTCTCTTATTCTAGACATAGTATGTGTCAATTCTATCAATAAAATTCACAATTTTATTTAAAAGAAATTAATTATATAAAGAATAGCTAATAATGCACTTCAACGCATATGATTGAATCTCAATGTCTTTAGGGTTTTCCCAGCAATTATTTGAATTTTTTTGCTGTAAAAACCATCTTTGGACTTTAACAAACATTTAAAAAAAATAATTGGCCAAATTGGTCTAGGCGTTGTTAAGTTATGCGCTTACCAACAGATTTTTCGAATTATTTTTATATTATAGATGATTATGAATGAATTCATATTGCAAATTACCCAAAATTTTCACCAAAAATTAAAACCTAATTCATTTTAAAATCGTTGTTATGATGAGAATAATAATTGAAGAAAGCAGAGTAAGATTGGTATAAATATTGGCAGCTCCACTCCAACCGCACTCCACTTCGTTCTTCATAACCTCAATCATGCTGGCGTTGTTTTTGTTTGAACATGGCGACCGTCTCAGGTCATCGTTTGCGTGTCTACAGAAATAGTCGTATTCGTTGAATGATGATAGACGTGTTGGGTTACGAGTACAGAGATATTGACGACGTTTTCTTTGCCAAACTTCAATCCATCTACAAAATAATCAATATTTTGAAAGTAAAATTGATAATATTAATGGAAAAGTTTACCCTAATTGACAATCGCATGATAATTTATTTTCATGCATTGAAATATCTTTGAGAAAAGATCGTCGTGGTTGATTTGGTCTGCTGGCTGTTGAAGGATTCTCAAAATGTTGTAATTGCCAGTTGTAGTTTAATTCAACAGTGATATTTCGTACTCTGGGCATGTTTTGAAAAATGTCTGCTTGGACCCTTCCTAAACTTGTGTTTCTGAGTGCAAAATGTAATGTTGGACTTCGAATTCCCTAAAATAAAACATTTAAATTTTTTTTTAAATTTTTTAAAAAATTTATTAAAAATATTGTTACTTGTAATAAATCACTGGTAAAAGTAATCAATCCGACGCCTGAAAAAGTAATATTTCTCATTTTAGGTGGCATTTGACCATCCATTTCTTTTTGCAGCGAAGTTTCATGATCAACTTGTATTTCAAGATGTCTTAAACCTGAATTTTTCTTCAAAACCCTTGGAATATTGAAATTTTTCACATTATGATAAGATCCCATCTTTAAAGTTTGCAATGCGTACATTTTACACAAAACTCCATTCTAAAATGTTTATATTTTAGTATTATTACTAATACTAATAAATATCTTACTTCAAACGTGTTTAAATCAAACCCTCTGATATCCAACTGCTCCAAATGTTCGGCGACACCCAAAAGCGACGTGTTCGTCAACGACGTGATTGGATTACCAGCGAGGGATAAACGTCTAAGATTCGTCAACGAGTGCGTCACAATCGGGACAGCAGTCAGGTCATTGAAGTCCAGGTTTAGGGAACGCAGGTAGCTCATGTTGCCGGCCATCTCCGGCGGCACAGTAGGCAACGAGTTAAACGCCAATGAAAGTGAAAGAAGGTTGGGAAGTGGCAATTCAGGTATCTAAACATTTAAATATTCATTATAACCATAAAAATCTTAATAATTCTATTACTTACATAAGTTAATGATACATTATCCAATCCTAGTTCAAGTAAAGAATCTGAGACACCTTCAAAGCTTCTTCCATTGCGTTCCAAGACCAATTGTGCATTGTGACTCAGATCCAAACTAGATAATCGTTGCAGCATGCCAAAAGCTGCAATGTCAACTTGTACCAAACGATTATAAGACAAATCCAATCGGGATAATCTCTATAAACAATCAAAATTATAAAAAAAGATTTTTTTTTGTTATTTGAGGTTATATAACCTTAAATCTTTCAAACATCCCACCGGAAGCTACAGATGAAATACCATTCCAGGATAAATCTAAATATCCTAATGTAGCAGCCGCTTGTGGTACCATACTTGTTAAGGGTAGACGGTTAATTTGATTATTTGACAGATCCAACCATTCTAACCCTTCGTCCTTGAATAGATTATCCGGTAGAAAGCGAAAACGATTGTGTGAAAAGTCCACAACGCGTAAATTCAACAAAAATTTGAATAAATCGTTTGGTAACTCGGGTACGAAATTATGCGACATGTAAAACACCTTAAAATTAATTAAAACAGTAAAATTAATTAAAATGTAAATTTTTTTTTAATTTGTTTAAATACCTGTAATCTCTTTGTGTTTCTAAAAGTATCAAAATCAATCTCAAATAATCGATTATGACTCAAATCCAAGTATTGCAAATGCGGTAGATTACCAAAAATATCCTTGGTAGCATTATACAACGTATTGTGGCTTAAGTAAAGATGTGTCAATGACAACATGGCTGGTTTAAAGTAGTTTTTACTGATGACAGTAATATTATTGTAAGACATATCCAGAATTTTTATATTTGAGTGAGTTCCAATGGCACCTATGCAATGAATTTCAAAAAATGCAACTATATCCAAATTGAAGACTTAAGTCAATAACTTTTCCTAATGACTTACCTAGATTACCATCAAATGACGAAGTGGGACTTCCAACAATCAAATCAGCGATTTTGTTGTGGCTCACATTCACGCTGAACATTGCCAGTGTACCAACTTGGTCAAACATACTAAAGTCAAAATTGTTTAATTCATTGTAAGATAAGTCAAGGTCTTCCAATTCTGGTAGGTTTTGGAAGGCTTCATAAGAAATTGTGTTGATTTTGTTTCCTTTTAGATTTAGGCGTTTGATGTTTTCTAAATTCATGAATGCACGACGTTCTATGTTCTGGATCATATTGTCATCTAGGTGGAGTTGTTCTAAACTTGTAAGGTCAACGAATGTGTGTTGTTGAAGAGAGCGGATGACGTTGAAGGAGAGGTAGACGCTTTCTAACATTGAGTGTATATCACCCTTTAAATAATAAAAAAAAAGTTTTAATTTTTGAATTTAATTACAAGTGTTTTTAAATACCTGGAAAGTTCCTTTGTGAACTTCATCTATATTATTATCCTGCAACTCTAATCTTCTCAGTTTTTTCAAGAAATGAAAACTTGTATCAGGCATGCTCCGAATTTTATTATTACTTAAGTTCAATTCTTCTAAATTCTGCAAAGGGCGAAAACATTCCGAAGGTAGATTCGCTACTGAATGTGAAAAAGCATGTGATAGTTGTAGTGATACCAAAGAATGTCCAATCTGCAACCAAATATACATAACCATAAATTTTATATTCTGTTTTATATTTTACGACTTATATTTTATCAACTCGCTTTTGCCCGCGACTTCGTCCCGGTAGTGTTTAATAAAAATGTAATTCGTTTTTCCTCTCTTGTTCTAGACATAGTATGTTCAATTCAATCGACAAAACTCGCAATTTTATTTTAAAGAAATTAATTATATCAAGAATTGCTAATAATGCACTACAGCGCGCCATCTAGAATTCAACGATTTAACATTTAACTATAACTATGATTGAATCTCAATGCCAACTTTTATCTTATAGAAAAAAGCTGTCTTTAGAGTTTTCCGGGCAATTATTCGAATTTTTCTTACCATAAAAACCATTCTTGAACTCTAACAAACATTTAAAAAAAATAATTGGCCAAATTGATCTAGGCGTTGTAGAGTTATGCGCTTACCAACAGATTTTGCGATTCATATTTATATTATAGATAGAAACAACACTTACATCTGTAAATGCTTCCCGTTCAATAGAAGAAATACTATTTTCATTAAAATCCAACTTCTTGATTCCATGCACAAACTGAAAAGCATTATTTTTGACAGTTTGTAATCCAGCGTAATTAATCTGCAACTCCTCCAAGTCCATTCCAAACTCCATAAAATCCTCCGGACTCAAAGTACTTTTAGAAAGTTTAGATAATGACAAAAATCTTAAATTCCTCAAACGCCTCAAATCCTGAATATTAACAGGACTATTCTGAGACCCAGATAAATCCAATCGGTATAAAGTGAATTGAAATCCATTAAACAATTCCATTGGGTTGTAATTCTGTAACAAATTATCTCCCACACTTAACATACGGATATTATTCATACGATGAAAGATATCATGAGGCATCATGGTAATATTATTCCCGGAAAGATCCAAGTATTGAAGGTAATTCTCCAGACCATCGAAAGCCATCGGTGATATTTCACTTAGACCACAGGATCTTAAATACAATTCTCTAATTTTTGCTTGTCGGAAAGCATTATCTTCAACTTCTTCAATTGGATTACCATCTAGGTATGTCTTGTTTAACACATCAAAATATTGAAAAGAGGCTGGTGTTAAAATTTCAAGCTGATTGTAATCCAGCCGGAGCGTATCCAAAGAAAGCATGAAATTAAATTGTTGGTTATGATTGTCTCCGTTGACTTCCGGTTGCATTTTGTTGATATCATTATAAGACAAGTCTAGAGTTTTCAGGGACTTCAAAATCTGCACTGCTTGATATGGTATGGCTGTGAGTTGATTGTCACCTAGCAAAAGGTGTGCCAGTTTACCCATACCATCACGAAACACAGCAGGATCTATTTTTCGGAGGTTATTTCCACGTAAATCAATGGTATCCAACAATGGAAGACCTCCGAATGCATCAGTTGGTAGATGGTTAATGGAATTGTCAGCTAAGATAAGTGTTTCCAGAGAGTTTTCAAGACCTCGCCAGTTATCAGGTGAGATATCACCGATATCATTATCTAAATCACAAATTTTTAAATTTTAAATTTTTTTTAATTTTTATTTTTTTAAATTGATGGTAACACTTACTGGTAAGATCTAATACGCGTAACTTTTGTAGGTATCTCAAAGCTCGATTGGGGACTTTCGTTAGTTGGTTATGACTCAAATCCAACTCCCACAACGACCGCTCTAGACCCAGAAAGGTTTCGTCCGGTATATGCGGTAAAGGATTACGTTTCACCGTCAATTTATACAACCCTAAAGTATATTACATCAATACAAATCTATACGAATGTCATTCATTAAATAAAAAATATTGGTTTTATTTCTATTACCTGTACTTTGAAGGAAAAATGGTTCAAAATATCGTAGACCGTTATTTTCCAAATGAAGCATAAACACTTTGGAGGTGTTGATTGTTTGTGGAATAGACGGTAAAGGGATATCTTTACAGCGCACTATACCAAGATCTGGTATGGCTTTCGAACAACTGCACAGAGGGTTAAAGTAACATGGCGGATATCTTACGTCGTCTACTTCTTTTGCGTAACTTGAAGTTAGGATCATCAGGAAAATAGTTACGATTACAATCGCGTATCCTAACTTCATTATAGTCATTAACTCCTGAAATGTTTTTTTTTTTAATTTTAAATTTAATTTAATTACTTTTGAAAAAAAACTTGAATTAATTTTTTACCATTTTCATTGTGGGCACTTTATAGCTATAAATAATTGATTATTTTAACAACACATTTGTTTTTGATTGTTTTTTGCACTTATAACAATAAAAAATAACTTTTATGAAGTTTTTAAAGTTTAGTTGTTTTTTAGTCATCGATTAATACTCGGGACGCGCGTGTCCGTTCATTAAGGACACGTAGTACGCACTGATGTAATAAGTTCACTTGCTCTAAAAGTCTAAGGCGATTTGTGTTTTGCGGACGCCGGCGACATCGGCGGCGTTGGTTGACTAATGCATTGGAGCGCATCGCTATGGCTTCGCATCGTAACAAGATTACGGATGGAGTGTATTGTTTCGTTTATGGGTTCCATGCTATACCTACCTACGGAAGGAAATACGCCCAGAATGATGTATGCAAAATATCATCGATATCCTTAATACAACAATCCTATAAACTTACTCATGGTCAGATCAAATATTTGATTTACCGATTTGATTTAATTTTAATCAATTTAGGCAACTTACATTGTCTAAATTTTGTTTTTTTGTAATTATGTTAAAACTTATAACTTTTTAAGAATTTTAAGCTTATTATACTGAAAATAATTTGCAGTTGGTACTTAATAATATTTTGTAGCATCTAGGTACGTACCTAAAAAAATATGTAGGTAAATATCTGGAAAACTAGAATAAAACTATGTCGATGAGGGTCGTCAGTTCATAGGCATAAGCTTCTAATCTAATTTAACGAAATCGTCTATAACCCAACATCTCTTATATTGCAGTATAAACCCACATTCTGTTATAAAATATTTAATTCAAAAAAATTGTTTATTTTTAATTTGTTTGTTTGTTACTCCTTCGCGCAAAATTTACTTAACCAATTTTGATAAAACTGAAACTTTAGGCAACTTTACCTACAATAACAAAACTTGCAGGATGTAAAATTAGGAATGAAATTGGTATGATGTTTTATTTAATCATAGTTCTACTTATTTAATTCATGCCCCAGGTATATATTACAATTCCCAGGTACTAATTAGCTACATGGTATTAATTTAGTTCAGTTTTGATCACTCTGTGTTGAATTAAATCAGAATTACTTTATTAAATTGTTTGCTTTGCGTGCATGTTACAAGCACGTGAGTACAATAATTTAATTTGACGTTTTCCATTCTTGAATTGTGAGAATTGAAGCTAAAAATCACTTAAAGCTTATTTTCTAAGGCTTTTACTTAAGACTATATGAGGACTACGAGTAAGTTTGCTCTTCATTAAAGAAAAAGATAAAAACGAAGAAAGGTTCATCTCGCAATAATGATGTTGTAATTCAATTGATGAATGACGGACGGAATAGTGTGGGCTTCCATTAACATATGTACTTTTGACCCATTTGTAATTAAACTGATTCATTAATTTGCTACTCGTTAGTGACGTTGCCACGAACAAACGGAGATGCATCATCGGATGCAACTAAATTATTTTTTAAAATACACAATTTAAAGAAGTTAAAAATTAACGAAATGTAATAGTTAAATGTTAAAGGTATTAACATGAGTGGTATTAACTGATTTTAAAATAATGTCAAAATAATTGAATTTTGCACCAGGAGAAACAATAATTTACAAAATAATGTTCTGATAACTTAATTTCATCGCCAGATAATTTTCAGTTAAAAAGTGCATCTTAGTGCCATCTATGAAATGTTTAGAATGTTTATCTAAAGTTAATAGTGGCTGGGTTAGTGAATAGTTTATTTCGACTCGTGAGATGGCGCTAAGATGTATTTTTATCATTAAATTCTGCATCACATGCTCCATTCGCTTCATTCGGTCGTGATTCCGTCAAAAAGCGAATTGTTTCTGAGGTTAACAATGTTTTGATCATTTATTCCGTTCGTTGTATTGTTTTTCTAATAAAAATATAAACAATGGACATTCTAAAAGCAGAAATAGCTAAAAAACGCAAACAATTAGAAGAGAAACAAGTATTGGTATGTATAAATTTATTTTCTCAAATTCATTTTCAATAATTTTCTTGTTTTTAATCAATTTCAGGCACCAAATAAAAAATACTTCAAACGCGGCGATCTTGCTGCCAAGGAACATGAAGAATACCAACAAAAATACGGCAACAAGTACAGCACACAAGACGACACCGAAAATCCCAGCGCAAATGATTCTAATTACGGCCTAGAATATTCAGAAGCAAATGTCTTGCCCAGGCAAGAAGTCATTACCAGATTAAGAGACAGAGGAGAACCTATTTTACTTTTTGGAGAATCATTTATAGATGCATTTACCAGACTTAGAAAGGTAGAAATTGCTGAACCAGAAGTAAATAAAGGCTTCAGGAATGATTTCCAAGAAGCAATGGAAGAAGTAGACCAAGCATATTTAGATGAACTTATTGCTGGTGGTGGAACAAAAAACAACAAGGAACAAGGCACTGTAAGGGAAGGTGATAGACAAGAAAATGTCAATACATATGATGAAATAAAAGAAATGGCTAAGAGAATAGGCAGAGGTGACAGAGATCATGACATGACTGTAATCATGCAATTCCTGGAATTATTACTAAAAATGTGGAATGATCAACTTCAAACCAGAATGGTGGAAGACAAGAGATCCACAAAAGGAAAACTGGCAGGTGCTATGTATACTCAAACACAGGTTTATTTGAAACCTTTGTTGAGGAAATTGAGGACTAAATCACTTCCAGAGGATATTTGTGATAGTTTGACAGAGATTCTGGAACATTTACTAAATAAAAATTATTTGAAGGTAAGTTTTACTATAAAATACGTGATATTTATGTATAAATTATTGTCTTTTAATACTTTGTGTACTCTAATTTTTATGTTGGTAACACTAGGCAAGTGACGCATATTTACAAATGGCGATCGGTAACGCCCCCTGGCCGATCGGTGTAACTATGGTTGGTATTCACGCACGTACAGGACGCGAGAAGATTTTCTCCAAGAATGTTGCGCATGTGATGAACGACGAAACGCAGCGTAAATACATTCAAGCTCTTAAACGACTTATGACCAAATGCCAGGAGTATTTTCCGACCGATCCATCGCGTTGTGTTGAATACACCGGGCCAGTGTCTAATCCCGCCACCTCGTCTGGTGGCGCTAGTTAATACTTTAAAGATGGCGGCATTACAACTCCGAACATCTACATATTACTTTTACGTTATTAAATTAATCAGAAATAAGTCAGCAGTGGTGGATTATTAATTCTGGTTTCCGAGTTGTTCGGCTTTCAACGCTGCTGCTTCCACGGCATTCATGATAGCTCCACGAACACCACCGCGTTCTAATTCATGCATACCGGCAATGGTTGCACCACCAGCTGAGCATACTTGGTCTTTCAATTGCCCTGTGTGTTTTCCCGTTTCGAGTACCATTGTAGCCGCGCCGAGGATTGTTTGTGCTGCGAATTTGGTCGCCATGTCACGATGCATTCCCATTCGGACACCGCCGTCAGACAGCGCTTCTATCAACAAGTAAGCCTGCAATATATTTTATATTATTGTGATTGTCCTGGGTTGAGTGAAATATTCAGAGTTTCTTACAAAAGACGGTCCTGCACCAGACACGGCCGTTACGGCATTAATTTGCACCTCTGGCACGCGTTGGCACATTCCTGTCGCTTCCAAAATGGCTCGCGCCAGTGAAATATCATAGTCCGTGACGTTTTTGCCTGGACAATACGCGGTACAACCTTGTCCTACCATCATAGGCGTGTTGGGCATTATTCTTATCACTCTTGAGCCTTCAAAAACTGATAACATCTAAAAAACTTAAAAGTTAAATTAATTTAATTAACAACTTATTAGTATTAAGTACTTCTTCTAATTTTTGTAGTTTGAATCCAGCAAGAATCGAAACAAATAATTTATTCTTGATGTGTTTATAATGTTCACTTTTTTTAATCATCTCCAGTGCAGTGGTCATTATATGCGGTTTCACCGCAAGAAACACAACGTCTGCTTCTTTTGCGACGAAACCATTATCAGTTGTAACATTAGCTCCTAAAACCTTCCATTTATCAAGGTTTTTTATGTACGGACTTGAAACATGAATCTGATTGAAATTTATTAATCCTTTCGATGTGATACCGCGACAAATCGCTCGAGACATGTTACCATCCCCAATGAAACCAATTTTTTGTTCTATTTTCGATATTGGAATGATATTTTCTTCTTCCTCGTCCCAACAAGCAGGACTTGTTTTAAAAGACCTGAAAAGCAAATATTACTCAAACAATTTTAAAATCCGCGCTAAATATTTCTGAATCGCATGAGTAACAAAACAAGGTCAAAGACGTTGAAGGTTATTGCAGATTATCAAAATACCTTGCACACACAGCATTTGATAACATTCCTGACACATTGTTTATTCGATTGAGTCGTAGCGATATCATTTTGAAGATATTACTAACAGAACTAACGCAGGAAGCGGTCTAACTGGTGGAATGATTACGCGGACTCAGGTTATGAAATAAAATCTATTTCAGAGAGTCGGCGCTCTCGCGCAAAACGAAGCAACATGTTGCATGCACTCCCGCTCAACTTACATCAGACAAATGCTACAATGTTACATCACATTACAATTGTCCCCAATTAACGACATTTATTTTATTTTTGAACAACAGCACTAATAAATATCAACAGATAATATCAAAGCTCACAATTTAGTATGATAAGTATTTTTTTGTTAGAGATATTAGTGTTTCCTGCCCAATTCTGCGGATTTATTAGCGGCAGCTTCGATTGCATTCATAATGGCAGCGCGTACTCCTCCTTGTTCCAGAGCATGTATGCCTGTGATAGTTGTACCACCCGGAGAGCAAACTTCGTCTTTTAGTTGTCCCGGATGTTTGCCAGTGGTTAGGACCATTTTGGCTGCGCCTAGGACAGTTTGCGCTGCGAATTCGGTCGCCATTGCACGTGGTACTCCCATGCGGACTGCTCCATCAGACATTGCTTCAATCATTAAATAGACCTAAACATACAGAATATTTTGTTGTAAGACATTGAGTTTAAGTTAAGTTTTATTAAGTTTTTATGTATTTTTCACTTACATAAGCTGGTCCACTTCCTGCCAAAGCCCCACTTGCATCAATCATACTCTCTGGTACCAGTTTGCATACCCCTGAAACTTCAAGAATCTTCTTGACAATCTCCTGATCAGTATTGGTGGCTTTTGAACTAGGACAATATACTGTACAGCCTGCTCCTACCATCATTGGAGTGTTTGGCATAACTCTAATAATTCTTGCTCCTTCAAAATCTTTCAAAATCTAAAAAATTAATCATAAACGTCATTTCGATTTAGAAGTTGTAAAGTAATTACATTTTCTAAGGATTCAAGTTTAACACCAGCTAAAATGCTGACAAATAACTTGTTGGATATCTTGCTGACATCACCAGTGTCATAAATGTTAGCAACTGCTGCAGGCAGGATGTGTGGTTTGATAGAGAGAAAAATAACTTCAGCCCATTCAGCAACTTGTCCATTATTGCTTGTTATGGTTGCTCCCCTAGACTGCCAATCTTTGAGATTCTCAAGATGTGGCCCAGAGACACATATGTTGTCATAAGTTACAAGTCCTGAAAAATGTTACGAATTGTTTCTGGGATTGAAAATTAGTTTCATGATTGAAAACACAAACCTGCTCTGACTATTCCCTCACAAATTGCTTTTGCCATATTGCCACCTCCAATAAACCCAATTTTCAAGTTGGAGCCGAAGGCATTTTGCAAATTAACATCAGCCATTGTGCGATAAATTCGTTTTTAAGAATTTCAGCGCAAAACAATGTGGAAAACACGAACAAATCTGGATTAGAATACTAGAGAGAGGTTAAGTTAAACATGAACACACATGTAATTCAAAATTACATGAATTGCACATTCATATTCATTCATTGATATGTCCACAGACCAAGGAGTGGGTAAAAAGTTGATAAACTTGAAAAGTTGCTAAATACCATAAACAGCGTATTTAATCTTATCGTTCGTGTCTTATGACTAAGTGTAATAATAATTACAAATTACATTTGAATTCACATTGTGTCATCGTCGCTAAACTGCGCAGTAAAAAAGTATTCAATGTGCACGCGATGTTCTTCATGTTGAATTATCATATTGAGCCCCATGAGACCTGTTTTTCCGGTGCTGAGAGATATTTTACTAGCGAGCATTATTACTTTCATGATGTTGCGCAATGTGCTGAAGTCGTACCGCGCCTGAAACTCTTCTTTGCAATTGAATATCGCGACTACTTTTGATTCTTTCGGAATGTTTATCGTTGATTGACCCTGGATTACAAAAAAAAAATAATTGAAATTTGTAGTCAGATGACAAGAAACAATTGAAATTTTTTTAAAAGCCTATAATATCGCGTGATTCGAAATATTTTATCGTGATTTTAATAATAACTTATATGATAATTGACTTACCAGTATGCTATTTGTTGTTAACTGAAAATTAGGCAAGTTATTACTTATGGTGACCTCATAGTCATCTGAACTTATATCTATATCACTTAAAACATCAATCAGACCATCCCCATTGAACACAATAGTGTTTTCATTGCATTCTTCAAGTAAATACACCTCCTGATAGTCATCTACAGTCATTGTAGCAAATTCACAATCAACTATGATGTTTTCTTCACTGTGTTTGATACTAAAACAAACGAAAATGATCATAACTTATATTATGGATAATATAAAGTTTAATTACATCAAAATAAATGGTGCTCCTTCTTGTCGATAGGAAAGTTTCATACTTGGATTTCCCTCATCACCAAAAATATGCAAACAATCAATAAATCTTTTCAACTGTATTTTAAACATAACATCTGCTTCATTATCAATATGATAGTGAGAAAATAACTCTGAGGGTAAATAGATTGCTATTTCACTGGATTTGGAATTTTCAATCACAATTTTTAAACCTTCCTCCATAGGTCTGACAATTGCATACTATAAAATTAATTCAAATAGCACAAATTCATGTTTTTCATGAATAAAACCAATATATTTACATCATTTGTCGGTACAGCCTTCAACACATTGTGCACGATGTTGATTTCACTCATTTCCGCGGAAAACACAGCCATTTTTAGGAGATTTGAAAGGAATTTTAAAACTTTAGAGGTTTGATCCGTTATAACTTCTTCATTGTTTTGTTATGAATCAGCTGGCGATATGGTAAGCAACCCACCTTACACTTAACAACACCGCGCATACAAAATAACAATTAGAAAAAAAAAATTTAAAACAATTTCTCACTGTAATGTTTGTAACGGCAATCCACACTGAGCAAACCTCTGAAAGTTTTTCACGCCCGTATGTGTAGCTACATGAGCTTTAAGCGTAGACGCGTCTAAAAACTTAGCTTCGCACACATGACATTGAAATTCACGCTCGTCTTTATGACTCTTCATATGCATGCGTAGATGAGATGCGGCGATGTACTTCTTCGGGCATAGCTGACACGCATATGGACGATTTCCTGTGTGGTAACGCACGTGAGTGTCGCGCGTATCTTTATGCCGGAAGGATTTTCCGCAATGCCAGCAGCGATATGGTAACTCACCGCTATGTCGCAGCGAATGTTTCTTTAACTGACTCGAAGCTAAACATAAAAATTATCAATTATCAAATTTAATAACAGTAAATATTGTTATTTATTTATACTTACTTGTAAAAGCTTGTTTGCACTCCGTACATCTAAACGGCTTCAATTTTGTGTGAGTTCGCATGTGCGCATCTAAATTAACAGTGGTAACAAAACCTTTGCCGCAGATACTGCACACATGCGGTTTCTCCCCGGTGTGCGTTTTAATATGCACGTTCAAATTACTCTTCTGTCGGAATCGTCGATTACAAATCGTGCATTTGAACTTTTTAAACGACAAATGCACCGCTTTATGTTTCAATAGCGAACTTGGTTGACTGAATGTCTTCCCACAAGTATCGCAGCTAAGCGGGCGTTCACCTGTATGTGTCCGCAAATGAATCGCCAAAATCCTACTTTGAGTGTAAGTTTTACCACAAACATGACACTCGAACTTCTTGCTATTATAATCAGCGTCTTCTTCGAGGATTTCTTGTAGAGGTGCTGGTTGTGGTGGAGGTTGCATGTGATTGTGGCTTTGATTATGAGAATGAGCATGGGATAACATATGTTCCGTGTTTGTGTGCTCCGCTAGCGCTCCCCGACTGGCGAAATTCTTACCGCAAACGTTACAAAAGTACATCGGGCTGTTTGTGTGAATTTTAAGATGTTCACCCAGACTCCAATCATCTTTAAAGGTATGGTTACAGAATTGACACTTGAAAAACTCATCCAAACTAAAATCGTCGCATAAATTTGCGAGATTAGGAGTGGGTTCTTGCCATGGTTCCTGCCAAGATGTCTGCCATGTTGGGGGCAGACATTGTTCAGCAATAGTTTGCAAACTTTGCATGGTTTCATCCAAAGAATCAACTAAAACAAGCCGGATTTTAATCAGCGCCAATGTTTAAATAGTTGTATAAAATACTTACTATTTGGTGTTGGATTGAATGAATTATATGCATTGTATGAATTATCACTAGCATTAAAATTAAACATTTCACTGATAAATGATGAAGCCATGTCAGTACTATAACTCTGGTTCTGATTCATGTGTGACATGTCATGATGTGTATGTTGGTGATGGTGGTGATGCTCTTCATGTTCATGATGCTGACCAGGTCCATTATCACATGCCATTTGTGTTAAGGGTGGTGCCATGGGTGCAATATATTGTCTCAAAGTGATATCAGACTTCTCACATTGTCTTTTAAAGCTGTAGAACCTGTTTATCTGTTGTAGACATTGTGCACAGACTTGTTGTGGCATTCCATCACCTTCCATTATCTAAATAAGTATTTAAAATTGGTTTATGTGCAATTTAAAGCAAAAATTTAAATATTTATACCTGTATTGAAGCAATTGTCATTAACATATTGGGTAAATATGCTCCAAAGAGAGGTTTCATTGATGTTTTTTCATTTAAACAAATCCTGCACACTTTTTCGATGTGAAATATTGCTGGTAATGTGATCGTCTCGTTGTCTTCATACATTCTCGTTAGTTGGTAGTCATATGTTTATTTTGATTGTCGATAAACTTACGGAATATAAACAAACTCTAAGGTTATGATACACGCATGCGAGTCAAGTTGCCTAGATTAGATAAATATTCCCTTAAATTTAATAAATAACGTGATTGGTTTAAAAGAAATTGAAAAATTGTGGTTTATTTTTAATCTGTATTATTTTATAGTGTGTTTTGTGTATCAGACTTTTTACTCTGTTTGTTTCTTTTGGTGGTGTAAGCTCTGTTTGCTTTTAAAATTGCCGCCCCCATTTTGCGTAACATTTCTCCCCTGCTCCCTGCTGACATTTCCCGCGTCGGGCGCACCCGCGCACCCGGTTAGTGAGTTTCGTGCCATTTCGCACTTATCACGATATTTATTGATAAATATGGCGCATGGCCGACGCATAATCATTTAAAAGCATCCAAACATTGCCAGTTCGTTCAACTCTTCGTCAAAAGAAATGTCGTTTTAGTATAAGTTCCTTGGGTAGTAGCATCGTGAACACCGCCAGCATCGCAGTACACGTGAAGCGCACGGTGAGTATAACCGATCAGCACTGGTCTCGCTCCAGTGGCTCCAGTCGGCATCGATTTGAATAAATCAGCCTTACGCCGTTTTGCCGCAATATTCGATTGCTTTGCAGTGAAGGTGCAAGTGCCAAAAAACGCGCGAAGCGCGCTATCACTTCGTGAAAGCAGAGAATCGCCAAACATGGAGGCGGACGGCCGCCCGCCGGGCCTAGATGGGGATGTCATTGTTCACAATACAGATGAGCATCCAGAGAAACAGGGTGATCATCAACACAAGTTGGAGAAGAATCGAGGCAACGATAACGCCGACGTTGGCGTTAATAAACAGCGATATTATAACGTGACTGTGCACTATTCAGTCAGCTTCAAAAAGTTGTGCATGGTGACTGTGGCATGTCCTTTTTTTGCCCTTGTGATTTGCTTTGTTACTGCATACATCTTCCAGTATGATGACATTCATGAAACTCACTGCCGTGTAAGTAAAATATTTAATCGTTTACATAAAAATTTTTATTGTTTTTGTATCAGGTATATAATATAGTCCCATCAATAAGTGCCATAACTGGGGTGAGCCCTCAGCGTTATTTGTGGCGCGCCAGCGTCGCCTTACATCTTGGACCAAGATACATTATTGCTGCTGTTTATAGGGCTTATCAGCAGAATCTCATCAACCAGAATGCTGATTATTCTGTAAGCATTCATCATTTCATAAAATTAATTTAAATGAAATTAAAACTCAATAAATTTTTGTTTTCAGGTAAAAACCAAAGCAAATTTCTGGCTGGATTTAGCGTTTTGGTTGAATGTAGTGGAGGTTACAGCCCTGGGAGGCGTAACGTACATCTCCAACTTAGAAAACTATCGTAAGATATTAATTTTCGATTCGAGTTTCCAAGTCTAAATTGATTTTTATTGCAGCTGTGCACGAAAAACTCTTCATAGTTTTCATGGTAACAAGCCTATTCCACATGGTGGCGTGTATCAAGGCTGCACAAATCGTCGCCATCAGTAATGACAACGTCGAGGCGGCGCAAACCGAGCTCTTCTACAAAAAGTTTCTCTTCTATTTGTCGATCGCGTGCACGATCGGCATGATCGTCTTCTTCCTCAAACATCGTTTATTGTGTCACAATATGGGTGAGTTAATACTATAATCGACTTTATTCGATCAAATCCAATTATGAAATTAATGCGATTAAATGCGTATCGTTTGCAGCGTTCAGTTGGTTCGCGATATGCGAGTACGTGGTGGCAACGGCGAACATGGCCTTCCACCTGACGCTGGTGTACAACTTCCCTAATGAGCGTGTGGTGGTCGCCAACGGACTGCATCCGTGCGAGGAGCGCACGCCCGCCCGCCACAAACGCAAACCCGATTAATACACGTGTGCTTGCAACGTGCTAACAACCACTCTAACTAGTCAATTGGGTCTCCTTCTCGCTGGCGTCGCAAGATGACACTCACACATTTTTGATTCAACTGAAAATACTCGACGGCGGCTCTTGTAGAAGCCGCCTGCAGACTCGTAGCGAAACGATTACCGATTATTGCAACAGGCTGTGCTGGGACGCCAATAACTGATAATTGCGAACACAACACACCGTAGATATACCGAACAATAAACGTACGTAAACCATAGGTGAGATTTTAAACTAATGTTACCACACATTAGGCTACTTTTAGTCGTTCGAACGTCGTTTTTAAGCGTCAAGAGAAGAGAAATCATTACAAGTTGTGTCAAAATAATGTACGATACGACACGACGTATATTGTATTACATTTTATTGTAGATTACGTACGTACTTAAGTAACTTTTTATAGAATTACCAAAACTCCGTAGAGACTAGATGAACAAAGTACCTTTTTCGATTGGTAATCAATGATAATGATTACATTAGGTGATTTTTGAACAATGAGCGCTTTTTGAGTTGCTATAGAATCTCCATCGAAGACATCGCAATTAGACTGAAGTTGTTAATTTCTCTCCAAGCTTCTATATTCGTATTGTTATCCTGTTTAAATGTAATACATAGTCGCCTAGCTATGATGATGCACTTGTAAGACCTGAACACAAGTATTCTGGGATCATTTTCGGCTGCGTTTGCTGCGGTTTTGCTAATGACGCGACAACAAGTGGAGCAAATTATTTCTAAGCTATACATGTATTGCTATATACATATATTTTCGGAAACAGACAAAGCAATTGTACCAGTATTATAACTTTTATCGAACTTGTATATTGAGCAAACACCTCCGAGCGCTTCTATGAATAATCTTTAATAACTTTTAAAAATGATACTTCGAAACCTTCACACACACACAACAAAAAAAGTAACAAATGAATCGTAATGTAACGATTGTTGTTAATGTTATATTAATATTTACTAAGATGTCTCTCATCTTAAGCGGTGTGCTTAATTTGAGTGGGCGCGTAATGATTCTTCCATTTCTAGGCCGCTGGCATAACATTACACTTGATGATTGATTGTGAATGGAAGGAAGTGTTAAGTTAAAAATACGCACATACATTTCTTGTAACGATAAAACTTGTACCTTATAAGTAAAACCTTCGACTTTTTAGATCTTCTGGAGGTGGATGCGCGGCGGTGCGAATGAATGCATTTGTTATCAAACATATCCTATTCACAAACAGTGTAAGAACTAACAATGTTATGTTTGTTGTTCATCTGACGAAGATTATTGATGAATAAATACCAAACAAATGAGGCGGGGAGCGCTCTGTCAGGTTCTAACGAAAATGAAACAAAGAGAAAGCTTTTTTACTTTCATTACTTTCACGCAAAATTAGATCAAGCGCTCAGATCCAATCAACTTTCTCGGAAATTACATCAGTTAACACAAAAAAACTTGCTGGTAATATTCAGTCGTAGCCTAGTCGCGCTTCGAGTAAATGTTAAACACAAGTTACATACATTTATCATTCGATTTGAACCTTCCTTATCATTATCATTATTTAAAACTAGATAAGTACGTTCGAGATTGGTGTGTGTTTAGCGTTTCGAGTCACGCATAGCAATAAAACGCTTCTCAAGGCCGAACCGGTTGATTGCGTTCACGGCGTTCGGTACTTGCGGGTCTCGCGATTATTACGTGCGACTACGTAACTGCATCGATTCAAAAACTGCTCGCCGGCTTGCAGTGTGACGGCGCCGTCGAATCGCCCCAAGACCAAATAACAATAAACAAAACGCGCCGGTCGCTCGTACCGCCCCGTATATCCCACCACTTGTTGAAATATTCACCTGGCCTGGAAAGTCACCGCAATGTCGTCCGAACCACAGTGCAAGAGACCCAAGATGACCGGCAGCAGCACGTTGGACCAGCTTAAATCATGGACGGTGGTCGTCGCCGACACCGGTGACTTTGAAGGTAATCATCTTATTCTATCAACACCCTGAGATATCATTGCGTAATAATTATACGGCCATAATGACGGTTTATTCATGATTGTGCGCTTTTTAAATATTGACCTTCATTGCGCTGCATGTTTTAACGGTTTACATTTACCGCTTATATAGGTTATCAATGCTGAATTATTTAATAAAACCGCAAAACCACGCGTAGCACACGAAATTCGATTAAATAAACATTGATTAAATATAAATTCGGGATTTTGTACGCTTGTTACTATGTAATTAGAGCGTTTCCCGTGTGCAATGTGACCTTCCAGTGACATTGCAAATGTTAATGTTAACTTTTATGTTTTTATGTTACAAATCTAGCCATGAAGGCTTACAAGCCCACCGATGCGACCACCAATCCCTCACTTATCCTGCAAGCAGCCAACCTGCCCCAGTATCAACCCTTGGTGCAGAAGGCTGTTAACTATGGCAACAAAGTCGGTAGCAATCTTGAGGAGAAACTGGAGGCAGCCATGGAGGTGCTATGCGTTCTATTCGGTTGTGAGATTCTGAAGATCGTCCCGGGTCGTGTTTCTACTGAAATCGATGCTAGGCTGTCCTTTGACAAAGAGGGTAGTATCGCTAAGGCGATAAAACTGGTCCAGCTCTATGCCGGGGAAGGTATCTCCAAGGACCGCATCCTTATCAAGTTGGCTTCTACCTGGGAGGGTATTCAGGCTGCTAAGTAAGTTACCTGTTATGACCTTTCAAGGTCATTCAATTTATTAATCATATTTTTTGTTCTAAAGGGTTTTAGAGCAGGAACATGGAATTCATTGCAATCTGACCCTGCTGTTCAACTTCGCACAGGCTGTAGCTTGCGCTGAAGCCGGTGTTACTCTTATTTCACCGTTTGTCGGTCGTATCCTTGACTGGTACGTTGCCAACACAGAAAAGAAGCAGTATTCTGGCCCCGAAGATCCCGGCGTTGTATCTGTGTCCAAGATTTACAACTACTACAAAAAACACGGTTACAAAACAGTTGTGATGGGCGCTTCTTTCCGTAACGTGGAAGAAATCAAAGCTCTCGCAGGATGTGACCTACTTACAATCAGCCCGAAGCTCCTTGGTGAATTGGAAAAATCAACAGATAAACTACAACTGCGATTGTGTAAGGACGCCGCACAGAAACAAAAAATGGAGAAAATCACGTTGACCGAGTGCAAGTTCAGGTGGATGCTGAACGAGGACAAAATGGCGACCGAGAAACTTACGGACGGCATCCGTAACTTCGCTGCTGACACAGTCAAGTTGGAGAAGATTATCATTCCATTGTTGAAGTAAATTTCGAAAATGTAAGTACGTACATTCATTTCTTAGGAGTGTTGTGGAGTTGCCAAAATATTGGGGAATAAATATTTGTAGAAAATAACCACATAGTTTCATGTTTCATTGCAAGTGTTGTTACAGACTTATTTTTATATATTTTTCTAATCTTAGCGATGTCTAGAACTAGTTGTTATTTCAGTATGCATGTATGTACAAATTATAAAGTTGATTGCGGGTGAAATGTAAAAAACAAAATTGATTGCAAAATAAATTAAATTTAGCATCACATATGAGCCAAAAAAAGAATTGGATGATTTTGTCAATAGAAAGTAAAAAACCAGGATGAGATTCTGAAGCATAAAGATGAAAACTTACCTGTTTAATTATCTGTTAATAGTAGTTGATATTAACATTAAAATTAATTAAGTCTCTGGGTGGCGGGTAGTTTTCTTCGTCGTCGTCTTCCTTGCGTCGCTACCCAATGTTCGTAGTTGCGCTCGTTAGCTAGCCAATCTTGATACTTGTACCACCACTCCTCCCATTTTCCGTAGTCGTCCAACGAAAGATCTCGTAAATATCCAAGATCTTTGTAGTATTGATATCGGACGCGTACGTCGTCCCAACCCGCCATCCTTGATGGACCATTCCCGAGTAATTCATCCGGGAAGTGGCCGGCTGGTACCGGGGATATGCTGTATCTATGCGGTGGGCTGCCATAGAGGAAATCATCCTCTTCGATCATCACCTTCAAATCACCTCCGGTTTTCGTGATGCGCATATTTTCGATATCGCGGCGTTCACGATCTACAGACCATTGTGCCATTTTACCAAAGCGCTCTGATAGAGTGAGCCTTGTGGTAGCCACAATGGCTGATGTTTCAGACTCGGAAGAGTCATCAGACGCGGTGGAATCACCTCCTGGAGAACCAGGTCGCTTCTTGGTACGTTCCTTCTTTATACGTGTTAATAGAACGGGTTCTTTTTCTTTGACCTTTTTGGGACCTTTGGGTGGTGGTGGTTTAACACCTGATACGTCGATGATTTCACCGGCGCGATTGCGTGGTCTTGGAGGTGGTGGTTGGCGGCGAGGGTCTGTGGGTTTGTCTGATGATGTTGATGCGGCTGGGCGAACTGGGCGACGAGTTGGGGGAGGTGTCATTGGACGTGCTGGACGACGTGTAGGTGGCGATGGTGTGGGAGACGGAGGGCGATGGGTCTTTTTCTTATGACCTTTCGGATGTGGTTTTGCGATTCGGGGACGTCCAGGTGAATTCGATCTGTGAGAATTAGAAAATGTTATTAAGATTAAGAATATTTTTTGTTGAAAAGTTGTTACCTTGATCTGGCACGATTGTTTTTCGGTGAGCAAACTGAGCATGAATCGTCCGAGCAACTGCTGACGCTGCTCGCGGATGCTGAGCGACGATGTGGCGGTGGATTACGCACGTAGGGCGAACGCGGACGCCCGGGACGCCCTATAGGAGAACGACGCGACGCCATTGGAGGCGAGCGAGGCGAACGCCGACCGACAGGCGAGCGCCTCGAAGGCGGTGAACGCGGAGAGCGGCCGCGGTCTCTCATCATAGGCGAACGGCGCGACGACGGCGGTGGCGAGCGACGAGGTGGCGGAGAACGCGATCTACTTCTTCTGCCCGACGACGGCGAACTCGAACCATCCAGGTACATGGATTTATATCCACTATGACGCCATCTACCAAACACAATTTATCAATTACTAAATGTTTCAGTTTTAAAAGTTACTACTAATGCTACCTATTTGGATCCTTTGCCTCAACTTCCAGCAACTTCTTATCCCAATAAGTGTTAGAATTTGGTGAAGCTCTGGCTTTCTTCATAACATTATCAATCTCACGACGTCGTCCAGATGGTAAACTGGGATCTAAACACACATTGAATTAAAAATGGAAAACGTGAAAGTCCAGCAAAACCAGGTGAAGAATTTACGTTTACCGGAAATACGCGGCATCTGGGGCTTGCTGTCCATGCGCAGTTTCGATGGTCCTGCATTCTTGGCCCTGTCCCGCGACCTGCTCCTTCTTCTGGAGGACATTCTATACAACGATTCACATAAATTCCTGTTACATATACGAATTTAATAATAATCATTACTAACCTTCTGTCTGGTCTTGGTTAAAACAGGGGCAATTTGTTTAGTTGTGTTTAGTTGTACCTGTGAGAACTTGTTATTTCCCTATGAAAAAATTAAACCACCAATTTAATAATTGTCCATCAAGACACCAGCACAATTGTTAAAGAAGTTCATAGATACAAAACATGTAACCTGAGACAATCAATGTTAATGTTTTCTTTGCAAGTTTTTGTTTTGTGTCATAAGTGTTAAATATCAGACAGGGGAATTGTGCAGCTCTCCAATATAATGTTGTATGCTGAGTAACTGGTCCTTATCCTAGTTCATTCTTGCAGTTATCTTAGCGCAATCGGAACCATCGTGAATGTGAGAGTCCAGCACCATGCGAGCGAGAGACATCCAACGACGCGCAACACACCGACGGCGACGAAATCAAGGAGAGCAACGGGTCTCCAGATGGAGTTAGAGTTATGCGACGCCTATAGCTCTAGAGTCTTGGAAGACACCGAGCAAAAACCGACGACAACGAAAAGGTGAGTCGCGCAATCACCCTGAATACGTATCTACCACGACCGCGATTTCATGTCGCGAGATATTCGCGCGCAGGCGGTTAGACATCGCGGATTACCGGAATTCATACCGAGACAACCGATAATTTGCAGAGAGATGCACGTAAGATCGCGACAACCCGCCCGAATCACGAAATGTTCTCGGCGTCCCGATACGCCCACCACAAACGCCGCGGTCTGCACAAATTCACCAACATAACACCCCGTTGATCCACATCACGCACGGCCAAACTACGACACATGCGAATATCCCAAATAGTGCGACGCAATAACTGCGCCATGGAGTGTTTCTTTTTTTCTTTGCTCCGCTTTGCAAGAATGTGCACTCGCATTTCGCCACTCCCTTTCACCCTGCGTTCGCAGAGACGAGATTAATTGTGAAAATAAACAGCCCACACTTACTTTATCTCGACTATTATTTAATCGCACTCTCGTCGACTCAATATATCTCGTTATATCGAATCGTTTCTCACCGACGGCGGTTTTATCACGGCCACGACGTAGGGACGGTACCAGCTCGTGGTGTCAGTGCGTAATGGCGGCTGACGGCAAGAATTCGCTTGACAAGTGCTTTAGTCAAATACAAAATGGCACCTGCTTTGAAAATCATGAATTACAGTATATTCACATATATTGTATATTAAAGATAAATAACAATATATTTAAATATATGCATATATTAGTAATTCAGCAATTATTCTTTACTTATTTAACCAGAGATTATTTAGATTTTGTATTTGTTATGAATTTCATATTCCTAGTTATCCGGTTGGCGCCGCTAGTGTCGCCGTGAACTAATTAATATTTTCGTTCTCAGCGATTTATTTGCTAATTATTACCTACAATATGTCAATAATATTGTAGTTATAAATAGCAAACACTTGAAAATGTCCAATTTTAAGATATTATTATTAAATTTAAATAATATAGGAGTTAGTTTTTATTCGTGACGCTTTTGTCGTTGTGTATTATTGGTTGCCTAGCATTGAAGTCTATGTAAATATTTTAGAAACGATAGAAACAGTGGCGAAGCTGGTCGACCGACAGAGGTTGCAATCAGAAACGAAAAGTCATCGCGTTTTTTTTTTACAAATGTGAAGAACCCCGAACATCTACTTGGTGTTTTTCACGTCGATATACAATTAGTGGCAGAGTAATTCACAGTTTGTCAGCAGTATAACATATTTCTCAGCGTACTTTTTATGCTTAGCACTATTGCATAGACAAACACGGTTTGAACGTAAGTATTCCATCATTATTCGATTTTATGTTTATTTCAACATATATTGTACGCTTATAGGGTAGCAGGATGTCGATGTCGGCCAACAGCGAGTCCGATGAACAGGGCTGTGTGGTGAAATTACGCGGTCTACCATGGTCGGCGACCGTTGATGAAATCATCAACTTCTTTGGTAACTGCAAGGTCAAGGGCGGGCCAAATGGCGTTCATATGACTACATCTCGTGAAGGTCGTCCTAGTGGTGAAGCCTACATTGAATTTGATGATGTTGATGATGTGGAGAGAGCTTGTCAGAGGGACAGAGATCACATGGGCAATAGATATATTGAAGGTGCTCACAAAGATAATTTGTACTTCTATTATTTTATCAATATGTGTTTTGTTAGTGTTTAAAGTAAAAAAGGCTGAAATGGAGTGGATGGTGAAACGTTCCGGCACGGCATACGACTCCAAAGGCGATGGTTGCGTTCGACTTCGAGGTTTACCATTTGGCTGTTCCAAGGAAGAGATCGCACAATTTTTCACTGGTATGGGAAAATTACTAGTACTATCAAGGTTCACGAGCATCGCTCACAGTGCAGCTTGTCTTTATCATGTCTGTTGAGTTTAAGGGAATTGATTGGGTTGTTTGGGTGGTAGGGTTGGAAATAGTGCCAAATGGAATTACACTGCTGACGGACTACTCGGGGCGCAGTTCTGGGGAGGCTTACGTACAGTTTGTTAACAAAGAAGTTGCAGAGAAAGCTCTGCTGAAACACCGGGAAAAGATAGGACACAGGTGGGGAGATTCAAGTTCAAGTCACATTTGTTGCCAAAATAAGTACTGTAGAGGGAAGGAGGGTGGGTTTGTGCAACCCCTTCTTTTATTTAATGATTGTCCGCAAGTTGTGTTTGGAGTCGTTTGAGCTGTTTATAATGTAATTTGTAATTTTTACAGATATATTGAGATTTTCCGCAGCAGTTTATCAGAAGTGAACGGAGTTTTGGGTTATCCTAATCGGAAGATACCAGCTGGTTCTATGGGCAATAGCGGTGGCGGTGGAGGCGGTGGTTATCGGCCTAGTCCATATGATCGTGGTGATCGTTACAGCAGCGGAATGGGTAGGATGCCACCTAGGATGTCTCGTAGCTTTAAAGGTATTTCGACAAATATTTACCAACAAAATGAATTAATTTTTATATGAGTAGATTTCAATAATTTCGACAACCGCTCGTGGAATAACGACAATATGAATAATTACAACCTGAACGACTGGAATGGATGTGGTGATAACAATCGTGGTGGTGCTTCAAACATGCACTGTATTCACATGAGGGGTTTACCTTTTAAAGCATCACAAATGGATATTGCTGATGTAAGACACATTTTCCACCTATAATTTCACTAGTTTATTTATAAATTAAATTATTTCAATAGTTCTTTAAACCAATCACTCCAGTCAACATCCGTCTTCTACAAGATAATTCAGGCCGAGCTTCTGGCGAAGCTGACGTTGAGTTTGATTCACACGATGACGCAGTGCGTGCGATGAGTAAAGACAAATGCCACATGCAACATCGATACATCGAGCTGTTTCTCAACTCTTCGCCAGGCAGTAACGGAGGCGGCAATAATAATAATGGTAATATGAATGGTCCGTCCATGCCACACTACGGTGCAGTTGGACGGCGGCGAATGTAGCCACCTTGATACTCGCGATTTAAAACTTAAAACTCACACAAAAACAAATGTAAATGTATTTATACAAGCCTTGAACTTGAAATACTTGAGATATTCCAATTCCGATTTTAGTTACCCGGCTAATGAGTGCTGGACGACTGTGTCCTCATTGAGGTGTTGATGAAAATTTGCAGTGCAAATTAAAGTGTTTATTTACTTATGTTTTTTATTTTTTTGTCGGTTTATGAAGGATTAACGACTGACTTGTTTTTAATGTATTATTTTTATGGGTTTATTTGATTTCTTCGGAATTGTACATTTTGATTTACGTTAAGACGGAGCACTTACTAGTTCCTAATACATATTTTTATGCATTTTTTGATTGTGTATATTTTTATTTGTGTCTGCAGCACATCAGAATTTTGATAGATAAATTAAAATGATTGACGACAGAAATGTATACCTCTTTTTCAAGGGAAGTGAGTTTGTATTAGGAACTCACTCAGTAAATTATCTATTTACGCTAGTGGTTTAGACCTAAAATAAGTAAAATTGGTGTTGCGAGTTTGAATCTAGATATAGTTACAGATTCTGACACGAGATGGCATTAAGATGCATTTAATCGCATTAATTTTAGTTTGTTGGTATCAGTGGTATCGATGAAAGTACTTTCGGCGCACGCTTGTACGTGACGTCAGTCGAGCCAAGACGGTTTGCGTTGTCGGTCGGTGTGTACACTCTTTTCGCGACGCATCGCCATGTTTTCGGTGATTTGTTACATTTGATTCAGCATCAACGGCACGTGACTGCTGCAAAGTATGTGGAACATCACTTAACGTTCACTATAGATCAACCGGTAAGTTTATAATTACGTTAATATTCTTTATTTGTTTTGTAAATTATGCCGTCTATCATCATTGTAAATTTTAGCCTGCGCACACATTGGAGTTATATTTGATATTTTGTCTCCGCGCTTATCGGTGTCAGTGTGTAAACAACTTTTTTGGGGGTCTACTCGTACACACTGTCCGCGATGAAACAAGAAATTTGCACGCGTCCTAGAGATGCGGAATTAAATTCTCCGTCGGGCTGCATTCGTTTGCTGCAGGAATTCAACTTGCAAGCCGCGAAAAGCATAAAATATGATTTTGTTACTCTTTTTCGTGAAATGTTTGTAACTTACTTTGAATGTTCCTGTAAGAAGTGCTCCTGAGCATTTCAATTTTTGTAAAATTTTATTTTTAAACTCATAGCTTCCCTGCAATTTGATCAAATGTGAGCTAACATATTCCACAGAAAAATTCAAATTGTAAATTTAAAGTTTTTATTTTGGAAGTTGTTATAGACGGGATCCCTGAGTATTTTATTTTAATAAAATTTTACTCTTGGACTTATAGTTTTCCTGCAATTTGATCAAATGTGAGCTTACATTTTCCACAGAAAAATTAAAATTTTAAATTTAAAGTTTTTATTTTGGAAGTTGTTATAGACGGGATCCCTGAGTATTTTATTTTAATATAATTTTACTATTGGACTTATAGTTTTCCTGCAATTTGATCAAATGTGAACTTACATGTTCCACAGAAAAATTAAAATTGTAAATTTAAAGTTTTTATTTCGGAATTTGCTATAGAAAGTCCTCCTGAGTATTTTATTTTAGTAAAATTTTACTGTTGGACTCATAGTTTATCCGTAATTTGGTCAAATGTTATAATACCTACTTTCCAGCAGAAACTTTTTTTGCAAATTAAAATTTTTTTCGATTGAAGTTGCAACAAAACGTGTTATAAGCCTTTTATTTTAGTATAAATTGTCTTTCGAATTCACGGTTTGTTCGGAAAATTACCATGAATTCTTAGAATTGTTTATTGCTAAAATATAAGCCTAAATAGTATAGCAACAATACATGTTCAAATTAAATATCACTTTAATATTTGATGTAAAATCGGTCAATCTGTTAGCATAAGAAATAATAATTTGATGATTTGAATTTTTTTGTTTTATTAATTTTATTAATCTAAATTCCGGGACTACTATCTGTAGCATTCATAGATGGCACTAGGAGGTACTAAAAATCATAAAATCGAGTTATACGACTTATTTTTGTATTTATCGACAAACATGGCCGCGAGAATAATTTTGTATACAGTGCTCTTATCAGCGATTCGTTATAAACAACTTTTTATCGCATGTGTCCCGCGCGCCGTCTTCTCACCCGCATCAACTTGCTGCATGCAGCATATTCTAGTTTACTTTAGATCGCAGGTATTGTGTCTATTCGAAATCGCGCAGGTATATCCGTTCCTTACTACCGCTTCTAGTTTACGAAATATTCGCAATTGAAAGAATTGGGTAAAAAAAATTACTTTTAAGCACTTTTAGTCACGTTTTTTTGTCCTATTACGTCACGAAATTCTTTCTCCAGGAGAAGTTAGAATTACATAAATCGAATATTTATTTTCTATTAGTTTTAATAATTTTAATTGCGGGACTACTATCTGCAGCATTCAGAGATGGCATTTGCCTGAACTAAAAATCATAAAATAAAAGTGTTTCTTAATTTCTATATTTATCAGCAAACGTTGCCATTCGATACGAGAATTGTGTTTGTTTTGAATACAATTTACACTACCATTCGAATGCCCGTGTGTCGTCGTTGTCATTCCCTCACGCCACACGTTGTCACGTGTTAGTTGAGTTGTGATCGCAGGTAACATGCCTGTTGTGCAATTCACGCACAAGGTTCCGTGCGGTCCGCTTTGCGCATCTATTGCTTTTACCTGCGAGGTTCATGCTGCAGGCACATTGTCTTATTGGGAACTGTCGTATCTAGACGTGTTTCGCGTGATTAGTATCGTTTTATCGGACTATTATTTTCTAAAATTGCATTGTATTCGGTCAGCAATTGACTATTTAGTTGTTAGATGCATCTGCAGTGTTTTGTTAATGATTAATTGGGCGTTTAATGTCCATAATTTTTATTTGTTTCCGTTTGATGTTTATATTCCAAATGCATATTGTTGCCATGATGTTTCCCGTCATTAGGAGGACCCTTCCTCCTTGAGTAAGTAACTTATATTTGACTTGCGCTACTCAGCACATCATGTTTGTTTTCTCCGATTTATGAATATAGTATTATATTGTATGCAATGTTTTTATTTTAACTTATATTTTCTTTTAATTGCAGTACTTGCTGTGCCCTAGCAATCCAATGAGCACTGCATTGGTAAGTTCTTATTAAGTTATATTATTCGGTCAAATGTTTTATGACGTGCCCGCGAATTAAGGGTCCTTATCTATTATAATTGCGGGTAATATAGACAATGAAAGAAACGACCTTATTTGCCCTTTTTGCGTTTTTTAAAACACACGGTGGAAAACAAGGCATGTCTCGGGAATCCTTTGTCATATTTCAGTTATTTTTTGATTTTAGGATAGGGCAAGGGTACATTTTTAAAATGGACTCTTGAACCCTCGCGAAATTCAGTCGTAACTGCCTTAAAATGGCCGAGGAAGTTAGGCCTTTTCTTGCATTTTTCATACACGTGGTACAAAACAAGCCATATCTTGGGAACCTTTTGTCTTATTTTAGTTATTTTTCGATTTTAGGATAGTACAAGAGCGCATTTTTAAAATGAACCCTGAGCCATTGCGCAATTCAGTCGTAACTGCCTTAAAATAGCCGCCAAAGTTAGACTTCTTGCATTTTTCAAAACACGCGGTGGAGAACAGGCCATATCTCGGGAACCCTTTGTTTTATTTTAGTTTTTTTAAATTTAATTATAAGTTAAGAGTGCATTTTTAAGATGCGGTCGCAACGCGGTTGGATTGCGTACCACGTTAGTCTTATTTTTGTCGTCTGTTGATCTGCACATACATTTCCTTCATTATTCTTGAATTTCTCAATTTATCTTCGTGTTGTTACGTAATATTTTTAAATGTTTTTTCGTTTGTGCACACGCGTGATGTGCGGCTTTGTTAAACGCGGATTGTCTATACGCAGAGGTAAAGCGTGAGTAATGTTCCGTCGGATACTCGGTCGCTAGATCAATCGGAAACCTATCCATGCTTGAGTAAGTTACTTTTATCTGACTATTGCGATACTCAGCACAGAAAGTTTGTTTTCTCCCATGTGCGAATATAGTATTATCGCACTGTATAAAATGTTTTTGTTTTAATTTATGTTTTCTTTAAAATTACAGTACTTGCCGTATCCTTGCAATCCAATGAGCGCTGCATTGGTGAGTTTATAATTAAGTTATATGATTCGGTTAAATGTTTTATCACCTTTTACCTGCATGTTGCAATATCCCGCGAATTTGGGGGCCCGTATATATTTCACTTACTAGTAATATAGAAAATGGATCATATGGCGGAAAACCTTTGTGTAATGTTCAATTTTTTTTTTCGGATTTTGATTACGCAAGAGGGGTATTGTTAATTTCTTACATTTATTTCGAAATAATTTTCTTAGATGGGGAATTTAATTCTGTATCTCCCTGTATAGAAATTTATTGCGAGAAAAGTCCGTAACGCGAGTTATATTGAAAGTTGTGTGTGTGTGTGCGCCGTAGTACTCGTTGCGCCAGGAATTGGTGGTTTTTTTCGTATAACACGCGAACGCGGTGTTACATTTTTTTCGAAATAATTTTCCTAGATGGAGAATTTAATCCTGTATCTCTCTGTATAGAAAGTTATTGCGAGAAAATTCCGTAACGCGAGTTATATTACAACTTGTGTGTGTGCGCCGTAGTATTCGTTGCGCTAGGCATTGTAGTTTTTTTCGTATAACACGCGAACGCGGGGTTACAATTAGTTCGAATTAATTTTCCTAGATGGAGAATTTAATTTTGTTTCTCTCTATGTAGAAAGTTGTTGTGAGAAAATTCTGTGACGCGAGTTATATTGAAAGTTGTGTGTGTGCGACGTAGTACTCGTTGCGCTAGGAATTGTAGTTTTTTTTAGTATAATACACGAACGCGGTGTTACATTTATTTCGAAATAATTTTACTAGATGTGAAATTTAATTCTATATCTCCCTGTAAAGAAAGTTATTTGCGAGAAAATTCCGCAACGCGAGTTATATTGCAAGTTGTGTGTGTGCGCCGTAGTACTCGTTGCGCTAGGAATTGTAGTTTTTTTCGTATAACATGCGAACGCGGGGTTACAATTAGTTCGAATTAATTTTCCTAGATGGAGAATTTAATTTTGTTTCTCTCTGTGTACAAAGTTGTTGCGAGAAAATTCCGTAACGCGAGATATATTGCAAGTTGTGTGTGTGCGCCGTAGTATTCGTTACGCTAGGAATTGTAGTTTTTTTAGTATAACACACGAACGCGGTGTTACATTTATTTCGAAATAAATTTTCGAGGTGGGGAATTTAATTCTGTATCTCCCTGTATCGAAATTTATTGCGAGAAAGTTCCGTAACGCGAGTTACATTGCAAGTTGTGTATTTGTGCCGTAGTACTCGTTGCGATAGGAATTGTAGTTTTTTTAGTATAACACACGAACGCGGTGTTTCATTTATTTCGAAATAAATTTTCTAGGTGGGGAATTTAATTCTGTATCTCCCTGTATAGAAATTTATTGCGGGAAAATAGTTGATGCCATCATCAAATGATAAATATATACACAATAAATTAAAATGTAAGTGTTTTATTCTTGTGGCACCTTTCTTACTCAACTTTTCGGATGATTTTCGGGTAAAGTCTTTGAATGTATGTTAAATACCGTTGTTTCGGTATAAATTTCTCTCTTCATGAAGTGAATATTGACCATATTTGTAGTATTTAAAATTTTCCTTTTGTAACACACACATTTTAGTTTTTCCTAACAGTACATAGTAAATCGCTTTTATTTGTGAGTTTTGAGTGTTGTTTTAAACTTGGGATTTTCCTTCTGGAACACCCTGTATGTTTGCTTTTCTTTGTGTCCGTGAAAATTTTTCTTCAATAGCGGTTTTAGGGCTATCTTTTTGCACTGTTTTTTAACACCTTGTTTATTAGTTTCCTGGAGCATCGGATGAACACGAGCAATATTTGTAGTGTTTAGATGTTTTCCTCTTTGATGGTTAAATTTTCTAATTGTGACACCTTGTATAATCCTTTTCCTTCACATCCCTGAAAATTTTGCTTTGACTGTTATTAGAGTTTAACTTCTTGCACTTTGAATTTTCTTTTGTCACACCCTGTATATTTGGTTCCATTTTCCATCACCTAGAAAATGGGCAATTTGCTAATTTCTTTATCCCGGTAGAATATTTTGACGTGTTACTTGCTTACATGTACGCGACGATGCAGGTCGAAAGATCTGTGTCAATATGGCAGCATGTATTTTGTTGACTTGTAAAATCTAAACCTGTATTCTATTGTTAATAAAGCAATAGCAAGATATATTGTCTTCTTTGATTTGTGTATCCCTTCTATCATTTCAGGCACAGGTCTCTAGGAGAGTTCCCTCTCTCAGGGGATGATCCCCACTTTAAAAATTGTTAAGGTATCCTGTGTGTTGTGATTCTCCTTCTTTCATTTCAGCTACAGGTCAGAACTTGTAAGATTATTTCTTAGTGTCACCTCTCTTGAAACGACTTAAAACTTAGAAATATTTGAACAAAATCTTATAAGGAATGTCCATATAAGGACTTCCCTCTCTCTGGTGGTGATCCCCCACTATAAAAATTGTTGATATGCCTAAGAATCCTGGGGATGAAGCGTAGAGACATCGTAGCTGTAGGATGGGCCGGAAGCAATGGACGGATCGAAGCAGTGGGCGATGACCGTAGACTGTCTTATAACGACACGTGCCAAAAAATTTAAAAATCTGATCCTCCCCTGTTCTCTTCCTTCTACCTTCTCCTATTCTTTACTACTCCTTCTTCTATTTCCCTGTTCTCTGTTACTTGCTCTTGCTTTTTTTTTCACTTCACTTCACTTGTATTTCAATTTCTCTTATATTTCGTTGGAATTCACATATGCAACTCAAATTACACCTGATATTTTTATATTTGAGAAAAATGCCTTCCACACCTGAGACTCGATCCGTGTTTGCTAGCATGCCAGCAGGTGTACGTCTCCACTCGGCCACCGAGTGCTTTTATTGTTGTTGTTTGATTCTTCTATTTATGTTTCTACTTTTATCATGTTTTTAAAAACAACAACACACGCTCGCACATAAGACTTATATGCCATATTATTTAAAACTGAAAACGACAAAGAGAATACGAGTGCCACAAAAAAATATGAACGAGATTACAATTATAAATTGTGTTTTATTGACAACATTTAACAATAGTTACATTACAGTTACAAAATATCAACAGCTAACAATTTCTGCCCCAATAAAGGTGCAATCCGGATTTAACGAAGCCGCACATCACGCGCGCACAATCCAAAAAGCATTCAAAATTATTACGTAACAACGCGAAGATAAATTAAGAAACTCACGAATAATGAAGAAAATATGCGTGCATATCACCTGACGACAAAAATGAGACAAACGTGCTACGCAAGCCAACCGCATGGCGATCGCACAAGAATTGCAGAATAAGACAAATTAGTTTTTTTGTAAACACTGACACTTTCAGTGTGGCAATGCAATATAAGAAAAATTAGTCCTTCCAACATAAAAATGCCATTTTGGAGGTCAATTTGTGAGATTATCACAAAAATTATTTAAGAAAATTATAAAGAAATTCAATAGTTACAATCTGATGCAAGAATGGTTCTTCTACGATGTCAGACTCAGGTTCAAAATCCCTAAAACCAGCAAAAATTAGTCCTTCGAACATAAAAATGCAATTTTGGAGGTCAATTTGTGAGATTATCACAAAAATTATTTAAGAAAATGATAAAGAAATTCAATAGTTACAATCTGATGCAAGAATGGTTCTTCTACGATGTCAGACTCAGGTGCAAAATCCCTAAAACCAGCAAAAATTAGTCCTTCGAACATAAAAATGCAATTTTGGAGGTCAATTTATGAAATTATCACAAAAATTATGTAAGAAAATGATAAAAAAATTTAGTACTTACAATCTGATGCAAGAATGGTTCTTCTACGATGTCAGACTCAGGTGCACATTCTCTAAAACCAGGAAAAATTAGTCCTTCGAACATAAAAATGCAATTTTGGGGCTCAATTTGTGAGATAATCACAAAAATTATCTATGAAAATGATACAGAAATTAAATACTTACAATCTGATGCAAGAATGGTTCTCCTCCGATGTCAGACTCAGGTGCAAAATCCCTAAAACCAGCAAAAAATTGTCCTTCGAACATAAAAATGCAATTTTGGAGGTCAATTGGATGACAATTCTATAGACGCCCCCTACGCAAGTTAAAACTAGACAACAACAACAGTGCGGCCAATTACCAAATACACTTATCCGCATTACCACCCACAAATATAACGTAAACTCGTCGCATTAGCGCAACAACAAGCAATAATACGATACAGTAAAAGTCGTGAAGCGATTAAATGTGCAATACAATGTAAACTCTTGATAATCTTTATAATGACGTTGAAATATGTACAAGAAGGTTGCTTTGTGGCAAATGGCTGAATAAGTAAAATCTGTCCGTAAATCAATTAATCTTAGTAAGTGTCCTTATAAAGAGTTTACATATTGCTATTCCACAAGCATTCATCAAATTAATTGTCAAAGTTCCCTAAACATATACAATTCTAAGTAAAAGTGAAATAAAATAATGTGCCGTGGTTTCAAAGTCAGGTTTTTTTTCTGTCCTTTCTTGTGCGCATTATTTGTACTGGTTTGAAAAATAATATGTGGGCCCAAAAAGTGATTGCAAGAGGTATATAGGTGTTCCTTTGGTTGATGTCAGGCGATGTGGGAAACCGCTTGAATGTATTATCCACAGCAGGGTTCGCGAAATATGACCAATTTTGAGACAAATACGACAAAATTTCGCCGAAGTTTAGAGATGCATTTGAAAAAAGAACTCATGTCCTATCATAAAATAAATAAAAAACTAAAATATCACGAAAGGTTCCCGAGCTATGCCCTGTTTTCCACGGCGTGTTTTGAAAATTGCAAGAAAAGGCCAAACTTTGGCAGCCATTTTGAGGCAGTTACGACCGAATTTCGCAGAAGTTTAGGGGTGCATTTGAAAAAAGAACTCATGTCCTATCATAAAATAGAGAAAAAACTAAAATATGACAAAGGGTTCACGAGATATGGCCTGTTTTCCACCGTGTGTTTTTGAAAAATACATAAAAAGGCCTAACTTTGGCGGCCATTTTAAGGCAGTTAGTTGTAACTTCGCAAGGGTTAAGGGGTGCATTTTAAAAATACCCTCTTGCCCTATCATAAAAAAAAGAAAATCAAAAATATAACGAAGGGTACCCGAGATATGACCTGTTTTCCACCGCGTGTTTTGAAAAATGTAAGACACGGCCTAACTTTGGCGGCCATTTTAAGGCAGTCGGTTGTAACTTCGCAAAGGTTCAGGCGTGCATTTTAAAAATACACTCTTGCCCTATCATAAAATAAAGTAAAAACAAAAATATAACGAAGGGTTCGCGAGACATGGCCTGTTTTCCACCGTATGTTTTGAGAAACGCGAAAAATGGGAAACTTTGTCGTTTCCTTCGTTTTCTATATTGCCCGCAATTAAAATAACCAAGGCATCCTTAATTCGCGGGCAAGTCATACAACATTTGACCGAATAATATAACTTAATAAAAACTTACCTTCGTACGGTGCCCTGAACACGACTCACTGCTACCACCCCCTTCGTACGGTGCCCTGAACACGAATCACTTCTACCGCTTGCCTCGTACGGTGCCCAACGGCACTTGTCGGTGCAACGACAAGAAGGGATTTCAAATTTTTAGTATACGCAAAATTCCCTATAAGATAAGCTAGTTAAAATGAAAATCTCATTGTAGATTATGAAAGATTGGATAATTCTCTATTAGATCAGAGAACAAAAAATAAGATAGCGTTCAAACCGTGCGTAAGCAAAGACCTTGCTTACACAAATAAGTGAATTAAACGGGGACAACAATTTCAAGAAAAAGAAAATAAAGAAAATCTGCACTTTACCGTTCTTTCCCCGCTTCCATGCAGAACGTTGTTCATGTTCCCGGGACAACATACCAAACACAACGACACAGATAGACCGCAATTAAACGAAATAATATCCCAACACACGTTGCAAGACGTTGCAGTTACCGCTACCACTATATCGCGAGCATGCAGTGCAGTGTAAACAAGTTGATAGCACGCGGCCATCTTGCAATACGCACAACGAACGCAAAAATTAACAATTTTGTCTATTCGACACCGGATTATCTACTAATAAAACACTAAATACGCCAGTAATAACTAAGTGCAGTCGATGGACAATCGAAATGAACGCGATTTACCGAATTACAAACTCAAAATAAAGCGATAACAGCCGCGAGGAACACGCACAACCCAAACAACGACCGGCACAAAACTGCACTGAGCATGCCGCCTGCGCTGGACACGGAGTGTGCGCTGTGCTTGGCGCATATTCATACGTACGTGCGCACTAATTCGCAGCGCATCAGATTTGTCGAATACCGTAAAATTCGTTATTGACAAATATTGCTAATCTAGAAGAGCTGAAAACACTCAGACATTTAAAAAAAATGAACAATGCATTGAACTCATCCTATGACATGTGACTGAATCGGATACGCGACGCGCATGTCGCATGGACCGTAACTATGCAAATATCATGTAATACATGGGTTTAGAATACTGCCCTCGTTCCTTTATTATATTACACATTTAGAAAATAACTAACATACAATTAACAATTTCAATTAAATCTAATTATTAAGTGTTTCATGTGTCCAATAATATCAACACCCTTTCAGATTCATACTTATGTAAACAAGACATAAATCGCTTCATTAATCTCGACGATATTATCATAATCCATGCATTCATTCATTCTTTATCATTGCATTCGTCGATGTGTTTGTTTGCTAAGATAAAATTGCCTGTTTTAAAAAACATATATAATTTATTTCTTATAAAATATTTGAAGCCCAAAATGAGAGTCAGGATGAATTGGTCTGTGGCATGCTTGCCGATTATTATTCGATGAGTAATCATGCAATCTTCACTTGGATGTCAATTTTATGTTTTAAGCCAAATTAAATCCCGCAGTTAGAAACATGCTCATTGCCGTATCATAATATAAAATTTTGTAAACGTCTTAAACTATATACCGTTGGTCTGGCTCGTTATGTCAATTTGCACGAAGGTTTTGTCTCTGACTCCACATTTTGGTCTTCAAACGACAACATCTCATAGGTTGCCATCATCCCTTCATCCACAGAAATACTACTCTGCGGACTCGCACTTGATTTAAAATTGCCTAACATAAAATAGAAAATAAATATTACGCTAGAGGCCTAAAGTTTATTACAAACTTGATGGATAAGAGTAGATTGTCGGCAATGCCGATACGTACGTTGGGTCGTACATCTGATCCTTGATGAACTTCGCAATATCAGCTGGTTTGGGCTCTACTATTGCTAGACCTGAGAAGAATTATAATGTTATGTTTGTTATGATAGTTATTATGTGGAATAAATTACCTTGTTCATACGCAAACTCAGCGAGTTTGATGGCTATTGTTATGGAACATTCCTGAATTGCTTCGAGTGGTGGATAAAGACGGCCTACTTCAAGATCAGATTCCTGCACCATACCAGCCAGAGTTTCTGCAGCCATTAAGAACACCTCCTCTGGCATGTGTTTCATTCCAACGGTGACAGCCACCAAACCAATACCAGGGAAAATGTATGAGTTGTTACCCTGTCCTGGGTGGAATGTTTGTCCGTTGAATTCAACTGGAGCGAAAGGAGAACCACTCGCAAAAACAGCGGTACCCTAAAATTGAATAAAAATTTGTAACAAACACTCATAAATTAAGTTATAATTAAGTAATCTTACATTAGTATTTGAATATGCCTGTTCTGCAGTACACTCAGCCTTACTTGTTGGATTACTCAAAGCAAAAATAATGGGTCTTGCGGCATTCTTGGCCATTTGTTGCAAAATTTCTGGTGTAAACGCACCACCAATAGCGGAAGCACCAATCAACATTGTTGGTTTGATTACTTTAACAACCTCAGTCAGGTCTGCAATAGGCGCGTGCTCATGGGCAAACGGCGCTTTATGTTCCGAAATACCACCCGATGGACGGTCTTTCACAATTAAGCCCTTCGAGTCCACTAACCAAATTTTACCCCTAGCTTCCGCTTCAGAGGTACCTTCGGCTTTCATAGCCATAACACATAGCTGGGCTATACCTAGAGAGGCTTCACCAGCGCCCTGGAACAAGATGATGTTGTCCGAAAGGCGGGTATTTGTTACTCGGAGAGATGCAAGTAGACCAGCTACAGCAACACTGGCAGTACCCTGAATGTCATCATTAAATACACAATAATCATGTCTGTATTTCTCCAACAGTCTGAAGGCGTTAGAGTTGCCAAAGTCTTCAAACTGAATGAGTGTGCTTCGTCCAAAACGGGCAACCACGGCATTCATGAATTCCTCAATAAATTCATCATACTCCGCGCCGCGTACACGATTTTGCCGTAATCCAACGTATAAAGGATCCTCCAACATCTCCTTCGTATTGGTACCGGTGTCCAGTGTGATAGGCAGGCATTGATGTGGCTTGATGCTTGCTAGCGCTGTGTATAGAGCTAGTTTTCCAACTGGAATACCCATACCATTAGCGCCCAAGTCACCCAAACCCAAAATACGCTCTCCATCAGTAACAACAATAGCCCTCACATCAGATTCAGGCCAATTTTTAAGAATCTCATAAATATGACCTTTATCGTGAATTGTGATGAATAGACCACGTGGTCTGCGGAATACTAAACCAAATCTCTGACATGCCAGACCCACGACAGGTGTGTAAACTAAGGGCATCATTTCGGCAACGTTCTCCATGACAAGGCGGAAGAACAATTTTTCATTACGGTCCAGAAGACCCATTAAATAAATGTACTTGTTGAGGTTGTCATCCAGACGATCCAAGCAGCACTTGGCATGTACAAGCTGCTCGTCTTGAGTTTTCACTCTCGGTGGCAGCAAACCGTGAATGCCTAACGCTTGACGCTCCTCCAGCGTGAAGGCCATGCCCTGAAATCAACAAAGTAACACATAAATACCACAATCGCCTTCAATTTCAACCGCACAATCATTTACATGGATATAAAACAAACTAACCAATTAATTTAATGAAACAAAAACCCAAATTAAATTTCGCCCACACAATTACCTTTCGCTGTTACGTGCGTGCGGTCGTAAATCGAAAAGTAGATCAACTAAATGTAAATCTAAGATCTAGATGACAATAAATAATGAGAAGTAATTTACGACTTATGGCTTTGCATATAAGCTTGTAATTCATTACACGTTTTCGAGTCTGCATTATGCGTTTGAAAGATAAAGAGCATCATCCGAGTTGAAATTCGTAGTGCTGGGTAAGCGCGCGTGGTAATGGTTATAAATAAAAGGAAGGTCACCAGAACACACAGCAGTGTGAGATATGTGCCAGCGTTGTCCTAGGCCTAGGTCACACGTTTGAACTTGCTTGTCACATATTTACATTTACATAATCGGCTCATAATATGCAATCATTTGTCTCGTATCGGCACATTTTTATCTCCTAATTGATTGTGTAATCGCTTCTTATTAACTGGTTCATTGCAATTAAATACAATATACAGTTTGATCATAAAACAAAAACTGTAGGTAGTATTATTCAACTAAATAAAATTATCTCCCTTATTGTGAATTGTATTTTCATTCAACACAATTGTGTTTATTAAGTGTGACCGACTTTCGACTTCATTCGATCGCCCGAGTTTGTTTAATAATGGCTTTCGGCTTTATTTGCTTCTTATAGTCAACGACACAACTACATCTGTAAATCTCTATCGACCGCGGTGCGTAAAACGTACTTTAATGAGTAATAATTATAAGATTCAAGATCCTGTCGACAAAGTGACGATGACGCAATCGAGGATATGTTATACCTCAACAACAATTGCCTAATAATTTTATAATAGCGAAGTAACACTCTTGTTGATGTATCTAAGTACTTGTTAGCCTCAATTTCACTGCGATTAGGATTGTCCCTGATTCGATTCAATCACGTCGGCGCACATTAAACACGCAGAGGAAATGCATGACTCTCAAATTCACAAGTCGCACATGTCGCGTCGTGTTTTCGTCAATCGTGTAATTTAATCGAACATACAACCAATGAAAACGAATTATTACCAGGTAACTTGCTCTATCAGCAAGTCAATAATTAATAACTGTGTACCATGTCGCACTCAATCGCTATTTGCTAGTTTCGTCGGCTTTTAATGATTGTACTAAATATTTACGCCAAGGATATGCGATCGACAAAAAACTCACGCGTATTTGTGAATGTGGCTATTAATAGGTAGAAAATCAGTAATGAGTAATCAGATAAATTAAACTTTAGCAAAAACATCAACATGAGATTAATCGTTTTATAAGTTAAAGTGGTTGAATGACAAGTCGTTTTTAAATCCTACTTTGATATTTTAATAATTTTAGCATTGAGAGGAAGAAAAATAAGTAACCATTGCAAAGTTTATGAGTAGTTTTGAACTTTTGAAGTATGTACTAACTTTACTTTAAACGCTTTTGGCACAAAATTTAATGTTTCTAACATCTTTCACGTTTTGATGACGTATATTAAACTTATTGAAATATTAAACTTTGGAAAAGTCGCACTTCTGTTATGCAGATTTTAGTAAATGTCATAAATAAATATTAATAATTTACCCGTCCGAAAACGTCGATCAAATTGTCAGGCACTCTAACTTTTTCGATTCTAGGCGACAACTGCCACCAATCTGTATCTCTACTCATTTTTTTTAACGTAAAAATATAAAAAACACTAATAAACTTTCTATATTTTATAGGTTCTTTATTTGTGGAATCTTGAGGTAATGTTTTGTGCGTTTTCATCGACTTTTCGCGGAAGACTGAAAAGTGAAACAACATACCAACCACAATACCAATTGTCCTATTTTCAATCTCAGTTCATTCAATTTTCGCGTTGGAACGTGCGTTTTCTAGGTTAAAATTTGAATAGAAACGGAGTCGACGCCCTGGGGGTTTGCGCCGGTGCGGAATCGATATGATACGCGCGCAAGGGTTCTGTCGCCGGCTAAGCCGGTAATACGTTTCCCCACAGTACGGCGGAAATATTTGGGTTACCAGCGTACGCGAGTAATGAGCATCGTGATCGATTTTATTCCGGTCCGCTAACGTTGCATGAGAAAATGACAAGATGCGCCGCGTTTATTTCGTCGTGGAAATTTCCACTACTTGAACGGTCATGCCAGCCAGCACTAGAAGGCGGAAATACTGACTTGACCAGTTTCATACGCAGCGCACTTTAGACACGTTTAATCGTTGCAAGTGTCTACTACGAAGTTTTAAAGTGCAATGCAATAGCAATATCATTACGCGGCGTCATTTTTAGTTTTAGCATTTAGTGAGAGCGCGTTCAAGGCAAAACTAATTGTAATATTGTCATAGCGTGCTTTTAACAATTGTACAAATTCTAAAAAAGGCAAAAAAGCACTTTTTGTGTGTAGTTCAATTTAATTATATGATTGTTTTTTAGTAATTTATTTTTACAAAAGCGCAATCAGACAATAAACGTGTCTGGCATGTAATGAAGTAAATTTTGCAAACTCATCACTATTGAATATTAGTTTAGTGGAAAAAAGTGATAACACAATGGAAACGTTTATGTTATATTAACATTTATCAAATGCAACAACAAACCGCGATAACGTTTGTGATAATTATTTATGAGGTAATAGTAAAATTATTATTACACCAAAAAATGTATAACCGCGGAAGCCTGACTATTAAAATCGTAATTTAAATTGTTTGTAAGTTATTTCTAAATGAAAGTTTGTTTGTATTAAAATACCTTGTTCAAACTGCCGCGTTTGAGATGATCGATCCCGGTAATTGTGGCTGGTGATCCAGAATCCCCATTGGCCCACTGACCGATCCTGTCCACTCCAATTCGTCCGCAGTCCATGTTATCAGCCGTGGATTTTCCGTCGCGGTGAGAAATTGAATGCGCCGAGAGCGGCTTGACGTTTACGTCCTGTTGACTGGCGACGACGGGCTTGTCGGCCGTGCTGTAACGAAACGCAACAGACGAATTGAGTGTACGGTACGGGCGCACGTAGATATACCGCGCGCCGCGACGCGCACGGCGCTGGCGCATGCGTTTACACGTTCGCGAGCAGTCGCGTGATCGGCGGGCTGTGGGTGCCGTGGATCGCGCGACTACTCGCGGAATCGCCGCATCGCGCTATCAGATCATCAGATGGCGACCGGCGGTTGTTTTTCTTGTTTTCACACAATCATATATCACATATTGTACAGCAACTTGTAACGTGATTGGAAACATTATCAAATACATTATGCTAATCATACAAAAAAATACTTTCCGTAATTAAATTCAACTTTATCTGTTTTGTGTATAATATGTAATTAACTAATTAAAACATGGACTATACTGCAAAAAAAAAATGTAGTTTTTCTTTGAATATTCATTAAATTTTAGATTAAATTATCATTTTTCTTAAACTTGACGGAAAAGGAACTAAAAAACAATAAAAGCGACACAGAAAATGATAAAAACGTAATCGTAAGAAAATATCGATAAAAATCATATTACAAATTTTTTAATAATAATTTTGGTGTTATGCGATTTTTCAATGTTAATATTTTGTCGGTTGAGGCGCTTTTTCACCTTAATCTGATGTTTATGACGTAAATACGTCGTACATTTCATACACCATTCATGCAAATAGCACGCGATCGCCAACATCAATAATTACTACATTGCATCATTAAATAAATAAATAATCTCGCATACAATACAAGTAAGTAGTATCCAATTGCCTAAATCCTCTCAGTGCAAAATCAAACAATAGTATTCACGGTCTCATAATGTGCAAATACAGACGTGTTAAAAGACGAGACTTAAGAAAAATATAAAGGCCTACATTAAATTATTTAACAATATAAATGACTCTAAATTCCCTCCTCCTTAAATGTGAAGTAATAATTCAGGATAATTTTATATAAGTTGACAGAGGGTTATTTTATGAAATTATTGATTCAAAGCGTCGCTTGCTATGCCAATAATTCCAATGTGAATAATGTATTGCACATTTACATTGACACTTTTCATTGTTCCATCACGTTTGCATAACTTTCGTGGCATAACTATTCGAGTGTCAAATAAAATATTCCGTTTGTCTACACACAATATGAACTATCTTCATAATTGTCAAATATCATATTTTTTCTACTTTTATTTACCAACAGCGTTCAATTTTCATACTCTTCATATTATACTTCGTATTAAATCAAGGAACACGCAAATCAGTGATGTCTTCAATTATATTATATTAACGCTAAAAATTTTCTACATTTGAATTTTAAATTTTGTCACTTTCTGCAAAACGCAGCACGTCAATTTGATCATAACATATGTGTGAGTGTGTGTATTACCTAATATCAGTCTGTTACCATAGTAATTATAATTATAATTGTAAAGCGCCAAAACGCTGCCGGTCATTATCGATAAAATTTTAGTATGTATTCACATTTGGGCGAGTGGCCTGTCTGGCTGTCCATGTGCCGACGCGCCGGTTCATGCCGATGATTAGTGAAAGTTCATTTCGATGCATGTTCGTTGTTCGTGCGAGTCGCGGTTTTTTTTATTACTCGCGGTTTTAGATAATATACGCGTTCGTTTTTTATGTAGTGAAATTTTAGCCGACCGATCGACGCGTGTTCGTAATTCGTTTCTTCCTTTCAATGCCAACAAATTGGTTTAATTTAATTTATTTGTGATTATCTACATATTATGAAAGTTTGCAAGCAAAAAGTAAGTGAATATCTACTTTATATAAATCGAAACCAATAACCCCAAATTGAATCATTATATCCAGCGCATATAATATATAATATGTATTGTATAATTTGATTATTCAGAAATAAAGTGAAATTTAAGTTAAAAATAAGGTGTAGCATGATTGAAGGTAGTAATTTAGGTCGTCTTTGTGGACGCAAGTAAATTTAAAGTTTTACTTGCTTGTCAATTGTAAACATAAAATAACAGTAGATATTTGATTGGTTGCCATTAGCAACGCACGTAGACAAAATTATTACTAAACGTTATCAGAACTTGTATTTTATGCATTATTACAAAACTAGCAAACAGCATTACCAAAATAATAAACCACATTAATGGCTCATTTCATATTAGTAGTTCTTTGTGTAAATCATTTTATTTATAAAATAAAATGCATAAAATTGAATATATTAGTTACTCACTATTTGCAGACAGTACAATTATTTTTTATTGAACGGATGTTTTTATGGCATGCGATTTTATGCATCGCATTATTGTAAAATTACCGATATAAGTATTAATGAGTGTATAAATATTTATAGAAATTTATTATTTACCAATGCGCCAAAGCATCAATAGATATTATTGTCTCGTATTCAGTTTTACTGCGAAGTTTAATGTTTTACCGTTTACATAGAATGTGATAGCTAGTTTTGCGTAAGCAAATGTCCCAGGAATATGATACCAATAGTGGAAATGAATTTTTCTGTCTCAATATTAATTTTTTTCAATTAGAAGCTTGCTGTACGTATTTGTAAAAAAATAATTTAATACACTAAGCAATAATAACACACCCATTTCCGCGTCGACAAGTGATACTTTACTGATAGAGATATCATTGTACTGATAATCAATATTTAATCGACATTTACACGTCATTCCAATTAAAAAAATGCGACACACTTCATGATTCTATGTTCTATTATTAGAATAATGTACTTGATAAAGCAAAGTGTTGAATACTTGTACACTTGATTACATTGTTGCAATTATTTTAATCTCACAACACGTTACAAAAAATATACAAGGATGAACGAACTTTCAATATTACATCGTAAATTAACCCTGTCATTGTGTAAATCTTTATTAATTATAATATATTCTATTATAATCATAAAGTTTAATCATAATCGTGATGATTTTGCGCTTGTGTTCTAAAATTATCCCCTTTGATTTAATGAACGTGTTGCACGTTTCGTTAGATTAAAATATAATTTAATTCGCATGCAATAAAGTTGATTTATTGTGAATATACTTAAATTACACGTAATCTGATTCCCTGCGTTTCATCATTTTAATGCGAATGATTTTCATTAATTCCTATTATGAATTAATGCTTGTTGCTAATCTGCGAGCGTTTCGCTCTCTTGAATCGTGTACAACTACAACTCGTACTTACAAGGTTATTGTCGAGTCTCGAGTGTTTGACGGTAAATAATTACTTTGCAACTTTTACTGCATCAACCAGATTTGCACGACGTAAATATCTTAACACAGTTTTCATAAACAATTTAAATCGCACAAGGTACATCAAAATCGTTTAAATAAAATAGAAAGAATACTTTATAACAATTTAAAACGATTTTATATGGACATTAAGAAAATATGTGGATAATTCCAAATACACTTTTTTGTTTTTGTTTTTTGAGTATAAGCATTCTAAGGAAACCACAAAAAATAACTATGACTCATTTACATGCAATATTGAATGTATTTCACATTTTCAAAGGATGTTGAGGCAAAAAATTGCTAAATGATAACGAAACGGAAGTACTCGCACGCCTAATTATGATTCCACGCAATACAACAATGAAATTATAAGTTTAAGTGGAGATTTACGCATGTTACGCATTATAATGCAATGATAAAAAATATATTTCATCGTTGTCTTTGTTTGTTTTTGTTTTGGTTTTGCTTTGACGATTTTACATTGATCAGGTTTAAGATAATAGTATTATAAGACTGAAAATATCAATTGACTTCATAAAATATCAAAAACTTTCCTTGTCACCATTTCTATTATTAATTTATTATTAATAACCACGCTCCAATTCCAAATATGTAACGACCATGGCATCTATGCAATTTTAAAATAAAACGTGCCACGAATCATAAAAAGACGGAAATAACTTTTTAAATAAATAGCATTCCAGTCATAACGACGCGCAGAGAAAATTTTGAATATAATATCTGATTGAAAACTTACTTTTTTCTCGTTTTACTAGTACAGTATTCCTTCGCGACACTCGCCGTATTCCCCATGTTATCTTCCGTGTGTATTAGGATCGCGGGTGATAATGCAGTGCATTCGTTTGTGTGTTGCCACCTTCGGCGAACTTGCAAGACTACTACACGATGTACGCAAACATGCGGTGCAATCGGCAAACTTCAAGCCAATGTTGCTGGACTGCGTTTGTTTACGATAACTTGAAGCGCTTGCCTACTGCTTATTCGCGTGCTTCACGTGTCGTAAAAGCGAAACTGGTGAAACTAAAACCGCGCAGTACGGACTAGACTGAAATATCTAATAATTATGAATAAAAAATAAATGCCATGCGACGTTATAGCGCTGCTAGACAATACGACACCGATGCGTACGAATTGGTTCACATTAATAAACGAAAGCCAATTTAAATTACGCATGAAAATGTTTTGTTGCGTGTTTTATTTATTTCGATGGTGTGGACAGAGTGATGAAACAGGCAATAAATAATAGGCGCGTTTAGTGGTTTGTTCTACTTACGTTCTTTCGATGGAATTATTTATACCAATTTGCTTTGAAATTTGTTGGAATTATGAACGTGCAATTTGTGTACTTTTTGTTTGTATCGTACTAAACCGTTGATGTGTAAACTCGGCAACTTTTTGAAATTACTGTTTGTTAATGTAGTCGTCTGTGCACGAAATTTAGGTAGTAAACAATGCGAAGTTGTAAAATGTAACTTTGTTATCTGGAATTGAATATAAGAAACCATGCAAGAAACCTGCATATATCAAGATAGCGTAGTAAATAAACATCAATGTTTGAGAAAATATGTGCATACTAGCGACATCTGGCGAAGAACCATGGTAGTTATTTTATAACAGAAAGTGCATCCTAGCGGCATCGGTGGACGAATTATCGAACTACATTGAAGCGGCTACTCAAATGCAGAACAATATTACAGTACTTTTGAAGCAACTTACAAATAGTTCTATGTTTTCTTGGTGAAATTTTAAAAAATACACACTTTTTCAATTACATAACATCATTTTTTAAACGTTTAACATTAGTGCTAATCAATATAATTTAGATTTTCAATGGTTTAGATTAGTCTTACATACAAATGATGTAATTAATTGACTAAAATTAGCAAACTAAACAATTAAATAATAACTTAATAGCTGCGTTCGAAATGTATTCAAATAAATAAAACCCGATGCAAGCGATCGCTCAAAGTAATCACACTAGAATGGTTCTAAGTACACAATGAATGTGAAATTAATCGTACAGTAACATGATTACAACTCTTAGTTGCCATGCCTCGCATCGCTCATCCATGCACTTGTTGAAATCCAAATCCCAATTTAACATTTGGAATTTATTACAAAATAAATTAAAATATGAGTAGAGTGGAGCTGCTCTTGTTATGATCACATGAATCCAATAAAATTTGAAGTTGGTCTAAATAATATCACTCTAAGTTTTCTTCAGTTGCCATGATTTTTTAAATATATAGTTTAGTTGACTTATGCGCGCTGATTGTGAGAAATACACGCTTAATTCTTGTGCTTGACCATCTCCTGCACCTCCAGAGGTCTTGTCTTTACATCGGGCGCCTCGGGCCATTCCCATGTGCACGGCATCGACGATTCGTAATTGTGGTTGTACAATTGATCCTCGATGTACTTGCGCTTATCCTCTGGCTCCGGATACACAGTTGCAATACCTAAAAAAAAACCAAATTAATTCACCGTTACATTTGTTAGTTATTTATGCAATAAATGTTAAAAAACAACTAAAAATGCATTGTTAATGATGTTTACGAAATCACGAACTACTTCATCCTGAAAACACAACATTCTGACAACAATTACATTAGTTTTTGTTGAAAATTAACAGTTACGTATTGATCCATCGTGTAAATTAATTACAATGGCAACCATTTGACAAAACCAACACGCATCAACTGTGAATTTTCAATTCTCAAGTTAGTTAAACTCCAATTATGTTATTTTACTGTGTGGAATAACTAAGTAAACAAGAAGTGTCAGATATTTAACTACGTGACATCTCTAATCTAACAAGTGTCAGACATGTAAACATGTAACAAGTGTAACCGTGTGTAGTGGTGAACCGTTCAGGACTGACCTGGACTGGATTGATCTAAACACAAACTCATAAAGTATTATTGCTTTATGTAACCGAGAAATATGAGTTGGACTCACACAATAACTCAATTATGAACTTTAAAAACTTAAAACTTTTAAATTGTTAAGTATCTCACCTTGTTCATACGCGTATTGAGCAATCCTGCACGCAATTTGCACCGAGCATTCTCGAATAGAACTGAGAGGAGGATACAAGCTACCCTTTTTCAGATCATCCTCACTGACATTATCAGCAATGGTCTGCGAAGCGACGAGGAACAGTTCATCACGGATGTGGTGAATACGCGTCGCGATTACACCCAACGCAATTCCAGGGAACACGTAGGCGTTATTTCCTTGTCCCGGGTAGTAGTCTTTGCCGTTTACGGTAACTTTACCGAAGGGCGAGCCGCTAGCGAAAACTACACGACCCTGGAATGCAAATGATCGATTTTTAATTTAATTTTTATAAAAATAAATTTTTAAATGTCAATTCTTACGTCAGTATTGTCGTATGCAGCTTGGGCTGTGCACTCAGCTTTGCTAGTTGGGTTACTCAAAGCGAAAACAATGGGTCTTTCGTTATTATCGGCCATAATCTTGAGAATTTCAGGGGTAAACGCGCCACCAGCCGCAGAAGCACCTAAAAAACACCGATGAACGTAAATATTTTAGTAATACAATTGATATTTAATTAAATTTATACCAATTAAAGCAGTTGGTTTGAGTTCTTCAACAACGGCTCTCAGATCCTTGCTAGCCTCATGATCTTTCACAAATGGAGCTTTGTGTCCACCAAGATTACCCTCGGGGCGTCCCTTGGCCAACAAACCATCAATATCAAACATCCAGATGCGTTCACGTGCCTCCTGCACAGACAAACCTTCCTTCTGCATAGCTTTCACTGTAAGACTAGCAATACCAATGGCGGCTTCACCTGCGCCAAGGAACAAGAACTTGTGATCAGCAAGTTTCTTGTTGACGATCCTCTTAGACGCCAACAAGCCTGCTACCACCACACTGGCAGTGCCCTGAATATCATCGTTAAACGTGCAGAAACGCGTCTTGTATTTGTCCAGGAAACGGAAAGCGTTGTGATTGCCAAAGTCCTCGAACTGAATGAGTGTATCTTGACCATAGCGTTTCACCACGGCGTTCATGAACTCATCGATGAACTCATCATATTGTGAACCGACAACTCTCTTTTGTCTCAGACCGACGTAAAGTGGGTCTTCAAGTAAACTCTCGTTGTTTGTACCAACATCCAATGTGATTGGCAGACAATGATGAGGTTTGATTCCGGCCAGGGCAGTATACAGGGCAAGTTTACCCACAGGGATACCCATACCGTACGCTCCCAAATCACCAAGACCCAGGATACGTTCACCGTCGGTTACAACAATGGCTTTCACATCGTGTTCAGGCCTTTAGATAAAAAATTAATAGAAATCACTTAAAATATTACACTTTTAAAAACTTACCAATTCTTTAAGACATCAAAAACATGTCCGCGGTCATTGATGGTAACATACAATCCTCTTGGTCTACGATAGATCAGACCAAACTTTTGGCAAGCTAAACCAACAGTGGGCGTATAAACAATTGGCATTAACATTTCAACGTTTTCGGAGAGCAGTCTGAAGAACAACTTCTCGTTACGATCGTGCAGCTCAGTCATGTAAAGGTATTTATTGAGATCCTCTTGGTACCGCATGACTGAAAGTCTGCACAGCTCAAGTTGCTCTTCCTGAGACTTGAAACGTGCGGGTTGCAGTCCATGAATACCCAAAGCCTGACGTTCTTCAAGTGTGAAAGCTAAACCCTAAAATATAATTTTCGTTCACAGACAATGAAAAATAAGCAAAAAATAAAAAATAAAATTTACCTTGTTGAGTCTGGGATCGCGCAGGTAATCTATACCCTGAACCTGACCTGGGCAAATAATATCGCCGGTGATCTGATGGAAAGTACGTTTCTGCTCATCGTTTGATGAATCAACGGCGACGATACGCTTCGTGCCATTGAGAAGCTGCACCGCTGCCTTTGTTCCTTTTGACCCACTAGAAAAAAACATAAAAACGCTATAAAACCAACTAAAACAACACTAATGGGGCTAAATAATGTATCATGAGAGTTATTACCGCATAGGAAATAACATTTTATAGAATAACCTTGCGACTTGCATAGTTTTAAACTTCGGCGTTGAAACTTGATAGTGGGCAAGGCTAATCTATGTGAATATGTACTGTGAATGTTGAGTTAGCATTGACAGTGAGCCGCAGAGCAGCACTATGATTGAAAAGCCGACACGCAGAAATTGCAATCGAGCTTAATTATCCAGCTACTCCGGCACGCAAATTGCCCCAACGAGCCAGTTGCGATGGTAATACTCTACAACACGTCACGTTTGGGCTGATAATTTGTTATTCTATGATGCCACAAGTGTAATAACAATGTGGAATTGTTTTACAGTTTACAGTATTTCACTTAATTGATGATAAATTGCATGGATAATCCTGGCCAGGAAATAAATTCAACGGAACAAAATTGTTTGAAGAATTATGATGATTCATAGAGTATGACGATTGAAAATATCTTAGGTTTTACCATGTGAATTCCTAAGAATCAAAGTAGGGTACACAGATGATTCGAATGGTGACCGCGTCGAGCGAAAAATGAAACAAAACGCTTTGTGAAGATGATGTAACCAGTTCGTGAGCATGTTACACACGCTGATTTAAGTGCTACAAACGTGCAAGGTCGGTAAATCGCCTGGGCACGTGTACTGCGTGCATTTTTCCCGACGCTACGGGTTCATTGCACCCCTAAATATTTCATCCCCTAAAATACAATCCATTATAACTTGTAAAATAAGCAAATTTAATTTTTTACATTACTTCCAGGTTAAACTAGTGTTAAATGCTAATTATTGTAATCTTGACATGGAAAATTTAACAAACATTCCATGTTATCACGTGTTTCGTTTAATTTTTGAGCGCTCTTTGATGATGACAAGTATGACGGCCATTTCGTTATGTGAAATTCAGTGGCAAGCATTCAAAAATAATACGCGCGACGTTTATGTAACTGAATGCGAGTTTAAAATATCGCTAATGTGTTTTATTGTTCCTGATCAACTTAATACTTGACACCACCAATAAAAACTGTGAATTGTCAGCGAATTTATTTAATCGCTGTCATTTTTAAGTATGGCTATACTGCGTTAGTTTTAAGGTAAAATTGTCGACGAGAAAGAATGGGTTGAGTTAATGAAACATTTCAAGGTCTTCCGGCGGCTGTTTTACGATCTTTAGTTTTATTTCTGATTTGGTTAAGCGGGCGTATAACTTCACGTCTCAATCGCATGAGAAATATTTCGTCATCGATTAAATCCGGAAATTTCAATTTCACATATCGATATCGCCGATAATCCGCACAACAAAGGCATACTACATTTCATTGCACAATCTCAAGTTTAATCTAATCAAATTGCTGAGAACAATGATGTAACAAAAAAATCTGGACACTCAAAATCTTTGTTTCGAAATTATTGATTGAATTGAATGCAAATTGCAATTTTAATCAATATTTCCAATGTGTTTATTGTTCGTAGAGCTTAATTTCGACGTTTTTATTAAAGAAAATGTTATGTAAACATCTGAAGCGTCGCCGCGTATTGATTTGCCCGACCAAACGCGCGCTATTTTCGTTTTCCGTGCGCTAGCCGCCTGTGGAAAACTGTGTCACGACGCTCGACGGTTTTCCCGACGCAACACACTACGCCACTAGTTTCACTCGTTTCTTACGGATTTCAATACGAATTTTTATGGAATTTACTTACAAAAGGGCCTTCGGTAGCTGCCCGAACATGATTGCGATTCAAATGTGTGTGGATTTGGCGACAGCCCTACTCGCGCGCACGCACAGCTGACTCTTCGGCGATATCCTCCCACACACTTCGGCACTACTCTCCTCGACGCTCCTTCGACGGCGGCAGCGGAACACGCGGTGGCGACTGCGCCCGCCGCGCGAATTTGCAACCGCTCACGGGCCTCACGATACGCTGCTCAAAATCGTGTCCTTGTTCAGCATGCGTACCCTATCTCGTTTTCGCACCTGTGAGCAGCCGCACTGGGTTTCGAATTCGGCTACCAGTTAGAGTACGGGTGCCGCGCTTTGTAATGCGCCGATGTGAATTTTGTATTGTGTGTATTTATAAACTGCTTGCTGTACAAATATTCTTCGATTCGCTACTGTCACGAACGGAATTTATTTCGTACGTGTATATATCAAATAAATTCACAATTTACAGGTGGAATACAGTAGTTTAAAATAAAAGTAATAAAAACAAAACGTGTGACTTCTGAGTTTACTGGCAACATAATAAAAATGACATTGACAAACGGCTAATTGTTTAGCAAACAGTGCGAGTGTTTGATTATTTACATACTTGATAAAGCCGCTTGCATCTCGAGATAACTAGGTGAGTAATATTTGAATGTATTTGCCGATTTTAACTACTGATTTGTTGCGACAAATCAACATAACCTACAGATTGTTTGCAAAGTGCGCATAAAGTTCAATTTATTACTTACTTTGTGCATGTGAATATCCAAATAAAGTGGTTACTGAAGATCCAGAACACATTTTGATAATTTATACACAGATTTTTACTTAATTTGGTCGTGAAATCTTCAGTTTTCAACTTGTACGCGTTACTTGTTTGCTATACAACTGAAGTGAAAACATTGGAGTTAAAGTAAAATCTGTAATTTTATGTAGGCAACCACTTATACCGATCTGATTATATTTTGAATTGTTTGCTTTCAGAATGGATGATCAACAAGAAGAAAAACCTTTTGCTGTTGATAGAGCTAAAGCCGGTCGTGCTGCTTGTAAAAAATGCAAAGAAAAATGTGAGAAAGGTGAACTACGTCTTGCAAAACTTGTGCCTAGTCCGTATGGCGAGGGAAAAATGAAGAGTTGGTTTCATCTTACGTGTCTTTTCGAACAATTCCTGAAACAACGCGCTAATACTAAACGCTTAGAAAATTCTTCTGAATTAGAAGGTTGGGATCTCCTAGATCAAAACGATAAAGATGCTATTGTTCAAAAATGGGAAGAATATGAAAAGATAATATGCGAGAAATACCATCTGGATTACAAAGGAAATACTTTTATCAAAGATGAAGTAAAACAATCACCGTTATCAACTTCAAAGAAAACCAAAGATGAAAGCAAGGATGATAATGACAACAAGGACGGATTATTTAGAGAATTCCGGCGATTAGTTGCAGATATTACGAATGTCAGTAGTTACACGGATAAAACAAATATTGTCCAGAATTTATTCACCAAAAAAGAAGGTTTTAAAGGCGACGTTACTCTCTGGTGTCGCTTGCTATTACCTGGTGTTATGAAACGCATTTATAATCTACAAAGCAAGCAGTTAGTAAAACTCTTCAGCCGGATATTCCATGCAGATCAAAGTGATATGTTGGAACACTTGGAGCAGGGCGATATTGGTGAAACAATTCAACACTTCTTCGAAGAAAGCACGCGGTGCAAACCAGCAAAGAAAAGCACTGTTACCATGGTAGAAGTGGATAACTTCTTAGAGCATTTGTCAAAACTAACAAGAGAAGAAGATCAAATAGATCATTTTAAATCATTCGCGATGAAATGTACAGCAAATGATTTAAAAATGATAATTAGACTTATAAAACACGATTTGAGAATGAACGCCGGTGCTAAACACATTTTAGACGCTGTACATCCAGAAGCATATGAGTCGTATCAATCTACAAGGGATTTGAAAACCGTCATCGAAAGATGTTTGAGTTCTAAGGGCAATTCTAAAGTTAATAAAGGTATTCAGGTGTTAACACCAGTTTTACCAATGTTGGCTGAACCTTGCAAGTCAATCGAACAAGCTCTGAAGAAATGTCCCAATGGAATGTACTCAGAGATTAAATATGATGGTGAACGAGTTCAGTTGCATAAAAAGGGAAACGAGTTTAAGTACTTTTCGAGGAGTTTAAAACCTGTTATGCAACATAAAATCGCACATTTCAAAGATTACATTCCGCAGGCTTTCCCGCACGGGAAAGATTTAGTACTGGACAGTGAAATTTTAATGGTGGACACCGAAACAGGAAAACCGCTCCCGTTTGGAACTCTAGGTGTGCATAAACGTGAGGGTTATGAAAATGCAGCCGTATGTTTGTTTGTTTTTGATTGTATATATTTTAACGGTGAAGTATTAACTGATAAGCCTTTAAAAACACGTAAACGTATTCTTCAAGAGAATATGACACCTATTCCCAATCATATTATGTTCTCCGAAATGAAACACATCACCGAACCTAAAGAATTAGCTGATATGATAACAAAAGTGTTAAAAATGGGTCTGGAAGGACTTGTACTGAAAGATGTGAAGTCTATTTATGAACCCGGCAAGCGTCATTGGTTGAAAGTGAAAAAAGATTATCTTTTCGATGGAGCTATAGCTGACTCTGCTGATTTGATAGTCCTTGGAGCGTGGTACGGCACCGGAAAGAAAGGCGGCATCATGTCAATCTTCCTAATGGGCGTGTACGATGAAAAAACGGACAAATTCAAAACCGTCACGAAGGTGCACACAGGTCACGATGATAAAACCCTAGCGCGATTACAAGATGAATTGAAAATGGTGAAGATTAGTAGCGATCCGAACAAAGTTCCAAATTGGTTGAAGTGCACACGTACAATGGTGCCTGATTTTGTGGCGGAGGATCCAAAGGCACAGCCGGTGTGGGAAATTACAGGAGCGGAGTTCAGCCGTCAGCATGATGTGCACACAGCGAACGGGATTTCGATTCGCTTTCCGCGCGTCACGAAGATTCGTGACGATAAGACGTGGAAAACCGCGACGAGTTTGGAATACTTAGAGCAATTATTCGCCACGTCGAAGGAGACTTTTGACGGATCGCTGTTTAATGATGAATTAAAATCATTGAGTTCCACGAGTGCCAGCACATCGAAAAACTCATTAATAACTGATTACATGGATGAGAAACCTGGGACATCGCCTATAAAAAAGAAACAAAGAGACAGCAAAAGACGATTTGCTGACAGTGATGATGACGATAATGAAAACAATGATTCTATCATTTCTCCTATTAAATCACCTAAAAAAGAAGTTAAAAGTCCAGTAAAATCACCAAAGAAACCAAAATTGGATTTTGTTGAACCCTTGCCTTCGTATTTTGAAGGTATCAATGTATTACTGTCCAATGAATGTGTACAGTCAGAAAATGAATATTTATTGCGGTCGTTTATTGCGTACAGTGGTAATTTAATCAAACAAATCGATCATGAGCAAGCGACGCATGTTCTTCATAATGTCGCTGAAATTCCTTTTGAACAACGCTATGATATTCAATGCCCGAAAACAGCTTATCATGTGACTACAAAATGGGTGCACGATTCGATTGTCGCACAACGTACTGTTGATGTTGAGCCTTATTTAGTCAAGTTGCTGGCTTAACGTGTTTGTTTACGTAAATGTAAACTGTTTGCTTAAATTTTCATAATAAAGAAATACGCAATGTTGTTAGATTTTAAAGGTATTATATTTTTTATCCGTTGGTAAACTAATTAATGTTAAGCGTTCGTCATGAGTCGAGGTCTGATGAAGATCATTTGTTTTTTTTATAGATATACTAGATGACCCGGCAAACTTTGTTCCGCCTCGCTTTGCTCTTGTGATTGAGAAGCACGAAGTCGAGTCATACTAACACGGCGCTTTTCACGTGCAATTTTTTGTTCTTCTTCAGTCCTTTCATTCGCAATCCTTCGAATCCTAGTTGCATTACGGTTTTGTCGGATAAGATTTGATCGTTTTGATCGCTGCATGTTGAGTGGGGAAGCTACGAAGCATCGCACAAAGAAGAGACGGAGAAAACTCGTTTGGTATCTTCCAAAGAAGTTTTCACTTCAAAAAGTATTAAAAAAAGTATCCTACACTTACTAAATCGTATCCAAACAAACACATCAACCGGGCAATTTTAACCAACTCGTACAAACACACACACACGTCCATGCTTAGGGGGGAGCTATGAAGCATTGCATAAAGAGGAGACGGAGATAATAGAAAACATTGTATTTGTGTGCTCTTTTTCTCCCGCAGGCTAAACCATATAAGCGATAATGTTTGCTTCTTTTTAGTGTCGTTTAGTGTCCTCTAAAGATGTTTTCACTTCAAAAAGTATCCTAGTAACCTTCTCCCAACAAAAACAACAACCGGTCGATTTCAATCCACACGTACAAACATACGCACGTCTATGCTTAGGGGGGAAGCTACGAAGCATCGCACAAAGAGGAAACGGGGATAATAGAAAACTTTGTATTCGCGTTTTCTTATTCTCCCGCAAGATAATCCATATACGCAAATATGTTTGTCTCTTTTTAGTGACGTTTAGTGCCTTTTTAGAAAAGTTTTCATTTCAAAAAGTATCCCATTACCTTCTCCTGGCCCTAAGCTACCTCTCCACCAATTTTTAGCTAAATTGGATTAGCCGTTCTTTAGTTATAATCAAGGTAACCAACACGACTTTCTTTTATATATATAGATAGATTAATCTAAAGCAGCAATTATAATTTTAAGAAAAAATGTTAATGTTTTGCATATTGATTACTTCTGCTTGTTTACAATCATTTATTTATTTGTTTATAATATGATTTCCTGCTTATATTAAACAAACTGATTGTATGAATCACTTTATCAGTTGATTGTGAGAAAGTAAATTATGATGTAATCGAAATTCAAGTTTTTCTCTTGATCATCAAATCTAATAAATTAGTAAGAAATATATATGTTTAATGTTAAGAATTAAAATATACTTATACTTAGGTTATATTTATTAATATCAATGCTATATATGGGCAGATACTTGAATATTTTCACGTTCAGACGAAAAAACCAAACGAAATCATTGTTTTAAAACTAGACGCGAGTTCTTAATAATAGTGCTGCGTTGGTAAATCGTACGGTAAGGCACCAGATGAGATCACGTTTGATCATAGTAGAAAAGAGTACACGGTGTAATTGCTGAAGTTATCATTTCCGATGATTTTATGAATTTATGAGCCATGCGAAGCCATTGATTGCATGCTATTGAGACTTTGATCACCTACGCCACACCTCAAACTCCAAATTTAAGAATATTTTCTTTGACTTACTTTTGCTGAGATCATGTACAAGTTATGTACAACAGACAGTTTTGAAAAACTTCAAAAATAATTATGGTTGAAAATCCTAACCTATATAGAGGTAATTTGCGTCAATTGTAAAAACAATGCGTCTGGCAGGATGATAGAACCGACCAAACTGTCGGGCGTGCTGGAAAACACAGTTTTATAGCCCTCTGTATAATGTGTATCAAATTCAGCTTTCCTAATATAACGAAAGTAAAAAAGTTAAAAAAATATACTTTAGGGGTGTCTGGCTAGGGTTGGAACCATACCAGGTGACTGGCAATGAGCAGCGCATGTTATAATAATGTGACGAACAAAATATGCAAAAATGGAGTTTGCTAAAATAACGAAACATAGGTCATCATGTGTACATCTTAGTTGGCTGTTAACTGCCAAAGGAACCACGATCCAGGTTTCATAATTGGGGATCGTTCTTACCTGTGCTGGAGAAACACATGGACAAAATTTCATCTTTCCTAAAATGACGAAAGTCTGGCCGTCACTGGCTCTTGGTCTACAATATAAATGGTATATTAAATATCGAGTGGTTGAAAGGAAGTTTAAGTCAACGTTTAGTCATGTGCTATTTTTTCAACTTCCTCTTTATTTCCACGTTGAGATTTTTGTATTTGAACTTTTGTATATTAAATCTTTTAAATTCTGTAACACACTTCTATGAAATATAAGATTATAAATGCTGTAAAGTATATTAGACACGGCTTTGGTCGTCCGTGTTTAAAATACCACTTTTTGTGTCTCGCAACCGTGAAAAAACTGACGCTTTAAAGGTTGATGTAGAAAAACAAAATAAAATGAGATTTGGATACTTGTATATAGTTTATTAACAGTGAATCATTACAATAGGGCAGTTTGCACCCAAACAAAATAAAAGGATAACAATTTTTCTTACTAACCAAGGAGACTACCACCACTGGTCGCACCAGAAGCGCCCCCAGTCACTGCTCCAGTCACACTACCCAGGGGACCAGTGGCTCCACCAAGTGCCCCACCAGTTACTCCTCCAATTAAATCAGATCCACCAGCCGCTCCAAATGCGCCGCCAGTGAGTGCTCCCCCCATACTACCCAACATACTCGTCACCTGGCCAACAATCGCACCATCGATTGCCCCAGATGCACTACCCAAGCCTGCACCACCGCCCAAACCGCCCAAAGCACCGAGGACAGCTGACACCAGTGAGAACACCGGGCCTAAAATTAAACCCACCAATTTTGTTAGGATATCAAGAGGACTAGAAGATCCAAGAGGACCAGCGGGGGTGGTTACAGATGGATCGGTGCTGTCAGATGAGTCTGGCGATAAATCACCAAGTCCGGGAAGACCGGGAATTATGGAGTCGAGACCCAATGGAGTAGCCTAAGTAAAAAATATGAAAATATAGAATTTGATGTTTTTATATACAATATTATGAAATTTTATAAATGTTAAACTTACTTGGACTCCGTAGATAACAGCGACGAAGGCGAGGGCAATGGTAAGTTTGAACGCCATTTTGTTGCGATCGGTTGATATCAGGTAGCTGATGTTTGATAGAAATTTCGTCCTGGTTTTTATACTACTTTTTTCTGATTATAATCCGAGGAATTTAATGTTGAACTTGTTTTAGTACTTTAAGGATTACGCTTGAAAAACATCACAACTTTAATCTATCCTTTAAATTTACGTCAAACCAAAATATTCGCAAAGTAAAACAAATACAAAAATGTGAATTATACATTCATAATTATTTTAATTAGTGAATTCTTGTTTAATCTTTGATAAAGAATGATTATATTAAAGCAATTTAAATGTGTTTATTTATAATCCATTGATAAAACAGAGATTTAATTGTTGGGGGATTTATTTTTTTGTTTTGATAGAAAGGATGTAGCTGACAATGGTTCAACAGCTTTCATTACAGCATCAAGAAAATATAAATTAATAAATCGTAGTCGTATTGTGTATTTTAAAAAAGGTAAGTAATATTAATATAGTAGCAATTTGACTAAAATATATAATATATTGAAAAAAGTTTTAAAATATTAGTCATTCATAAAATATAATAAAATCATAAATTTCGTTTTTGTATTAAAACCTACTGAATTCTTCTACAATATAAAAGTGAAACCTCAAAATCTGTTGGTAAGCGCATAACTTAACAACGCCTTGACCAATTTGGCCAATTCTTTTTTTTTTTAATGTTGGTTAATGTCCAAGGATGGTTTTTACGGCGAGAAAAATTCGAATAATTTCCGGGAACCCAAAAGACAGCCCTTTTCTATAGGATAAAAGTTGGCATTGAGATTCAATCATAGTTATAGTGAAATAGTTGAATCCGAGATGGCGCGCTGAAGTGCATTATTAGCAATTATTTATATTATTAATTTCTTTGCAATAAAATTGCAAATTTTATTGATAGCATTGGCATATACTATGTCTAGAACAAGAGAGTAAAATTGAATTATATTTTTATTAAACACTACTGGGACGAAGTTGCCCGCGACTAGTATTAAATAATATTTTACTTAGAAAAAGAAAAAGTATTTATACGTGATATTGAGTTACATTTTTTAAAGACGATGCCCTTGAAGCAAAACATGTCAAACTTAAACAAAAATGTAATTCAATACCACACATAAATAAAATTTAAAAAAAAACATTATTTAATACCACAGATTTCGAATTCATTAATAAATATAAAAGAAAATAATATTACATTTCTTTTTGTTTGGTCAGTGGTAAGAATTAAATGGAAAATTTGCGTCACAGCTTGAGTCATAAAAAAATCAGACAAATTTAGAAAAAATGTAACATTTCCTCTACGGTTAAATACTTAAATAATAAGAAAACATAAAATAAAAGAATAACTAAGCACTCCCAAACAATAACTCCCTTCCAAATTGAAATCCATGAACCGCTACCAATATATGACAATATGTTTACTGATTACCAACGCACGTTGTCCTCGTTCCACGCGTTCTACAACACGATGACGTTCTGAATAGTTGGGGGCGGGAAGATAGTGAGCGCGTTATGGTTTAGTGCACGCTTCGCATTGAAATACTCGGTACGCTACTCATTCCGCTTCAGTCCGAGCTCACAGGTGCCTCATTACCGACATCAGAGTAGAGCTGCGACGAACTACAAACTGTGAACTACTGGCACACCATATTTCAACGCGATATTTAAGTTAAAATTTATTAAAACAACGCGATTTCATCAATTCATCTCATTTATCAATCATGGTAAGTACAAAATATTTCAATAAACACGCATAAAATATAAATTCTAATAAAAATAAATATTTTCATTCATGTAGTCACAATAAAAATTACAAGATGAATATGATTGCATCCTGAAAATATTTCCGCACAAAGTAGTTATGCGTGTGTTCTTTCTTAGTGAATAATTTGATAATTTGCGGATGCGTAACCGCTAACTTAATAGAAAGAACATTTCCATCCTGCAAAAGTCTTTACGGCTTGGTTCCCAGAGTGAAATAAATACCGGACCAATAAATACGCGCTAATAAGTTAATTCACTCGTATAATTCAAAAATTAAACCTGGAATTGTCTTATAAACCGCTGTGAGTTGATATAAAAGATCAAGTTAATAATAATTTAATCATTATCTTAATTATTTAATTGTGTTTCGCATGGCGTTTAACTCGGCGCCTCGCCACTCCTAGACTCCTAGGGCATTGCAATCAGGAATTAATTGCCAGGCTATTATTTCATTAGCAATTAATTTTAAAACATGCACTACACCATTAATTGCGCTGTATACTTCATATCTTAAATATAATATATGACAAATATGATAATATCTTATCTAGAAAAATAAAAATATTTTTTTATTTTTGATATTTTAAGTTGTAGCGATAATCAAATTTTTAATAATTTAGATATATCGCTTCATTATGTTGTTTGATGGTTTTCTGATTACCTAGAATACTTCGGGCATGTAGATAACACTTAGGGTAACCTTAGAAAAAAAATTCAAATGTAAATTACAAACAAATCGATTCACCCACTGAACTAGTAGTAATATTCTAGGACAATCGATTACGATATGCGGTGAATATTGATTTAAAAGTAGAACAAATTGAATAAACAGAATATTTTACTTAATAATTATTTTATTAATGTTTTATTGTAGAAAAAATCGTTAATTGATGTAAAATTTTTAGAATTTTTTTTTCAGAAGGGCAAAAAATAGGTTATGTTTTGTTTATTTTTTGTTGTTTTTTGCAATATTTAGTTTAAGATCTACCTCAAAGGCCATTTGTTTGTAATAATTATTTTTTTGTTAAATTTTTACCTGTGATACTTTTTTATTTGCATTTTTTAAAAGCTTTTTGAAAAATTTATTAAATTAATTGTATTTTTGAAAAATATAAAATGTTATTTCCTGTAAATCGTTGAATTTAACAACATATTACATAAAACAATTATATTTATCATCAACATCATCAAAAATATCACCCAAAATAATTCCACACTGTTTTTGTTCATCAAATTCTGAACACAAAAAAGTTGTGAGTAACACTTCTATGAAATTAGGCGTCCAAACAAAACAATTGAAATGTAATCGTTCTATGAGTCATCAAATTCTCTGAAGTCATAAACTATGCTTTATCGACATGTGATGATAATATTAATTTTTATCTATAAGAAGAATTTGAGGTCAAACCATTAAAAACGTTATATTTACGAAATTGCTGAATAAACTACTCTACTACCTTAAAATTTCTGAAGATATAAATACAAGTAGTAAGGTAGTAATATATTTGACAAAAGCCACCAAAATTAACAACTGAGCGTGCATTCCGATAGTAGGCGACTATATGGAGACTGGTACTCATTCATGTGTACGATGTTTTTGAACAAGCGGAAGCCGTGAATAAAATCACCGTGCCATGAACGATTTCAACCGCAATAATCTATTAGGACTTCCAAATTACTCGTGGTTCGACTAACCAAAATTCTGGCTTAAATATATTTTATATTATCACAAGATTTTGCCTGCGATTTTGTCTCGGTAGTGTTTAATAAAAATGTTATTCGTTCTTACTCTCCAGTTTTAGACATAGTATGTGTTAATTCAATCAATAAGATTCGCAATTTTATTTTAATCAAATTATATAAAGAATTGCTAATAATGCGCTTCAGCGCGCCATCTCGAATTCAACTATTTAACTATAACTATGATTGAATCTCAATGCCAACTTTTATCCTATAGAAAAGGGCTATCTTTAGGGTTTTCCCGGCAATTATTCAAATCTTTCTCGCGGTAAAAACCATCCTTGGATTTTAACGAACATTTAAAAAAAAGAATTGGCCAAATTGGTTGAGGCGTTGTTGAGTTATGCGCTTACCAACACATTTTACGATTCATTTTTATATTATAGATTATTCTAAATCATTCCAATTATCTAATCTATACATCAGCGTCTAATAATGATCTTAGAATTAATCCATAGATCACATTGATGTGCACAAGCCCACAACAAATAGCTTCATTAATCCAAGTTGAACTCAGATAAGTTAAGTCACATTGCACTTAAGTTGTAGACAATTTAAACTATTTCACGCTTGACTACATTGGGCGTGTACTAAATGAAAATGATAATTATCCGTTCATTGTTTATCGAATTGAGTTGAGGGAGTATTGTTTCCAAAGCGTTCTTTTACGTTCTGCGCATGACTACACAGACAAATATTTATTCGACGTTGTCTGATAAATATACGTGCGTGTTTTAATCTGCATGTTGTTGTAATTATCGGGTTTTTATCGAGAATTTAAGACTGTTTGTAAACACGTAGGTAATCTACACAACAAGACATCCGCAAATTGCTGCGTAGATGATTGTCTGAGCATGACGGAAATCCGATACGCCTCTCTGCCATTTCCTCTGTGTATCTATGTCTTTTATTTTATTACTAACTTTTGCCCGCGACTTTATCCCGGTAGTGTTTAATAAATATGTAATTTGTTTTTACTCTCTTGTTCTAGACATAGTATGTGTCAATTCTATCAATAAAATTCACAATTTAATTTTAAAGAAATTAATTATATTATGAATTGCTAATAATGCCCTTCAACGCGCCATCTCGGATTCAACTATTTAACTATAACTATAATTGAATCTCAATACCAACTTTTATCTTATAGAAAAGGGCTGCCTTTAAGGTATTCCCGGCAATTATTCAAATTTTTCTCGCCGTAAAAACCATCCTTGGACTTTAACGAACATTTAAAAAAAGAATTGGTCAAATTGGTCTAGGCGTTGTTGAGTTATACGCTTTCCAACAGATTTTGCGATTTATTTTTATATTATAGATTGCTTTATGTTTATTTTTATTTATTTTCAGAGGGAATGTATTTCTGTGCATATTGGTCAGGCTGGTGTTCAAATTGGCAATGCATGCTGGGAATTATACTGCCTTGAACATGGCATTCAACCTGATGGTCAAATGCCCTCCGATAAAACCATCGGAGGCGGCGATGACAGCTTCAATACGTTTTTCAGTGAAACCGGCACAGGAAAACACGTCCCAAGGGCGGTTTTCGTTGATTTGGAACCTACAGTCGTAGGTAAATATAAAAATTAACATAAAATCTTGTTTATTATTTAATTCACTCTAATATAATGAAAATAACTGAATATTTAGAAGGGGAATTTAGTCAGACTGGTAATAAAAAAATATTTCATATATACCTTCAAATGCAATGGACAAAAAATAGTCACGCAATATATATGAAAAACATATGCGTGAGAGATACTCGTGCATCGATTCATTTCCAAGAACAAAAAACGTTTTTTACATGAATATAAAAAACATGTACGATATTGATTTGTTTTTTTCAGCGAGAATAAAAAATATCGATTATGTTTTTCCGTCCAGTTTAAGTTAATAAATAATTTACGCTAAAATCGCTTGTTTTGCTTTCGAAACAATGCATTTTTGATGATATTTATTCGCCAATTACTCGGCATGCATACAAAATTACTTGTTTAACTTTGACTAGCTATTAATTCCGAGGGCGGTTTCGTGTCTCTCATGAATAGTAGCACAAAGTACACTCACCCGCAGGTTTTAGTATGATTACCAGGCGTAATGTCGTGACTATACTGATGAATTTTTAAATACGGAAATTTTAATATGAATTTTTTCGTATAGACGAGGTAAGGACTGGTACTTACCGTCAATTATTCCACCCGGAGCAATTGATCACTGGCAAAGAAGATGCGGCCAACAATTACGCTCGAGGTCATTACACCATTGGGAAGGAAATTGTGGATCTTGTCCTGGATCGCATCCGGAAGCTAGCGGATCAATGCACTGGCCTACAAGTATTTTTTTTATTCTTATAATTTTTATTTATTTATTAGCTTTTGCCCGCGACTTCGTCTCGGTAGTGTTTAATGAAATTAATTCGGTTTTACTCTTTTGTTCTGGACATACTCGTTGTATGTGGCAATTCTATCAATAAGATTCGCAATTTTATTGTAAAGATATTAATTATATAAAGAATTGCTCATAATGCACGTCAGCGCGTCATCTCGGATTTAACTATTTAACTATAACTATGATTGAATCTCAAGGCCAACTTTTATCCTATAGAAAAGGGCTGTCTTTAGGGTTTTCCCGACAGTTATATGAATATTTCTTGCTCTAAAAACCATCCTTCGATTTAAACGAACATTAAAAAAAAAGAATTGGCCAAATTGCTTTAGGCGTTGTTGAGTTATGCGCTTACTAACAGATTTTGCGATTTATTTTTATATTATAAATTTGAGTTTTTGTTTTTTTGTAGGGATTTTTGGTATTTCATTCGTTTGGCGGTGGTACCGGATCAGGTTTCACAAGTCTCTTGATGGAACGTTTGAGTGTCGATTATGGCAAAAAGTCCAAACTGGAATTTTCCATCTATCCAGCTCCACAAGTTGGTTTGAATAATTAATAACACGAATAATAGTATTCATGTGGTGAATAATTTTAGGTTTCTACTTCGGTTGTCGAGCCGTATAATTCCGTGTTGACCACGCATACAACGCTCGAACATTCTGATTGTTCTTTCATGGTGGACAACGAAGCGATCTATGATATTTGCCGTCGTAATTTGGACATTGAGCGTCCTACTTATACCAACCTGAATCGTCTAATTGGACAGGTAGAATATAAATAAATTTTTAATATTAGAATTTAAGTAAACCCAACTGATTTGTTTTTAGATTGTTTCATCAATTACTGCTTCTTTGCGTTTTGACGGAGCTCTCAATGTGGATCTAACTGAATTCCAAACCAATTTGGTGCCATATCCACGTATTCATTTTCCTTTGGCTACGTATGCTCCGGTGATTTCTGCCGAGAAAGCTTATCATGAACAATTGAGTGTTTCGGAGATTACCAACGCTTGTTTTGAACCAGCTAACCAGATGGTTAAGTGTGATCCACGTCTTGGGAAATATATGGCATGTTGTATGTTATACAGGTAAATATAATCAAATAATATAAATTACTTGCTTTTACCTTCGACTTCGTCACCATAGTGTTTAATAAAAATGTAATTCGTTTTTACTCTCTTATTCTAGACATCAATTCTCAATAAGATTTGCAATTTTATTTTAAAGTAATTAATTATATAAAGAATTGCTAATAATGCACTTTAGCGCGCAATCTCGGATTCAACTATTTAACTATAACTATGGTTGAATCTCAGTACCGACTTTTATCCTATAGAAAAGGGCTGTCTTTAGGGTTTTACTGGCAATTATTCGAATTTTTCACACCGTAAAAACCATCTTTGGACTTTAACGAACATTTTAAATAAAGAATTGGCCAAATTGGTCTATGCGTTGTTGAATTATGCGCTTACTAACAGATTTTGCGATTCATTTTTATATTATAGAAAATTATATTGTTGTTTTTATTTTGTTTTAATAGGGGTGATGTGGTTCCGAAAGATGTCAACGCTGCCATTGCCGCCATTAAAACAAAGCGCTCTATTCAATTCGTCGATTGGTGTCCCACAGGATTCAAAGTTGGTATTAACTATCAACCACCAACGGTTGTTCCAGGTGGAGATCTTGCTAAAGTCCAACGTGCTGTTTGTATGTTGTCCAATACCACAGCCATAGCTGATGCCTGGGCAAGGTAACATAAACATTACCTTACATTCAAGAAAAACCTAACATTTTGAAATATTTTTAGGTTGGATCATAAATTTGATCTTATGTACGCCAAACGTGCATTTGTCCATTGGTATGTTGGTGAAGGAATGGAAGAAGGTGAATTCTCAGAAGCCCGCGAAGATTTAGCCGCATTAGAGAAGGATTATGAAGAAGTCGCTGCTGATTCTCTGGAAGGTGAAGGAGATGAAGGAGACGAGTATTAATTTCCCACTAAAAACTCTTCACTTCTTCACTGATTTGAATACAATCAGCACGCACAAATGAATACTCGTAGAGAACGGCGACATATTAAAACTTTTATAGATGCTAAACGTTGACTTTAATTATTATGGTTGTATTTGAAAGTGCACTTACCTTTGCTTGTAACCCATGACTATTTATACATCATAAATATACATATTATAGAAATATTAAAATTATTGTTTTTTTTACTAGCTTTAGCCCGCGACTTCGTCCCGGTTGTGTTTAATAAAAATGTAATTTGTTTTTACTCTCATGTCCTAGACATAGTATGTGTCAATTCTATCAATAAGATTTGCAATTTTATTTTAAAGAAATTAATTATATAAAGAATTGCTAATACTGCACTTCAGCGCGCCATCTCGGATTCAACTATTTAATTATAACTATGATTGAATCTCAATGCCAACTTTTATCCTATAGAAAAAGGTTGTCATTAGGGTTTTCCCGGCAATTATTCGAATTTTTCTCGCCGTAAAAACCATCCTTGGACTTTAACGAACATTTAAAAAAGAATTGGCCAAATTGGTCCAGGCGTTGTGGAGTTACTTTTGTAAATTTTTGGAATACGCAGACAAGTTTTCATGCCGCGTTTTAAACCATTTGTAATTTAATTCTTGCAACAAAAAGTGGCTTGTGTTATATTCTAATATATAAGCTATAACATAGTCAAGTTTCATTAAATTCGGTTGAATGGTTTTGGCGTGAAAGAAAAACAAACATACATTTTTTTATTTTTAATATTTACAGATATCCTTTAAATGTGTACTCGTTGTGGTGCAAATTGCACTATAACAATAACATACGTAGTAATTAAATTGAAAAAAGTAAATAATGCAGTTAAATCAACATTTAAAAAACCTGCAGCTGTTATCCTCGGACGTCTTGCTTCTACCTGATGCGCAAAAATAAAAATATTTCTATGAAGACGTGGACTATTACTATGCATCTGAAACACTTTGTATGCATAACCAATAGTCGATTTTCCTTCCTGACAAAGTTTATCACATAAAACCGCCAAAGTAGTAGTTTGAATCTGAAAACCACTTTGAAAATAAACAAATAACAGTATTTTAAAAATTAAAATACACTTACAATTGCATAAACAATCCAAAAAATGTTATAAATCAATATATCTTCCTCACTATGCAGTAAAAGTAAACAAATTGTATATAAAATCAAATACAGACCATAAAACAATTCAAAAAGCATATTCCATCCAAAAATTTGATTAAAAAGATTAACCAAGTCCGATAAATAATTATGTATTAATATTATATCTTTTAGGTTATGTGTTACATCTGACACATTGAATCTGCTTACTCCATTTTGCAAATGTTGATTAAACATACAATATCTTAAATGAATAGCTTTCAAAATGAAAAACTGCAGTAGGAAAACTAGTAACATTAAAAAATTGTTAATATTATCACTTAATAACAATATACTATAGGATTCTTCAGCAGTAAAGAACCACGATGATATATCAAGACCAATAAGTATACATAAACATCCACTTAAAATTAGTGTTTTCGCACAAACAAATTTTAAATTTTTGACTTCAATCCGATGTGTTGTGAATAATTTATCTATCTGATTGAATGTTCGAAATAGAGTTGAGATTTCTTCAACCTTTAAATAAGATGAGGTGATTATCATCACCAAATTAGTTATACTCGAAGATGAAGTCATCATTAAAGTAAGTCCTGTTTCAAATACACTGTGTCCATGTGTGTATTTAATTACTTGATGCACCGTAAATATTAACACACATAAATTATATATTAATAAAGGAATATAATGTAATTTATAGGTTTTGAAGCGTTTTGTTTTTGATTGTAAAATGGAAATAAACCAAACAAGCTGATTGAAAGTATGAGCCATTTTAAGTTGTCACTTAGAAAGGATGATTTCATTATTTATTATTGTTTAGGTATAAGCAAAGACCAACAAGTTCAGATTACAAATGTAAACTGCGAAAAATTACTACTTGTGTCTGTCAAATAAAAGCTTTTAGAAAATGTCAGCAATTAATTGATTGTTATCATCTGTCACCGATAAGAACCGGAAAGTAGTTATAGTGTTACGGGAATATTTGATTGCTGTAACGATTGTCGGAAAATTGAAAGGATTTCAAGGTTGGAATACAAAATGACTGTTATTTATATAATACTCGTACTTTACTTCACTGAAAATCCAAAGAAATGTCAATAAAATGTGTTTGGTGTTTTTATTGTGATTTTACTTGTGGGTCAGATGCTGATGGAGAAAATTGTAGTGCACACACTTATATTGTAATAATGTTAATAAAAATGCAAGAAAAATAATGATTTGATTGCACAAAATTGGTTTTACGAAATATAATAACTGTTTTAGGTAAATTTTGGATTTTTAGATATTTTTATTACTTTTCGTAGACAGTTGTAAGTATTTTTAAGTAAACAATGGTGCATGTACCTTTCCGACAACGCAGTTTTCAATAAGTAAAAAAAATTTTAAAGTTGTTTTACTAGTTTTAGTGTTTATTGTATACAAACAAACATTTTTTGGTTTTTATTTCCAAACAACCTTATATACTATTACTTTTACCCTGAAAACTGCACAATAACAATAATATAAGTAGTGATAAGGTTAACAAACGTAAATAACATTGAAAAATCAACTTTGAAGAACCCAGCAGCCGAAAACTGTGGACTTCTTGCACTTGTCTGCTGAGCAAGAATCATCAATGTTTCCCTCATGCTAGGTATGTTATTAAAACGCAGCAGAGCTCTGTACGCGAGTGTTACAGATACATTTCCTTGATCACACACTTTTTCACACATTGATGCAAATATAACAATTTGAATCTGTAAATAAATATAACATTTTTATACATTCTACCGAACTACAAATACAGAGAATAATAACTTACTGTGTAATATATTGTCCACATCACCACTAAATAATTATAAAAACAAGGCTCAGTATTGATTAACAATGTGCACATCCTTAGCATAAACACAATATTCTGCACAACCGACAATAACATATTCCAACCATAAATGTGATTGAAACTATCAACGAGATCACATAATTTACTATGCATTTTCAAATACTCTTCGATTTTTCTCTGTCCAACAAAAATGTCATTTGTGTCCATACCGGAAGTCATCGCATTATACAACCGGAATCGTTTTAAAATCGAATAGACAATTAGAAGTTTTAGAAATTCCATAGTGTTAATATTGTAACTGCTGAAAGTATCCCCGCAATAATGTATTGTATGCCTTAGGGCCGAAGAATTATATCCATAAAAATATAAATCATTGAAATTCATTATTAAAAACACCAGATTAATACCCAGGAAACCACACAAGACATATTTCAATGAGCAAACTGTGATTTTATGCAATTTTTCAAAATCGTTATCAACTTCGTTGAAAGTATCAAATAAATGTTTAATGTTGCCAATGCGTAGAAAATTCAAGTTGATCATCATTTGCACATTCATGCAAATATCGACAATTGGTTGTGCCACATGAATATTTGCATCTGTTCTAATAAAAATATGATTATACGCATTAGCTATCATCGCTGTGGTTGTAATTATTATGAGGACAATTGGAAGAGGTGGAAAAATGCGAAAATCTTTTGTTTTGGTCGATAGAAGGGCATTACGCCCATAATTGAAGACGCTCGAAGAAAGACGATTATTTCATCGGCCAACATTGTTGCAAGTTGAGTTCAAAGTGGAGAAAATAGTTATTTATTAATTGGGTTGGTTATTTGTCGAGTAACTGGTATTTTTTTCTATACTTCTGACCTTGTGTTAAAGTGATTAATAATGTTCGATGTCATAATCAACAATAAACATATTTCTATTAGTTTTATGTGGTAGAAAGCTTCCTACGCGTTTCAGTTAGTAAACTATAAGTGATAAACATAAACAATGGCTAGAGATATTAAAAAAGTCACTAATTAATTGTATTAATTTATTTAACCTAATAATTATACATATTACCACAAAATAAGTAAACATTTCTCCTTCGATGTTGATTATCAACGTGCACATCTTTAGAATGGAACCAATTGTCTGTACAACTGAAAATAACATATTCCAACCAAAAATGTGATTGAAACAATCAAAGAGATCACATAATTTGCGATGCATTTGCAAGTCCAAGGATGGTTTTTACGGCGAGAAAAATTTGAATAATTTCCGGGAATATGCTAAAGACAGCCCATTTCTATTGGATTAAAGTTGGCATTGAGATTCAATCATAGTTATAGTTGAATAGTTGAATCCGAGATGGCGCGCTGAAGTGCATTATTAGCAATAAAATTAATTTTTTAAAAGTAAAATCGCGAATCTTGTTGATTGAATTGACTCAACTATGTCTAGAACAAGAGAGTAAAAACGAATTACAATTTTATTAAACACTACCTGGACGAAGTCGCGGACAAAAACTAATATAAAATAAAAAAATATTATATTAGGTTATGTTTTGTTTTTGATTAATTATTTGCCGTGTTTACAAACTTGTATTAATTAAACAAAGAGCCTTCCTTTATTTAAAAGAAAACAAACGCCAGTTTATTTAATGAATTTGACAAAACATCAATCATTCTTAATTCTATTAACTCTTAGTACACAATTATTATAAAATTAATTGGAAACATACCTTGCAACCATGTTGGCGGATGAAATTCTTATCTTTCTTCGATCATCAGCAATTTTGGGAATTTTACCATTTTATCATCGAAAAACAAAGAAATTTCGAATTTTTCCGCTGCTCCCAGTTGTTCTTATCACCATGACTTCTTCAGCAATGATATCTGGCACTGTATATAATATCCTTTCATCAAAAGTATTCTCTGGTATTTATTTGGTGCAACCATTTGTAAATGTTTGCATGAATGTGCAAATGATGATCAACTTGAATTTTCTACGTCTCGACGGTATAAAACACTTGTTTGACACATTCAACGAAATAGATCAAGATTTTCAGAAATATCATAATATAACAGTTCCTCAATTGAAATATGTGTTTTGTTGCTTTTTGTGCATCAATTTGGTATATTTTGTGATGTACTTCACTGATATATATTTTTATGGTTTTGGAAGTGCATTCTACAAATATATAATTTATTATTGTGGAGATATATTTAGTTCTTACAATATCAACATAATAGA